TCGGAGTTTATAAAAAATAATTATATAAATTTTGAATGTCAGTTTTTAAAGAAAAAAGACCGTGAAGAATATTATAATAAATATTTATCAATTTTTAACCTTTAGGGTTGTGATAAATAAATAAGAAACTGTGTTTGAAGTAGACTTTTGGGTTATGAATTTGGTAAGCCACATTTGCGGCTACGGCGTCCTTTGGCATATGAATAGTCGTCGCCGTAAAATTCTTACTATAAGTTAAAATAATATCTACAATAAATACTAATTATTTGTTTTTTAATTTTAACAAAAAACAAGTATTTCTATTTGGGATCGCCCATAAAGTACGTACGCTCGGATGAAGGAGAGAGGTTTGCAAATGGCGTTTATGAAATAAGGGACAGGCGATCAATTTTAAAAGTTGGGAGACACAAAATTAACCAATAAAAATCGCAAAATCTTGGGTACCTACCAAATATTTTATGATATTTTTTTAGGTTAAAAGCTAAGATACTTTAGGGGAGGTGGAGGTGAAAAAAGCGTACAGCAAAATGGGAAGAGGGCGGGAGGTTGAGAGGGTCAAGCTAAAAGCGTACGTATTTTATGGAATACCCCTTACGTGACGTATTGACATTTAAGTTATATGCTGTGAGTTTTTGTGCTAAGGTTTTTTGCTTAAAGACACTTTTACACACTGGTGCCTAAAATTTTCGTTTTTTATTTTAAAGTTTTAAATTATAGAAATAGTTTTAAAAAGTTCAAATTAGTTTAAAATTAGTTTTGATTATGTGATAAAAAAAAAAATGTCTGTCAAAACTTTTTAAAGAAAATAAAAAACTTGACATTTAAGTTATATGCTGTGAGTTTTTGTGCTAAGGTTTTTTGCTTAAAGACACTTTTACACACTGGTGCCTAAAATTTTCGTTTTTTATTTTAAAGTTTTAAATTATAGAAATAGTTTTAAAAAGTTCAAATTAGTTTAAAATTAGTTTTGATTATGTGATAAAAAAAAAAATGTCTGTCAAAACTTTTTAAAGAAAATAAAAAACTAGGCGCCTCTTTTTGAATGGCACCCCTAGGCTATTGCCTAGATTTGCTATTTAGCAAAAGCGGCTGTGTTTGTAAGACATATTTATTTATAATATATCGTATAATATTTATATTATATCTTATAATGTTAAAAATTAATAACTTTTGAATTTAACATGAAGTTAAATTAAATTTTGCAATTGTCACGAAATTTAACTGAAAGCCGAATTTTTATTTCAAATTCGACAACGAAGCCGAATCCGAAGTCAACTTTGCTTTCAGTAAACTTTGTAATCCGAACTTTAATGAATCTTCGCTGGTTATTATTTGCATGGTATTATTTTGAGGTCACTTATTTTATGAAGCAAATCAAAATTCTTTTGCAAATTTGATTAAATTTGTCAATTATTTTTTCGTTAAAATAACTTGCCTAATATTGACTTCTTTAACTAGCATGTAACCCAATATTTTTTCAAACTCATAGCCGCAAACTCGAAGTTTTCTCTTTCAAGTACTGCTTTCTCTTGCAACAATTTACTGCTCAAACTTATTTCAAATAGTTCACAGTACCATAATAAAACTGATGTAACAAACTTAAAATAAATGCTTTGCTCGAACAGAGTTGCGATGCAAGAAGTAAAAAGATAGTATCTACATTTATTACCTACATTAAAAAGATATTATCTACATTTATTATTTACATTAGACTTTTTTTTTTTCCCACTAGCAAAAAAGAAAATTAAAACATGTTCTTAACTAATTAAAACTTTTTGAAACAAATCTCCTCGAATTGTTTAAAAAAGAGTAGACAACTGATTAATGAAAATGGGTTTTAAAAAACTTAAATATTAAGGAAAAGTGTAAATTGCTTATTTTTTTGTTAAAAATACAAGAATTTAAGCTTTTGCATACTAAAACTTAAATTCTGGTATTTTTATCAGAAAATTATATGATTATCTAGAAAATTTTATGCATTATAATGCTTATTATGCATTATAATGTGTTTTTTTTTTCATTTTGAGGCCTTATATTTTTTTATGCATACTTTTTATTTTGTAATCAATTTTTTTGTTTTTTATTACTATGATTGTAAGTACTGTTTAGGTGTTTGTTTTATTTTTAAATATTCCTTTTTTTTTTCTTTTTTTTTTAATTATAAAGTTTAATTTTGTTTAATTTTTTTATTTTTTTTAATTATCAATTATTTTTTTAATTTTTTTAATTATTTTTTAATATAATTAATCTTTATTTTTGTCTTGACAACTGTCAAAATATGCTTTGTTTGAAAAATAACTCTCCTTTATTCTAATGTACTTATTTCTTTCCTCAGGCGTTCACTCCTCGTGTCTGACCACTCGGCGAATTTTATATGCCAAAGTTTTTAAATAATATTGGTCCTAGCCTGTAAGGGTGAGTGTTACGGTCATCAGGCACGACTATTTTCCAAATCACGATTACTGTCACCGCGGAAAAAGATGTTTGTCTCTGGAAGACGCCTGGGCTAGTTTTTTAAAATCAGGGGTCAGTTATAAATCCATGCATAAGTGTTAAATCGATCATGGTTTACTGCAGTATGACTGGGTTGGTTTGGTATAGTTCAGAAAAAATCTTTTACGCTGGTTACTAACAACACAAGACTCTACTGCACGACATAAAATACACAAACTTACACATTACACCAATACACCCTTATGCACATACAGCCTGTTTACATCGTTTTGCAAGCTTTTTGTTCTTTTATAGATAAACTATCTTAGTTTGAACTCCTCCTTATTTAGATAATATTTTCTTTTAATAGATAGTATGTAGTTGGACTGTATATACAAAAGAGCAACTCTTTTAAAATAGCGGCTTTCGACATGTTTTGTTTGATGTATATATTTTCGTTGTTGTTTTGTTATGGTCTAATTCGGACCGTAGAGAAAACTTCACTTTTTAGAAGTTTCGATTTAGATAATAACTAGATAATATTTAAATAAGACCATATTATGGTCTCAAAGTTATTTTTAATTTGGTCCGTAGAGAAACCTTTTCTTCTAAACAATATTTTTTTCCGCCTCTTACATCGTTTTTACATTACGACTTATATCATTGTTGTATCACCCAAAAAATTACAGTATTCTATTAGCCTACAATATTGTTAAATTTCTAAATAAATTACATAAAACTAGATTGTATAAGTGACGATGACGTTTGTCTGACGGGATAAACTAGTTATTAGTGCTGATTCTCATCGAAACGTCAGTAATAATAGACGCAACTCTGAGGAGATGTTACTTAATCATAAATTATCTTTACACAGCATTAATGTTTTTTTTTTCCATTCTGAGGACTTACATTGTTTTATGCATTCTTTTTATTTTGTATACATTATTTTTAAATATTCCTCCAAGAATCTTTATTTTTGTCTTGACAACTGTCAAAATATGCTTAGTTCGAAAAATAATTGTCCTTTATTCTAATGTACTTGAATTCTTCCCTCAGGCGTTCACTGCTCGTGTGTGACCACTCGGCGAATTTTATTTGTCAAAGTTTTTAAATAAAAATATATGGTTATGTAGAAAATTTTATGCATTATAATGCATAAAAAGTCTATATTTGAAAATCGAAATTCTAATAATTGTTGCATTTTAGTAGTGCTTTAATATTACGAGTAGCGACAACTAGAAAATAAAACTGATACCTATCTACTTTGATTGGATAGTAACTAATTGATAGCTATCTTCTTTCTATATTTCAGCACTATTAAAGATCTGTTTATGACATAAGGTTATAACATAGCCTTATTGGACATCAGTAAAACAACATAAAATCAATGTTTAGTTATTACAAAAAAAAAATTCAAATATTGTTCATTTTTATTACAACAAAACACTCTTCTAACTCCACCACTCCTCTGTGACTCCTTCGTCCTTTATGACTTCTCCACAGCTCTTCCAATTTTCCTTCATCCGCCAACGGACTTCTTTGGTGTAATTATTAACGAAGTGGTTGACTTTAGCAAAATATATTCTTTAGCCGACAAATAAAAGTTGATAAATCAATTCTATAAGAGTTAATTTTTCGATATATACATTTCACGACGTCATAGTTTTCTTGTTTTATCTCCAAGTAAAAAAATTTATAATCATTTTATCTCAAAACTCAAAAATGTGGAGATTTTCACATCAAATAAGTTTAAACGAAATTTAATTTTTAAATTGCTTGGTCAGCACATGCATACTTAAAACTTGTTCAATTACTAAGAAATTCTATTTTTTATCTGATAGAATTTTTTTAAATAGTTTTTATTCAACAAAAGTAATAGCATAGAAATGTTTTTGACTAAATTTTTGTTTATTTTATTTCCCTAAGATTTCCCAGAGGGCTCGCAATATTTGAGGAGACAGCTCCTTTTTTTTTTAAAGTTTTTTTTTTTGTTTTTATGAAGGTAGTTTTCGTGAATATTTATAATATCCGTGAATGTTATTTATTTGGCGTGTTATTTATTGACAATTTGGCAGGTTCTATGAACGTGACGTAATATTTATAAATAAAATTTGGTTGCTTTTTTTTTTTTTTTTTTTTTTTTTTTTTGAAGTAATTTACAATTTGAACTACACAATTTTATTTGCACTAGTCTTCAACGTGTTTAGGTGTTGGAAAATGTAAGTACGTAAATAGTCTGTTGAAAATTAAATTAAAAAAAACTCTTTTATTTTTTATAGGGGAGTTCAGCGAACTTTCCTAACGACCTAAGTAGTAAACAGAAATGTACATTAGTTACTGTAGTATTGCTTGGGAAGTACTTGCCCTTCAGAAAATAAAGCTCCTAATGTCTATGAGTTAAATGTTTCAAAATTTCATATTTAGATATCAAATATGAAGTTTTGAAACATATGTAATTGGTCTTCACAATACTGAATAACGAAGCTTCGATTTAATTTTTAAATTGTTAAGTAGAAAAGTATAGTATTTTATTAAATAATTTTATCTTAACCTTTCCATTTTTCTAGATATAGAAAAATTTTTCGATAATTTTGTCAGTAAAACACTCTATAACGTAAAACGAAATAAAAACGCGGGTATGTTAATTTTTATTTATTTTTCGTAATTAAAAAATGAAATTAAAAAATTATAAAATTGATTACGATTTGAAGAGATAATTATAATTATTATCAAAATAAACTAGTTAAAACTATTTTTTAGAAAATAATGAAAAAGATGACGCAAAAGAGAATGAAAAACAAGCAAAACTCCTACTTAGAACGCTTCTTTTTTCAACCGCAAATAAAGTAGACAAAGAAATCGCAATGAAAAAAAGGTTACTGCGGTCTGGATCTGCATCACCGTACAATAGTTTTTTGTATGAGCACTAACCCTGTACAACAATAACCTGAAAGTTGGTTTCTCGTTTAAATATCACCTCATCAATCTATTCTTTTTTTATTGAGCAAGTGTTGTTCAACGTTACTAAAAGAAAATCAACCGTTGTTACTAAAATCAATCAGTTTGACAAATGGTTATTTGAGCTTTTATAAAAAAATTTGAGCTAAATAAAATTGAAAAAACAAAAAGATGGAAAAACGCTAAAGTGTTTTAAAACAACAAATGATGGAGTATAGCAACTAACAATGCAATAAATGAACGGTCTTTTTTTTTTAAAGTACTGAGGCAGTTCGAAATTAAAAGGCATTGCAAAATAATGGCTTGCTTTATAGGAATGTCACTTTAATTAAATTGAAAGCGAACATCGTGGTACAAAAACTGGTATTACAACAAATAAACGTATATTACAATGAAGAAAGTAGATTTAAATAAAATCCGATCAAAAGTAGGCTTAGCAATAAAAAACTTACGTTTCAATAAAATGGTAAAAATGTCGCAATAAAAAAGTCAACGTAGGAAACAATATACTTTTTTAAAAAAAGTCAACTTAAAATTATTTTGTTAATAAATTTTACTGATATTTTTCTAACATATAGTCTTCTTTTTTTACATAAAAATAAAGTGAAACTTTTTAGAAAGTTGCGCAATTGATTGAACAGTAAGCGTGTGTATACTTTATAAACTTTTTATTTTACACAATTTAGTGACGTAAGTAAGAGAAGAGATAAAATTAAATTGTAAGAAAGTGTGATAAAATATAAAAATTTTATTTTATGCAACTTTGAAGCCCGCCTATTATTTTATCTCGAACTTTAAAGCCCGATTTAAGAATTACTACTTTTAAAAGTATATATAAATAATGAACCGCTTAATTATTTCTCATCAAAGTTGTTTCTTTGTGTTCAGTTTAGTTCAGTTTTATTTATTTGTTCATAATTTGCTCAACTTACCCCTACAAGACAAGGTGACACATTATTTAGGTTTTAAAAAGAACAGTAAGACTAGATTTAAAATAGATTTAATTTAATCAAAAGTATAATAATTAGGTGAAATATCAACACTTAAGTGATGACAGATAAAAAAGTTTATAAGCATACAAGAAAAAAAAAGCAAAAAAATTAATTTTTACTTTTTTGGTCGAAAATAGAAAAAACGCCCGTGTATCTAACTTAATAGTAATCCCCATATTTAAATGTAAAGAACATTTGGACATAACCAACTATAGACCTATATCAATACTTTCTGTATTTTCAAAACTATTTGAACGTGTAATTTATAATATAATCTATAATCACTTCACTAAAAACAAATTATTTTACCCAAACCAGTTTGGATTTCAAAAAAACCTTTCAACAGAGCATGCAATTATTGAATTAGTTAATCAAATAACTGATGGCTTTAAACAAAACAAATTTACTTTAGGAGTTTTAGTAGACTTATCAAAAGCTTTTGATACAGTTGACCACTCCATCCTATTAGATAAACTAAAGAACTATGGTATAATTAATAAAACTTATAATTGGATTAAAAGTTATCTTACCAATAGAAAACAATATGTGTGTAATATACAATCTGGAGTATTAAATGTTTTATTATGAATGATTTTTTCAATCTTTAAAACTGAATTCAGTTTGCTGATGATACAAATCTATTTCTTACTAACAGTGATATCAAGAAATTATATGCAGATATGAATATTGAACTAAATAAAGTAAATAATTGGTTTAGAGCTAACAAACTCTCACTTAACACAGAAAAAACAAACTATATATTATTCCACAAAAAAAAAAACAAGAAGAAAACCTTCCTCTTAAGTTGCCTGACCTTATATAAAATGAAAACTTAATCAAAAAACAAGCCAGTATTAGAATCTTAGGGGTTCTTGTTAATGAGAAGTTATCCTGGCTTCCTCAAATAAGATATATTCAATCTAAAATCACTTATACAATTGGTACGATGTATCGAGTTCGCTCATATATTAATAAACAAAGTCTTAAACTCATTTACTTTGGACTAATTCATTGCTTCATCAGCTATGCAAACATATCATGGGGAAGTACGCAACCATCAAAACTTAAAAAAAAGAGTCTACAAAAACATGCGTGCAGAATTATAAATAAAGCCAAAAAAGTAAGCGTGAACATGATAAACCTATAATGAAAGATTTGAAAATGATGGATGTTTTTGAAATAAATATCTATCAGCATCTATCAAATTCGGGATGGCAGAGGCCTGGGAACAAAAAAGCCCTAAAACACTTCCACCTGTGCCCAAACGTGAGGGCACTGATGTAGTAACATTTTTAACGTTAAAATTTTAAACAAAATTTAAATTTATCGACAGATTTTAAATTTTGTAAAAAATTATTGTAAATTACAAAAGTTATGACCATGCAAATTCTGCCTCCCCCTCTATGAGGGGATGTAAATTTTACATGGTTATAACTTTTGTAATTAACAATGTTTTTCTACAAAATTTAAAATCTGTATATTAACATTATAGTATTTTATGCTACTGCGTAAAACTATTAGTATTATAGTATTTTATGCTACAGCGTACAATCTATTGTTATTAGTTATTGTTCTTTAATAATTATTATATTCTTATATTTATTTAATAATTATAATATTATTAATAATTTTTCATCTACAATCGGCTATATGTTTGACTCATAAAGCCGTATACATATACATTAAACGACTACAATTTAAGTCAATTTCTAAAATGTAAATTTAAAAAGTCAATTTCAACTTATGTTAAATTGGATTGCCTCAAAATTTTCAAATCTCTTAATTTAATTTAATCTGCTGTTGTTAGTTGCAACCTAAGCAATGAGTAAAAAGCCAAATTTAATTTATTTAATTAAACCTATTTATTTCATATTATTAAAATACTTCATATTATTGGAATATTTCATAATATTGGAAGACACACAGAAAATTGATTTTTAGTTATTATTGATCTATGTGAGCGTCATCATTTTTTAGTTTTTACCAAATAACTTTCTTATTTTTCAAAATAATATAACAAAATCATTACCATCAGATTCAAAAAGAAAGAAAAAATATATCAGACCGCATTTTTAAAACGTTCAAAACTCGTTAAGTATTTAAACTTAGGAAGTTTTAAATTAGTAAATTGTGTTTTTTTTTAAAGTAATAAAAATCAATTTTACATGTTTTTTTAAGAGAAAATTTTTTTCACAATTAATCTGTTTTTACAATATGGTAGTTCACAAAACTTTTTGTTTTAATGAAGTTTGAGTAAAAGCAACCGACAAAATATTGACCAAAACTAATTTTATAGGTTAGGATATTCGTTTTAAAAGTAATTATTTATTAACGTTTATTTTATTATCTGCATTTTTTCTAAACAATGATTTTTTTTTTCGTTTAAAAAATATATATTCGACTAAATTATCATTGATTGTCGTTATAGTTTATTCCTTTATAGCAATTAAATACGTTTTACTCCTCTCTTTTTTTTTAATTCAACATATAAAATCATTAAATTTAAGATAATTTAAAGAGATATAATTATATATATACATATATATATATACGAGGCGCGCGTCAGTCGGCAAATGTCGTTATGGCAGTCGGTAAATTTTAAAAAACGAGGACCTTTTTTTTTTTTTTTAGACGGCAAAAGTTGTAATGGCACCCCCCACGTGATCCCTAGTCGCGCCGGCCCTGTATATATATATAGGGCCGTCCCGAAGAGGGAATGTTGGGGGTGGCACCCCCCCCCCCCCCCCAAAGCTGTCATAAATGGCACATTGACCAAGTTTTGAACTATAGTTGGCAAATTGCAAATATTGAGTACCTTTTTTTTCAGGTGTTTCTAGTTGGCAAAAAAATACATACACAACCTCCCCAATGAAGACCTATTTGGGACGGCCCTATATATATATATATATATATATATATATATATATATATATATATATATATATATATATATATATATATATATATATATATATATATATATATATATATATATATATATATATATATATATATATATATATATATATATATATATATATATATATATATATATATATATATATATATATATATATATATATATATATATATATATATATATATATATATATATATATATATATATATATATATATATAGCAGCTAATATTTGTCAATCTCTAGATGGATGGTGTACATAAAAACAAACTGAAAATCATAATCAATCTCTCAATGAAAATGCGCCAAATACTAATACCGCAATTTCTAAACAACATGATTCTATTGATAGTCCTCCCGCTAAAATATCTCGCACTACTAAACAATCATGTTCTGAACCTCTCGCTTTCACCAATGATGTTGGTAAAATATTGAATGCTACAATGAATTATGAAGAATTGAGTATGGCGATGAGGACACTCGATGATAGTCAAAAGTTCTTTCTCTTAAATAATCACTTCAAGCCACCTATAGAATATATTTTTCCGTCACAATTTCTTCACATGTGTCATCGTCAATTCAAGGCAAGATAGTTGACGGATTACAAATGGATGGTCTACAGTCCATTATTGAATGGCGCATACTGTATCCATTGTTCGGTAATAATTTCTAATCTCCAAAAGACAGAATTTGGGAATATTCGTAAATAAACCATTTACCGCGTTTCATAAATTAGACGAGAAGGCAAAAAAGCATCAAACAAAAATAAGCAATGATTTTGTCAGAGACGTTTTGTAATTCAATCAAGAAGCCAAATGAAAACATTGATACTCGTTTTGATGAAGAAAGAAAGATTAAGATAGAAAGGAATCGACACATTGTAAAAACAATAGTTGAGGCAATTCTTTTCTGTGGAAGACAGTGAATTGCTCTGAGAGGTGATGAAGAAACTTTGTCGGAATCTGATAATTCGATAAAATACAACCCGGGTAACTTTTTGGCAACGCTCCAAATAATTGCGAAACATAATGAAATCCTACATCAGCATCTTTCCCATATTGGTATCAGTAATTTAAATGCAAAATACACCTCTCCGCGTATTCAAAACGAAATTATAACAATTATTGGATACGATATCATCCGTAGTGACTTGGTTAAAGACATAAAAGCTGCTACATTCTATAGTATTCTTGCAGACGAGGTTACTAGCCATAATTGTGAGGAACTTGCATTTTGCATTAGATTTGTTGATCAAAACAAAGACGTTCGTTAAGAATTTTTATCTTTTCTCCATGTTCCAAGAATCACCGGAGAAGTCATTGCTAGCACCGTGATTCAATTTCTGCAAGAGGTCAATCTCGATTTAAAAAACGTTCGTGGTCAAGGATACAATGAAGCTGCAAATATTTCCAGTGATAACGTAGGTGTTCAGAGAAAGATAAAAAATGAGTCTCCAAAGGCTGTATATGTGCACTGCAGTGGACATTGCCTTAATCTTGTTATAGCCCATTCGTGTTCTCTTCCAAATACAAGAAATACCATTCCTAAACTGAAGAACTGTTGTCTGTTTTTCCTTACCAGTCCAAAACACGAGAGTCTTCTGCAATCAATCATCATGAAGGTATTACCAGACATTTCCAAACTCAGAAAAAGTGTCATTGACCTATGTAGAGCAAGGTGGTCTTCATGGCATGACTTATACAGACATTTTTATCAAGCATACTGCTACGTAATTATCGCTCTGGAATATATTGCGTATATTGCAAACAAAGATGCATGCGGAGAACATTTCACAAATGTTATATGGGATACAACATCCAGAGACAATGCAAGTTCACTGCTGACAAGTCTTACGTCTTTTGACTTTATTATAAATTTCTTGACTATGTACCAATTCCTGTCACATTTGGAAGGAATAACTGTGAAATTACAAGGCGCTCTGTGGATATTATTATGGTATACCATAAAATTGCTGAGGTGAAATCTGTTTATAAAGACATTTTAAGAAACATAGACGAAGAATTTTTGCGTGTCTACACGTAAGCCGAACGAATGGCACGTTCTGTCAACACCGAACCAACAAAGCCAAGGACTGTTGGACGTCTAATAATGCGCAACAATGCTCCTGCAATTAATCCTGAGGAATATTATCGACAAAATCTCGCCATTACATTCCTAACCACATAAGCTCAGAGTTGGAGAGTCAATTTTCTGACCTTTCCATCCTCTCTTCTAAACTGTTGGGGCTTGTACCATCTACTCTCTGTGAAGTGGGAGGAGTATCTCTTCAAAATGTTGTTGAATTTTATGCAGAAGACTTACCATCTGCTGATTTGTTTCCCCAAGAGTTGTTTCGATGGAAGCATCGTTTTTAAAACAAACCTCCTGAAGAATGTTCTACAACTGCAGCGCTTATTAAAAGAATGCGACGAATGTTGCGAATGCGAACGTTGTGCTAATGCATTGTGCAGGCTCCATATATATTCGAGAGCAAGTGTGAAGCAAGAAAGACTCTCTGCACTTGCATTAATGCATATCCACTATGGTAAAGTCATCGACGAAGAGAAAATTTTTTATATATTTTCACAAAAATATCCTCGGCGTTTGCAATAATTGTAGACGTAACAACTGAAATTATTTGACTTCACACAAATTCAGTGTTGGTGCTTATTAAGCTTGTATGTCATTATAAAGTTTATATTTGTGTATGTGCATGATGCAATATGTTTGATATGTTGTAAAAATGGTCCATTTTTTCAAATTTTGCACCCTCCCATGAAAAAAAATCCTGCGTACGGGCCTGGAGGAGTGTAATATTCCACCACCCCCCCTCCCATCGCTCTGTATATATATATATATATATATATATATATATATATATATATATATATATATATATATATATATATATATATATATATATATATATATATATATATATTTATATATATATATATATATATGTATATATATATGTATGTATATATATATACATATATATGTATACACATATATATATATATATATATATATATATATATATATATATATATATATATATATATATATATATTTATATATATATATATATATATATATATATATATATATATATATATATATATATATATATATATATATATATATATATATTAAATCTATTTTTAATTTTGAATAATAAAATAAAAAACGCATTAAAAGTGGATTTTTTCAACTTTTAATAATAAATTTTAAAAGTTTAAAACATTCATAATTTGTTTTGCGAATAAATCTTAAAAGTGTCTTAATATTTCTCATTAAATTAGAATATTAATTAATAAAAATTGATTCCAAAGTTATTTGGTTAATTAGCATGTTTTGTAATTATCTGTAAAGCGTAGATTATCTTAACAATTAAGTTATTTTTATTTTTTGTTAAGACCTCAAAAAATTTCTTCATTTAATTTCAACAAATTGAATAATGCAGACAGATAAATTGGCACTGTTAAAAGTTGAGAACAAAAAGTGTGTTTTAAAAGCAAGAACAAAACGTTCTGGACCGAATGTGATGATCGCAAGTTGTTCAGTATAAGTATATATTTTCTTTTGGAATTTTTATTGTTCACTTTGAGATAAGGTATGAATTAAATTTTAAAACAAAGCGGAGTTATAATATTTAAAATAAGTTTTTTAAAACAAGTCTAGTATAAATACCAACCATGAATTTTATTTTATTTGTGCAAATATTAAAATTAAACTACACGCCCATAACTAAACGACTTATTCACGTCCGTTACACGACGAATTAGGTTTTACAGACAAATAATCTCTCTTAAAAGAATATTTTTTACTTATTTTGATTTGTGTTGTTTCCTTTGTTGTTGATTGTTTTCTTTTTGTTTTTTGTTTTTTTGTTTTTTTCTAATCATTTTGAAACTTTTTTTTAAAAGCAACTTCTTTTTAATTTAAGTTTCTTCATAAAGGATATTATTGGCAATTTATTAAATGGGTTATGCTAACTTACTTAATAGCAACTTTATTGGTTTATTGGCATAATTTATATTTTAAATAACTGTTCTGTCACGAGACTATGCCATTACGTCGTAATGTCATCACTGCATTCATTTGGATTGCCATAGTTTCGGTTATTGCAGTTCATTTGATTTGGAACGGACCAAACGAACCTTCCAAAATATTTAGTCAGCAAAGTATAACACAATTAAAAACTATTTTAAAACGAAGTGAGTCTGATAAAAATAGCAACCATCCAAACAACGAACGTACTGATGAAACTATCGTATCAGATTATAACTCTAAAAGCGACTTAATAAACCATGTTAATGGGCAATTAATAACTAATGCTTCGTTCTTATCAGAAATAAAACAATTGAAAAATGAAATTGACATTAGAGAAAAAAAAATACAAAAACTAAAAGACCAAAACCAAAAACTCATCGATAAAGAAAAACAATTTAAAAATTTAGCTAGAAGACTTGCAGTCAAATTAAAAGGTAAAGAAAGTGGAACGTTACCTAAACTCGACCCTTCTATTCCTTGGATTTTTAGTATTACTCCAACAAACCCGAGGTACACACAAAAAGCAGAATTAATTCGACTTTCGCAAACACTTCAACACGTTACAAATTTCCATTGGATTTTAATTGAAGATTCAAAGTTCAGAACAAACTTAGTTAGCAAGCTTTTACAAGAATCTGGGCTCAGTTTTACTCATTTAAACGTTCGAACATCTTGGCACATGCAAAAAAAGAAAGGCGAGAAGTATAACAAACATCATCGAGGAGTTGAACAGCGAAACGCCGGATTAAAATGGTTGCGAGATAATGTAAACCCTAAAAAAACTCCCGGCGTAGTATATTTCATGGATGACGACAATACATACCATAAAAAAATTTTTGATGAGGTAATTTTTATTTTATTTTTTTACATATTTAGTATATAGCCTTTAGGTATTATTTCGTTATTGATGGAACCATGTTAGTGAAAATAATATTAAGAACGATATTTAATCATTATGCATTAATCCAAACTACTTTTTATAAAACCGTAGCTAGTGATAGGGTGCTCTCTCCAAAACAGTGATGGATCCAGAGGGGACGATAAATTGTATGCGTCCCTCCACCACCCACAACCATTATAGTTTATAAAAAACTTGAATATCAAGGTTCAAAATTGAACACCATTTAATAAGCAACAAGGCCATTAAAACTTGATAAGGCCTTTAATAAATTGTATTAATCTGCTCTTTTTATCTAATAATCTTATGAGAATTACTTAACGTATTATTCATTTTACCATTGTATTGCATTTTTGTGGTCCTAATAAAAGGTTTTAATTTTTTAAAATTTGGTCGTATTTTTATTTTTTTGGTGTATTTTTTTAATTATATGTTGCCAAAAAATCTTTCACAAACTTTTAATAAACGATATAAAAAATATAAAACAAGATCTTATTGTCAGAACCTTAAATAAGTACAAAAAAGTATATATATATATATATATATATATATATATATATATATATATATATATATATATATATATATATATATATATATATATATATATATATATATATATATATATATATAATATATATATTATATTTTCTAGAGATCTGAGTTTTTGAGATCTAAATTTTTTAGCCTAATAAAATGTTAGTCTAAGAAGATAACATTACTAAGTAAAAAAAATAATTTACTTAGTTAAAAAAAAATTCGATCATACAAAAGATTTAGAGGTACAGAATAAGAGGGGGGGGGGGACGAACAATTTAAATAACACACCCTGTTAAACAATTATCATTTGTCCCTTTGCTATAAAATTTATGGAGGTTCTTTGTATAAATAGATAAGAAAACGTTATTTGATGGGCCATCAAATAAAGTTTTCTTTATTTACTTATTAAATGGGCCATCGTTATCAAGCATAACTGCTTGATAACGATGGCCCATTGACGAGATCAATTTTTGGCATTGTTCAGGCCTAATGGCGTCCCAAGCAGCCTTTATTTCGATCTGAAATTAGACTAAGTTTGTTGCAGTTGATCGATTTATGTTTCTGTCAACTTCCTTCCACAAATTTCATATCGGGTGCGGACCGAAAACATCAAACTTGTTAGCGTTAAACTACATATTAACACTTTTGGCGGTGTGCTTTTGGTCGTTGCATTGTTGGAATTTCCAAACCAAAGGAAAATTTTCTTCGGCATAAGGCAACATTTCTGGTATTTCTTTGTACATTTGTTGATCCATTGACCTTTAAATTCTATGCAATGAGCTCACGCCATACCATGAAAAACTGCTCCAAACAATTACATTACCATAACTATGTTTTACAGTGTTCAGAGTATACCAATTCTTGTTTTTGGGGACGACGAACATATTGTTTCCCGTTGGATCCAAAGCAATTTTACTTAGAACAATTTAAACAGTTTAACTTCCTAAAACCAAAACACATTTTTCCAAAAACATAACTCTCTTTGTACGTACTGTTTTGCAAACTTCAAACGACTGAGATTGCTTTTTGTGACCAATGGGTTTTTTTGAGCAACTCTTCCATATAGCTTATTTTCGCGTAAACGATTTTTGACAGTGTTGGCAAACAGATTGACTTGTAAATTTTGACTAATTAGATCTTTAATTTTTGGTGCGCTAGCAAAAGGATTTAACTTGCGATACGGAGAAGGGCTGCGTCTTCTCCAGTATTGTTAAATAAATTATTAAATTTGATATCATTTTTAAGAGAACAACTCAATCTTTGAACTTTTTCTGAATTGTTCAATTCTCGATCTCGAAATGCGTGTACAAATCCTCGATAAACATCTATTCTATGTTTACCTTGTTCCATACTTCAAAGAATATTATTTTTGCAAAATGAATTACAAGTTTATCCTTAAAATACTGAGTATAATGATTTTCTTTTGATATAATTCAAGAACTTTGGTTTCTTTTTATAAAAAAAAAAAGTAAATGTGTTATTTAAAATGACCAGAAAAATTTAAACGCGACTGCTAAAATGCTCAAAACAAGCAATTTTGATAGTTATAAATGTCTAATGAGTAGTTCCGTTCAAAAAAAGTAAACATTGTTGATGCTATAAAAAATAAAAGCAGCTATAAAAGCAGAAAAATTTAAACGCGACTGCTAAAATGCTCAAAACAAGCAATTTTGATAGTTATAAATGTCTAATGAGTAGTTCCGTTCAAAAAAAGTAAACATTGTTGATGCTATAAAAAATAAAAGCAGCTATAAAAGCATAAAACTTGACATCAAAATGTTAAACTAATTGGTCATGAAAGTGTGTTATTATTATATATATATATATATATATATATATATATATATATATATATATATTTTATATTATATATATATATATATATATATATATATATATATATATATATATATATATATATATATATATATATATATATATATATATTAGATTAAAATTACCATAAGAGAAGAAAGATGAATAAACAAAACTTAGAATTTTTACTTTTTTGGTATCAACATTTTCCTTTCCCCCACTTCCCATCAAAATTTCTGAATCTGTCGCTGCTATAAAAGCATAAAACTTGACATCAAAATGTTAAACTAACTGATCATGAAAGTGTGTTACTTATATATATATATATATATATATATATATATATATATATATATATATATATATATATATATATATATATATATATATATATATATATATATATATATATATATATATATATATATATATTAGATTAAAATTACCATAAGAGAAGAAAGATGAATAAACAAAACTTAGAATTTTTACTTTTTTGGTATCAACATTTTCCTTTCCCCCACTTCCCATCAAAATTTCTGAATCTGTCGCTGCTATAAAAGCATAAAACTTGACATCAAAATGTTAAACTAACTGATCATGAAAGTGTGTTACTTATATATATATATATATATATATATATATATATATATATATATATATATATATATATATATATATATATATATATATATATATATATTAGATTAAAATTACCATAAGAGAAGAAAGATGGATAAACAAAACCTAGAATTTTTACTTTTTTGGTATCAACATTTTCCTTTCCCCCACTTCCCATCAAAATTTCTGAATCTGTCGCTGCTCTAAAACATGTACTACCCTTCCATTCACACAAACTTATTATTTTTTGGACTAAATATAAGCTAAGTAAAAGTCAGTCTATTTTGTTGACTCTACTGCTTTGTTAAACGCAGTGCAGAGTTAAGGAAAAGCAACCTCATCTCTGGTAGTGCCACGCTTAACTTCTCCATGCAACTTCCATATTTTTTTAAAGTTTTTGCTTTGGTGTTACTTGATTTACATGGAGGAATGTAACAAATTTATAAAAAAAAATTGTACACTAATTGACTGTGGTAGCCCACGTGGTCTTGAGAAAAGAAAGAGAATTTTTATATAATTTAAAGACATGTTTAAGTTTCTAACTTAATTTTTTAATATATTGTGTTTAGATGCGTTGGACACATCATGTCTCTGTATGGCCAGTTGGTTTATCTGGAGGAGCAAGATGGGCAGGTCCTGTTGTGTCTAATGGTAAAGTAACAAGCTTTCATACAAACTGGGCACCAGATCGCTCGTTTCCTTTAGACATGGCTGGTTTTGCTGTAAATTTGAATCTTTTGTTGAAAGAAAAACCAAAGGTTGTTTTTGATATTAATGCAAAGAGAGGATATTTAGAACCAACATTTTTGGAATCTATAACAACAATAGACCAGCTCGAACCACTTGCAAATAACTGCACTGAGGTATCTTTACTTAAAATTTCATATAATCAATAGAAATATTATATATATATACATGTATAATATTTCTATTTACTGGTTCTTTAGGAAAAAAAGGTCCTCAAAAATAAAATTTACCCGACTGAACTTTGTCAAATACCTAACTAGCCAACTAAATTCGTAAAAAAACCGACTGCAACATGAAAATGTGATTTTCAATTTACGTGAAAATGAAAAAATAGAAAATGAAAATTACGCAGATCATTATAGATCAAAGGCGCCGTCAATTACTAAAAATTTATGCGGGTTAATTTTTAGCGTCATTTTTAAAAATAATTTTACAAAATAAACTAACATTTGACCGCAAGGTCTCCTTTATACCTGGTCTGCGCACTATTTTTTCGCTAATACGCTAAGGGGCCGAAAAACTATTTTATTCGAAAAGGGCTTCAAAAAACTTATCTTAAATAAACAAATAAAAAACCGTTAGAAATTAAAATTTGAAAATCTTTATTATTATTTTGTTAACTAGAAGAAATTTTTCACACGCATTTTTTTGTTAATTAAAAGAAATATTTAAAGTGAAAAACAACTTACGTTTTGCACTTTAAATATTACTTTTCTTAAGTATAAGTATATACATAAGAAAAGTTGTTAAGTAAGTATATTTAACTTAGAACCTTTAGGTTTTTGAATCTTTTTATATGCAGATAACATTTTTGAACAGTTTTTTTTATTTAAATTACAATCATCACCTGAAACAGTATTTAAAAATGTTTTGATAATTATTCCATAAACATTTTCCATTTTATGCTTTCCATTTGAACACTGTGAGAACGGGCTTTCCATTTGAACTCTGTGAGAATGGGCTTTATTATAATGTCGCACATAAGTAACTTTTCAAAGATTAAATAATGATTCTTTCCTGATAAAAAAAATTTGTCTCAAATAATCAGTTTTGAAAATAGTTAGAAAATAGCTATAAGATAGTAAACATAATGTAAAACATAAATCAGTTGATCATATTAGATCTCCTCTATTAATGTCATTAAACAAATCATCAACTTTTCATTTTTCTTCAGAACAAATGTCTAATAAATATGCTTCCAAATTGTTATCAACAAAGAGATTATTGCAACCTAAGCACTGATGGAGCTTTAACAATTTTCGGGAACAATAACCTGAAAAAATATAAACAATATTTACAGTATTATCTTCAATAAGTGAATAAGAATGATCATCATTAAAATTGGATTTTAGATTTTGGAACTTCATGATATCATCTTCATCCAACTGGTTAGCATCTATATTTAATAAATCCTTCATATTTTTAATACCTTATTTTAATATTTTAATATACAAAACAGCTGCTTATAATGACCAAACCTTTGTTCAATACGATCAGATTGGAGCTTTCCTAAAAGGATATAATTCACATCATACTTTTTGGATAAAATATGCTTACTAAATTCTTTAAGGCATTTACACATTTGTATGAAAGCTAAATTAGTTGGATAGGATAAGCCTGTATTAGGAATTCTTAAGCGATTGCATTGATATAGAAAGTCAACAAATTTTTTCAATATAATTAAGTTTTGGTCTAATGGGTTTTAAATCGGTTTCATAAGCATGTTTCGTTTATGTGAACCAACAACTGGAGATTTCACATTAACAACTTTTCAAACTTCCACAAACCTTTCTATTAAATAATGAGTAGCATTCCAGGTAGGACTTTGTAGTTTTCCATTCTTGCAATAAAACTTTAAGGCACATGCAGTTTTTTCATGGAAAATTTTAAAACATAACTTTGCTGATGTTCTTTGGAGATTTGTAGGCTGAAAGCATTCTTTGGATAAATGATGAGCAACTTTTAAGGGGTTTTTACTCTCATACTGAAAAATCTGTAAAATGTCATTAAAATTTGCATTGATATATTTTAAACCAGAAGGTGATATTAAAACTTGATTATCCAATAACTGATTATCCAATAACTGAGTAATTGATTATCCAATAACTGATCTCTTGGTATACATTATATTGGAATAGGAAACATTTTACAACTTCCAAAATTATTAAAAGGATTTTTGAAGTTGTGAGTAGGATCAATTAAAATAAAGAGTTTCTTGTTGTTTAATATTGGATGATTAATAAAAAGAGTCAATTCTCCTGGACACAACTCATTCATGAATAAATTTTTATTGATAACATGATTGTCACTTGTTGTAATTATTACATGAAATCCAATCATACTAAGCATTTCCAGGACCTGAAACCAACATTTCTTTAAAGTGGGAATATTTACTGTAGAAAGAGGAAAAAGGCAAACAATATCCATATAATTTTCAGCAACTGAAGTAATAAAAAAATACTAAAACGGTTGTTGCTAACTTCTCTGCTTCATCAACAATACCCAAAAAACTTCCATCTGCATACCCAACTTCTTGATTAATATAAATTTTATCAAATATTAAATTTACAATTTTTTCATTATTGGTCTTTTTTCAAGATAAATTTTATTTTTATTATTTATTCCAGTAGATACTGAAATTAAATTAGTTTGCCTTCGGAGAGTAGCATCTGATGGCATTGTAAAGATGTTATCACATAAAATTATCTCGTAGTATCTTTTACTACTTGTATACTACAACAAACAAGTAACAAAAAGATTGTTGTATCTTTTACTTTGGCATGGTTTTTCCAATAATAGAAGCTGGTCACATATAAAGTTAAGCTTTGTACGAATTTCTTCAGTGCAATCATCTCCTCCCAAAAGTTTAACGTATGTAGATGAAATTTCACTGTCTTTTTCAATTAAATAATGTATGTAGCTTAGCATATTTTCTAAATCTGATAAACTAGAAATTTTTGCAACAACTATGTTATTTATGTAAACATCGAAGTTCAAATTTTTATATATGACAACAGATGATTTGACAATTACTCCTCTTGCATTTAACCGAAGAAGAGAATAGCTCACAGTATCACTAGCAACACAAATATTAAGATGGAAATTACTGATTTCGCTTGCAACCTTTTTAGTAAGCTCTTCAAATGATTTAACACCATCTTTGGGTTGGAAAAGTTCTAGATCGTTTGTTATTACATTATTTTCCCTGTTAAGGCGAGATGTGGAAGAAGAAAAATAAGTTGAACGAGGCACTGGTGTTACTTTACTTAAACTTGGCAAAGATGGAAATACTGATGCGGACAGCGGCGGACTTGTAAACGACGCAACCTTTAAAACTGTTTTATATCTGGACTGTTTTGTTTACAATTTATTAGCGTGAAGCGCATTATTTTGGTAAATGCTCGCCACTGTTACGCTTTATTTTATACATTTTTTCCTCAAAAAAATAAGTATAATAACAAATATTTTTTAAACTTTTGTATTATATATTTATTTTTTAAATTATGTAATATGTATATATATATATATATATATATATATATATATATATATATATATATATATATATATATATATATATATATATATATATATATATATATATATATATATATATATATATATATATATATGTATATATATATATATATATATATATATATATATATATATATATATATATATATGTATATATATATATATATATATATATATATATATATATATATATATATATATATATATATATATATATATATATATATATATGTATATATATATATATGTATATATATATATATATATATATGTATATATATATATATATATATATATATATATATATATATATATATATATATATATATATATATTATATCCTATTTTAAATATCTTAAATCATTTGTAGCATATTTTAAAAACTTTTACTTGCTTATGTTTGTTATAATCTTACAGAACTCTTATAAGGAATAAAACTTTTTTAAAAATATTTCGTTCCATTCAATTGATTTCCATTCTACAAAATAAACAAATCAGCGCTTTTGTAAATTGTCGTATTCACCGAATTTATGGGTGGTGCGTTGTGTACAAGTCCGCCGGTACAGCTTCTGATCTTAATTTCTTTCTAAATTTTGTTCCGAAAAAATTCGCTTGCGACTTCTGTTAGAATCAGAGCTTGCATTTTTGAAGTCTGTTTGTACAAAGTGTAAGGAGAAAACTTTGCTGTTTTTTGTAGGAACAAAATGTTCTGATTTAATTCGCCTCAACCATTGCTCATAAACATTGCTAACAGCAGGAAAAGAATGGTAGCTTTTAGATTTCGGATCAGGATCTGTGTCATACCCAGATTTACATCCATAAGCACAGCATCTTTGTACCACATAAAGCTTTAAGATTCACGTTTCTAAAAACTTCGTTTTAAGAACTGGTTTTACATCGGCCCCTTAGCGTATGATTTTTTAAAAATAGTTTGCGAGTGCGCAGACCATGTATATAGGAAACCTTGATTTACTAACTTCAAAAACGTTTTATCAAGGTCTTCGAGTGCACCAATAGCCCCCGTGTTAAAAATGGAAAACAGCGCCTTTATTTCAAACCAAAAAATTACAAAATTTAAAGTTTTGTGAACTCAGCAATTATCTATTTCTGATACAGCACATTGTATTTCTGCGTTACTATTACTTAGTAATTTTATAAAAAGCGTTTAAAAATGAATTTTTAAAGCTTTTCTGGCCGCCCAATTATCGATGACATTGTTCTAGCTCACATTTTTTAGCCATTTTTTACTCTTCAGTTAAAATAATCAAAATATCAATAACGAGATCCTAGTTCATGTTTGAACGGTGAGAGTTTTTTACAATCTTTAGTTTACTAAATAATTGTTCATACTCAGCAACGAACACAGGAATAGTGTTGAAAAATTGGAGCATAATTCAAATATACGGGAAAAGGCTTTCAAGCTCTTTCTCAAAGATTTGATTGAGTAGCTGGAGTAGATTTTTTTACTTGAAAATTGTTTTGCGAGCTTAGCTAAAACGGCGAAATTCTTTAATGAAATCCTAATGAGATTTTTTCATTCTTGTTATCACTTGGATAAAACCGCACAAGTTTTCAAAATTTGTTTTGAACGGATAGATCATCATTATCTAACCAGATGAATGAAAACATATTGCAAACTATCGACTTGCTTTATATCTTAAAATAATCTGCTGGATTAGACTTAATCAACATTAAAAACTTCGAATTCTTTTGTTTGGCTGTCGTAGAATGAGCTGTGTTTAACGCCTCATTGTGAAATCGCTTCAGTTTACGCTTTTTTTAGTAACGAGTTCAGTTTCGAATTCTAGCTACAGCTGCAGTCTCTTAGAAAATATGCAACCAATAGCCCCTAAACCTTTTAAGATCTTTCAGAAGTTGTCTAATCAAATGTATCTCGTCATAAATTGTAATGACTTCAGATTTAAGAAGACTAACGTCGTTAACAGCAGTAAGATCCCGAGCTCCTCCGTTCCAACAAAGAAGGGACAATTCCCCGTTTTTGAATACTGCTTTCGTGCCCAAGAGGAAGCTAGAGAAACTTGGTGGTCAAGCTCTAAACCTGATAACCTCTTTCTGCTTTTTCCTTTTTAGGCAAAGATAGGTAAAACACATTTAAAGGAAAGTTTCTCTTCTTATAATCACGAGGATAATCTTGTTGTTTCAAAGAATGTAAAATAAAAATAATTACTAGTCAATTTTTTTGACTTAAAACAACTAGCTACAAGGAAGAGTCAGCTTTAATTATTATCAAGTTAAATTGAGCATCATATTCTCCTCTATTGGACAAAGTTCTTTCTTCTGACTCACTTTAAAAATTTTAAAAATTATTTAGCTCAGCTTTAGGTTTTTATCAGTCGTGAAAGTTTCTTTTGCTCATATCTTAAAATGAGATTTTTATTTATTTCATCAGTTATATCATCATTTTTCCCTGGATCCTTCATCTACAATAATCATAATAATAATAATGACTTTAAAATCATTTAAACTATAACATTTATCTACGTGACAGCTAACACGCTTAGTATTGATTCATATTTTTACTACTAGGCATCCCCAAAGAGTTTAAGTTTAACCAAAATTTAAAAAAATTGAAAATCATGTAAGAAATTTTAACCTTTGACATTGATTTCTGAAAGATATTTAAATCTTAAACAAATTATTGATACAAAGATTTTTTTGTTTTGATGCATAAAGCTTTTATAAAGAAATGAAATGGTTTTTACAAACGTAGTAGTTTTCAATTAAAAAAAAATCTTTATCTCTCTATGGTTACCTACATAGAAATCTGTATATTTACCTATATTTACCTATCATGTTGATCATAATGATGTATATATACCTACCTGATTTACCTGTCTTAATCTCTAAACTTAGTTGCCGACAGAAAATGAACAAAAAGCTCAAACGTTTTGTGAAAACAAAGCTGTATTTTAAAACACCAATTAGTTTATAGCTAATGGGCGGTGCTTTACGTGTAGAACCTTTGGAGATGGGATGCTTTTTTTCGAGTGCGAAGCATAAATATATATTATTTTTTAAATATCTAGGTAAAGTAGTAGGTAATTTCTAAAATTTAATAAGTTTGGAGACAGAAAACACGTTACTAGCCGTCTTGTCCCGATCACGTGACCAGATAAAAAATTTATTACTGGTACATTTTATTATTACTAATTTTTATTAAAATTTATTCTCGTTAAAAACCCAATTAGCTAATAAACTAGTAGAGTAAAATTAATATACTAAGAAAATATTATTTTTCCGCGACTGACAGGTTTGCAAAAGCTAAAGAATTTGAAAGAGTTAGGCATCTTTCCCAGTCTTCTCTTATTTTCAAATATGTATGCAAAGTTTAAAATCTTTTAGAAAAATATTTATGATGGCAGTATTTTTTTAGGTGCTAGTGTGGCATACAAGAACTGAAGTTCCAGTTGTATCAATTAAGGGCGAAAGAGAACTAATAAAACTGGGGAAGCCGTCAAATCCATCCATTGAAGTATAAACTCATATGTTTCATAAGTTATAGTCAAGAGTGGTGCTTTTAAAAGCAATCATTAAAATCTACTAGTTTGTAACGTAATGATACATTATTTCTACATGCTGTGTGTACACCATAAACAGAAAAAACATCAAAAGAAGAAAACGCATAAAAGTTTTGTTAATTGTAAATATATGAATCTTATTAAACAAAACTAAATAATAAAAAAGTTTAGTCGTACTAAATTTTTAGTTTACTTTTTAAATTTTCATTTTATATTCATTTTATCAAATTTTAAAAAACCTTTTTAAAAAACCCTTTGTTATTATATTCCCTGGTGATAGGAAAAACTTATTAAGTAACGAATAAGAACAATTGAGTAATTTAAACGTTAATAATTTTTTTTTATGTCAAAATTTTATTTTTTTTATAAATTTTACGGTGGCTTTTATTTTTTTAGTTTATAGTTTTTTTCGAGATACCAACGTAAATGAAAAAACAATAGCAGCAAAATTTAAGACTGATTATATAAAAAGGGAACACGTGCCCCAAACATACATCCCTCAAAGCACATCGCTGCTTATGGTAACAAATTCGTTTTTGTACTGGTTTGCTATCGCATAAATTTGTTGAAATTATTTTTAGAGTGTTCCGTTTTATATATTTCTTTAAATAGATAAAAACCAATACTTAATAAAAATATGTTTTTCACAAGTATTTACTTTCATTTAATATACGATTAATAAAATTTTCTAAACATGCAAATATGTATGATTATATTTATTTCAGTAAGTTGTTTTTATATTTGGATAGCAATACCGGTAATTTCTCACTACTTGTAACAAATTATTTTATTCTAATCTTTAACTCCACATCTTTGCGATTTTATTTCATAATTTTATCTATTTTACTTTATACTTTATTCTAATATTACTTTATACTTTATACTAATCTGTCATTAAACTCCACATTTTTGCAAACTTGTAATGATTTTATCAAAAGTAATCTGAAATAAATAACTGTGTTTCCAACTTAACGAACCATGGTTTAAAAAAGCAAAGCATATACTATATAAGAGATACTAAATAACTTGTTGGTTTGCTTGGCATCGTCTACTGCAATTTAGTTCAAATTTATTGCATCAACAATCTTCATTTTTGTATCTACAGACACATCATTGTCAAAGAAGTTTCCTGATTCAAGTACCATAAATGGTTTATAATTTTTTGTAATGCAGGATGACATACAATAGTATCTTTGTACTAAAAAAAAGATTTTAGTAACTAGAAATGGTTATTCAGAACTTCAACAACGTAAAAAAAAGACACACACAACCATGCTTATATAACAGGTATAGTGTTTGGCTAGAACCTGTAGAAGAGTCTAAGCCGGAGGTACAGAAGCTGGAGTGACACGAATGTCAAGCAATTGATCAACAAGTTTGTCGGCTATACCAGGTAGAACATAACTAGTGGAACCAAGAAATAATATTGATAAAAAGCTCTTAGTAAACAATTCAGCTTTGTCTTTAGGTGAGGTGGCAAAATCTGAACCATATAAGAGAGGTAGAATAGCAGATTTTCCCTTATCACAGATACTGTTAAAGATTCTCCAGAAATCACTAAAACTTAATTTTTGAGATGAAACACAAGATTTCGTGACCTGAGAATAGCGGGCTTTTAGCGTTAGACAAAACCTTTTAAAATGGTTTCTAGCAATAGTAGCAAACAGTTGTCTGTTTTCTGGAGAATTGTTTTAGATGCTCAGTTGTCTGTTTTCTCGATAATTAATTTAGATACTGAGAATTGCTTATAGATATGGAAGTAAAGGTTTCGATTGGAAAACTATGGAAAAGAGTAAGGCTTGACTTGGAATCGCAGAGAGGGAGTAAAAGATTCCATGCATGCCTGCATCCAAGAAGTTAAGTAAGAAATACATTTGTCAGCAGGAAAACCAACAAATTCTACCCAAGGGTCATCATGAAGAAAATTACAGAACAAGTCCCAGTTTGCTTTAAGGTAGTTGTAAGAGGTACAACAATAGGGGGATACAAATGACTAAGAAAAATGAGATAATAGTTTTAGAAAGATCAAACCGTGATCAGAAGCACCAAAGGGTGATTGTGAAGGAACTGAGCACTGATAGGATCAGAAACAAGATACAACTCAAGTAGAGAAGCTAAAAGATTCAGATTGTCTGGAAAACGAGTTGGAAAGAGATTTGAGATAGAGATTGAGAAAGGCAAAAATTGTGGACCTTAACACATGCAGAGTCACCGACACTATAATTAAGCTATTCAGTGTTATGAGCATTAAAGTCACCACCAACAACAATATTAGCTGAAGGATAAAGAGAGAGGGCTTGGTCAAATTGATCAGAAATAAAAACGAAAAAAGGGATAAAGGAGATCGATATAGAACAAAGAGAAAGGCGATTAAGTGAAGTGTTGCTAAACAAAAGCACATAAAAAAATACCTTGTGGATTCAAACCTTGCTTCCCTATATATATATATATATTCATATCTGTACCTCAGAAGACATATGTCGGTTGTCCAGTATTTTGTGAAAATGAGTTATGTATGAAACTTTTTTTGTTTTTTCAGTATCTACACAGAGGTAAAAAGACTGTTGTCCTACGACAACTTAAAACAAAGTTTTTTTATCTATTTATTTTTTACTTAGTAGTCCATTTCAAAAATGTTGCTTAATGAAATATTTTTTGAAATATACAGTATCGGACAAAACAAGTGCAATCAAATAATGCTAATTTAGTTTCTTTATATAAGTGCCTCATTTTTTCAATTTAAAGAAATAACTATGTAACTGTTTAGAGACAACGTTCTTCAAGTTTTATTTATCACAAAGTTCATTATTTGTACACGAAAATTAATAAATTAATCAAAAGTATTAAAAAAAGTTGATTTCCTTCTGGACAAAACAAGTGCAATTCAACAAAATGTTGACCAAGCTGTATTTCACTTTCAATATTTCGTGGCGAATCCTTTGTTATCGATCACAGCCTTGTATTTTTGAGGTATAGATTCGATCAAGTGATCAGTGATTTTACTATTTCCTTTCTCCTAAACAACTTCTAAAATGTGACAACCGACCTTTGACTTCCGAGGTAAATATATATACATATTGTTATATCAAGCGATTTATAAAAATGCGGTGGGATGGTTTATACTTTATAAAAAGGTGATGGGATGGCATCCCACCTCATTTTGAGCACTGTGTATATATTTTTGATATACATATATGGTTTATATATAAATACTTTAAGTACCTGATTGTATAAACAATCAAATAAGCCAGGTTTATTAATTTAAATATATTTATAATATTTGCTTTAATGTCTATTTACTTGAAGTTGTTTGCATTTTATTATAAAAGTAGTAAAAAAACAAAAAAACATTTGTAGCCATAAGTACTCTGTTTGTAGCCATAAGTACTCTGTTTGTAACCATAAGTACTTTTTTTGTAGCCATAAGTACTCTGTTTGTAGCCTTAGTACTCTGTTTAGGGCACGAATTCCTTTTATCTGACCAGTCTCAAATTTTGTAGCTATTTTTTTTTCTTTATTAAAAAGAACCATTTTAAGAGGTGCCTCGTTTAAAAATAAAAAAAAATTCGTATAGAAATAAAGATCACCCTCGTGCTCACAAGGTCGTTAGGTGTGTTCTCTGTGGTTGTTAGGTGTGTTATCGATCGTTGTACTAATCAAAATTAAAAACTTTAATTACTTTTATTTTAAAAAAAATTTATAAATACAATTATAGATAAAATAGATAAACATGATAGTTAGAGAATAAAATTAAACTGTGCATCAAAATAATCTCCTAGGAAACGAATGTCTTTTAAGTTTTTTTCAAGGAATGTTTGGGTCAAAGTTTGCATAATTGTTTACCATATCACAAAAAGCTTTATAATTAAAGTCAAGTTTCCCTCCAATAACAGATAGAAATTTTTCATACAAAGCATGAAATTCTTGCTCGCTAACAATGCTTCCTAGTTCTAGCTCACTAAGAACGCGGTGTAGTTGAGAACGAGACACAGTTCCGTTGTGAAATCGATCATAATCCTCAAACAATGGGAAAAGCTAAAAAAAAATTTAAGAAAATAAAAAATCATAAGTAAATAGTCTTTATCAATAATCTAATATTTGGACTTTATAAACCTAAGTCAATAATGCTGTCATACTGTTTGTGGTTAGTTAGGCTTGTAGCTGAGTTTGTAGTTTTTTAATGAGAATTTATTTTTGTGTATTTTCTATATTATTTTCAAAAATGATCTCACCTGGCATGCCAGTAATGAAAGTCTTTGCAAAATATATAATGCCTAAATTCTTAGGCTTGTTAGTTTCCCTAAATATCAAGCCCAATTCACTTGACTAATGGAACTAAATATTAAAAAATGCAAATTTATTCATTTTAACCAACCGCTTACTTTGGAGAACACTTACTTTATGACCAATTACGATTGACAAGTCAATGCAAAAAGAATTAAACTTACCACAACCTCTATAATGACTTTAGCATCTCCATATCTAGTGACCTTAAATTTAAAGCCCAATCTTTTATTGCAGCCTTCAACGCTGAGGAAATGCTTGGTTTATTAAAATATACCTTTATAAGACACACAACTATGGAAAAAAACTTTACACAACTTAAGTAAGTTTTTATCTCCAATTTGGAGTTACCTTATGGAACCCTCATCTTGAACAGTCATATTCACTACAACGTATTATCTACCGTGATCACCTCAGCACACAGTAGGACACAGGGTGGCCAAAAACATTGGCTTCAATATGGATGAAACGAACAGAAAGAAAACTTACACTGTAGATCCGAAAATTCCAAAATATTAATGTTGTGCAATTTGTAGTTTTAAAAATATTGGTATTTAAAGTTCAAATTGTAAATGAAAAAATTGGTTTTGCCTCATTAAAAGTTTTTTTTTTTTATATGTTCTGTTGAGTTGATATAATGAAAAGTATTATCGTTTGAAAGCTAATCAAAGTTGCTTTTTAATGACAATAAAAATAATTTTAGTAAATCTTACAAAATTTTTAAAATCAGCCATTTCATAAAAAAACATTGTTCCAAAAACATTTAAAAGTTAACTTTGATGAAGTTGGAAAAAAAAACTGTTCAAAACCTCTCCTCCATTTTGCAAAAAAAATAAAGTTCATTATGCCCTTAGTAACTGCAAAATATATTGGCTGCCCCCAAAAAAACTACACAGATTTGAAAATGTCTTGTTTTACTGAAAATACAATTTGAGAAATTTTTAATTCATTATATAAATGATCATTAATTAGGAAACTAGGTACTAGGTTGTAAATTAATATTATATATAAATCTAAAATGTGAAAGATTGTCTTTGTACCAAATTTGAGGTCTCATTTTGTTCATTAAATATTAAAAATTTAATGACAAAAAAGCATGTTGCTAAAAATGTCATTATTTTGAGTCAACATTAATAAGAAAACTTAAACATAAATATTTCAAGAATTGTGGGAAGATTGAGGTTCTAACTTTTAGATTTTCTTATCTTTCATAAACCCTATAGCATATATAAAAAATAGCAAAATAAAAAACATGGGGTGCAATTTTTTGGTTTTTCTGCTGATTTAACACGGAGTGACTCATATTTCTGACTCATATCCTCAAATTCCTGCAACAGCCCATTAACATACATGTAGAAAAAAGTACTTCAAATTCTTCTTGCAGGAGAAATTACCTTAAATTCTACTTAGAGGACAAATTACTTCAAACTTTCCTGTAAGAGCTTTGGGTAAAAAAACATTAAAATGTTGTAACAAATTCACTAAATGATGTTGCATCATGTTTACAAGGGTTCAACGGAAGTCAATGTGCTTGATGTATTTACTTCGTCTAATGAATTCATCAGATCCAATTATAATTATAATTTCACTTTAGATATAAGATCTTTAAATAAAACATATCCTTTTAGGTATAAGGTCCTAAAATAAAACATAACCTTTCAAAAAACACTTACGGAAGTGGTAGGAAGTGCAAATGACCTCGTCCTAAGTTATTTTGTGCGATTTTTAATTTTAAATTAAATTTAGATAAATTATTGCTAACTTTAGGAATTATTTTGGTGCTTTCCCTAACACCCCCTTCCTAGTAAAAAATACTATAGGCGCCTGTGCTAGAAAGTCAAATTTCTTTGAAACTACAGGTGAAATTTGTATGAAATTTAGACTTTCTTATTTGCATTTTTTAAAAACAATATTAGCTTTGTGCAAATATGGAGAAAATAACTTTGGCTACTTTTTTGCATAGAACCATCCAAATCTGGAGTGGTTAAACAATTCAGTCCTGTTACCTGATGATGTGTTTAACTAAACATTCCTATTTTGTATTAACATAGTAGTTTTATTAAAAATTTTGTTTACCGCCCAACCTATGTGTAGAGGATAATATTTTAAAAATTTTGTTTACCACCAGATTCACGTGAGGAGAATAAAGTTTAAAAAAAATCTTTTTAAGGCTATCTTAAATTTAATCTCAGTTTTGAAGCTGTGACCATGTAAAAATTAAAAACCTACTCAATTGGGAAAGGGATTGTTTAAATTGTTAATATTTGGTTTGAACAAAATTAAAAAATTTAATAAAAAAAGCATAGTTGCTTTTGTATATTCATATCAACAAAGGATTTTCTAGGAACTTATCACAAACATTAAAACTGGTTGCTGGATGGCTCTATTTACTGATAATACAACACTTTAGTCTTGAGAAAAAGTCATCCCTTTTTGATTGGTTAGAAAAGGCAGTTGACTATATATCTAATCTTTTTTTTTTTGTGTAAGCTTGAAAAATTGTGAATGTGAACTCCAACAAAACTCAGTCATTTACTGCAAATAATTATTGAAATATTGTTAATGAATGACAACACTTTCCCTGAGATCTTTACTTTATGTCTTCTTTGATTATTGACCTCTAATAGAAACCATATATACAATCGATTGCATGTATATATGATTTATAATAACAGTTAATAATACATATGGCATTTATAACAACTGATTGTATAATGCTAAGATCACCAATTCTACTCTCTTCCTCCATAAATCTCTTAATTTTCCCTTAATAGAATACTGTCATATAGAATACTGTCATACTCTAAAAATTTTTATTCGTCTAGTTTTTTTCCTTGCACACCAACGCTTTGAAACTCTCTTCCATCTTCATATTTTTCTGACTAATACAAGTAATCAGGAAAAACAAGTAATAGTTTGATGAATATTTTACTCCATCTTACTTCAAGAAACCACGCTAAAGTTGAAATTCTGCATTTCAGACATTGAAAGAAGCTGGGGTTGGAATTGAATTTCTCACCTAGACAAAATGTAGTTGCAAAAGAATAACAAGCAGAAAAGAATATGTTTCTGATACGAGAGTGTAAAAAAAAATAGAAAAGCAACAAGTAAACTGCTGCAGGTTATTATGGAGAAGCACAGTGTTGCAGGTTATTATGGAGAAGCACAGTGTTTCTATGAGTGACAGAACAGTAAGAAGAAGATTGTTTGACATTGGGTTTAAAGCTTGTCAAATACTTTAAAGCTTTAAAGGTTTAAAGTTGTGAAAGAAACAAGAGGACACTGTATTATTCAGTTGGGGAACAAACAAGAGAAGACTGTATTGTTCAGCATGTTAAGCACTCAACGCAGGTTATGATATGGAGTTCAACAAGCATTTTCGGCATAGGTAAGTTGTATATTGTAGAGGGTAAAATGAGCTAGGACCAGTACAAGACTCTGTTGAAGAAGCATATCATTCCACAGTTGAAGGAGTGGACTGCAAAGAAAGGATTGCAGGGCGTTGGAGACCTAATTTTTATCCATGATGGAGCACCTTGCCATAAAAAGTGTATAAAAACATTCAGAATGTTTTTATTTTTATTAAAAAAGTAAAAAAGGTTCCATTCTATAAAGTTGCATTTTTATGGTTTTTTAAAAAACAATAAAATTTAAAAAGTTTCCTCAATTATATTTAATGGTTTTTAAATTTTAATTGATTTTGTCACTTTTATAGACAAAGATCCATTTATCACAAATGCTAAATTTATGTCAAACTATAGGAATATATATAGAGAGAGAGAGTAAAATTTTCTGTCAAAAACTTAAAAGACTAAAATTGGTTCTAAAGTTATTCCTGAAATACTAAATGGGGGAACTTCGCCACCTATTTATATCAAATAGAAATCCACTTTGATTGGATAATTAATATAATTTTTTTTTCCTCTTATATTATTTTTTTTCCAAGTCATGTTGTTCTTATAATCAATTAAAAATAACTAAATTGATCAATTAACAACAACAATGCCTTAAAATTATATAAGAATATCCATCACCAAATATGGCAAAAAGCATGTGAATAGCCGTTGCAAAAATTGAAGCTGGAGGACTGAGTTGCAAGCAAGCTGCAGAATGGCATGGTACACTTCAAAGGACACTAGGAGGAAGAATTCAATATCCAGAACGAATAGCCAGGGCTGATACATTAACAACTCTTAGCTATGTGATTGTATCCTTACTGGTTCAGATATTTCAAGTTCTAGGTGACTAATAATATAAGTTCTAGGCTTATTGTTCCCTTAAATTCAATCCATGGTGTTCAACTATTTGAAAGAAACAAATGAAACTACCTTATTCATGAATGAAAAGCCAATGAACGAGTGGTACATTGGTTTTAAGCAACACTAGTTACACAAATCAAGTCAACACAAAACACTATCAGCAGCTTCATGCACTAACCAAGTGATTGATGAACTTTTTGTGACCCTTTAAACAACTTATAAAAATACAGACAAATTGGACAAGCCACAAAATAATTCCAACTGTGATAAATTTGGATTAAATTGTAATCAAGGTTAATTAGAAGAAGAGCAAGGCAACAAATTTTAATGGTGGCAGTAATCAAAAAGTTAATTACACTTTCAATAACTACTAAAATGCCAACAGTAATTATTTGCCACCTTTTGTTGTCTACAAAGCAAAACATTTTTGGGTTCAATGGGGTATTGGTGAACCTCCTGGTATGTAGCAGGAAGTTCACTATTAACCCAACTACACTTTTCCTCTTTCTGGTTGAATGGTGGAGGATCCATGTAAAATCTAGAGTTCATTCTTTTTAAAAATACAAATTGTCAAGATCAAGTGGTTTTTGCAGCTAATTTAATTCATAATAATAAATACACTGTGACAATTGATGAAATCAATTAAAGATTACAATAACAGTTGTTTACTTTTTAATATATATAATTTTTATTTAGTGTTATTTAATAAATAACTTTTGCAACAACCTGATTTATCAAGATTATTTTTGAATTGATTAATTGTTATTGATTCTATGGTGGTAAATCATTTCATGCTTTTACAACTCTACATGGAAAGAAACCATATCTAGCATTAATTTTTGCCTTTGTTAACTTTTGGTTATGACCATGAAAATTGGAATGTTTTTATTGAGCTCAACATATTGAGTCATTTATTCAATTAATATCCTCATAATCTTTCTGCATTTTATATTGAAAAATTAGATCTACTTGTAAACGACGCTCTTCTAGTGTTGTTAACTTCATTAACTGTATTCTTCTTTTATATGACATTATTTTTTAAACCTAGTTTAAAGGTACTAGTTTTTCTTCTTGTTTCTAAGGCAACTATGTTGACAGAATAACATTGACTTAATAATTTTACCATTCTTCAAAATTTTTCGATTCATCTTATTCTTCAAAATTTTACTAAATTCAGGCATTTACTATCATGTTAAAAATATCTAATGAGCAACTATTCAAAAATGCTGTAAAGAAACTGGTTTTAAAAATATTGATTATCCAACATTTCCTTTCCTGCTTGCAAAATTACATTCATTTCAAAAGATTACATGCAGTCAGTGGTTTTGAAATTACAGGTCTCTATCCATTAAATAAAAATATTCAATAGAAGGTTTCGCTAATACTTTTTTATATTTATCCTGGTTCATCAACCCTTCAACTATATAAAAAAGGTAATTGCCCTTATAACTGACCACCTTTAGAGGGTGGTTTACTGCTTCCGAATACTGTCTGGGTTATATTTTTATTTTGACCTGCCTCTAACAAGAAAAGACTTATCCATTACTTCAAATTAGAACTTATCTGAGAAACACGCCTGAAAAAGAATTTAAATAATAAGAAAACTCATATAAATATCTTTATCAGTGATTCTGTTACAATGAACAATCAAATAAGTATTTACTTACAACTTTCCAATCTTCAGCAGACTTATCTAAGTGTAGTTTAACATTTTGATTTGATTGCTGGAGTAAGTTGAGATTTCTATGTGGGTCTGCAGCATTTAAACCCTAGTTTTGATATTCAACGCATTGTAGTTCTGTTAGAAATCATGATACCAGATTTTTTTATGATTTTAGTAATTTCTTTTATACTTTTAGTTTTTAACACAAATATTACAAATTGCCTGTTTTTCTATCGGTGTAGTGATGTGTGGTCTCCCACATTTTTCGCTTCTGACACAGGTATTTTTTTGTCAAGTTCAACTTTGATTCTGCTTACATTTATCACAAAAACATTAACTAAATTTTTTTTTGGAGAGATTTGAAATTTTTAGTAAAGCAGATATTTCTGAAACTTTTTAATAATAATGTAAAAAAATAAGTAAGGTAATAAATATTTTATAAATTAGATACGCATTATCATGCAAATAACAATTTTGAAAGTTTTCGCATATTCTACCTTATTAATGCTGAAAATTTCTACAATTATTTATAAATGTTACAACTTCTTTAAAAAAAAAAATGTAGAAAACTATTATTGATATTTAAATCTTTAAATATCAAATTTATTCATTTGAAATTCAAATTTAATTACATTTAACTTTTGAAAGAAAAAACAAACTATAACTAATAATTTGGCAGACAACTGTGTGTATATTTAAATATATATATATATATATATATATATATATATATATATATATATATATATATATATATATATATATATATATATATATATATATATAGAGAGAGAGAGAGAGAGAGAGAGAGAGAGAGAGAGAGAGATCTGCTAACCTGGATTCTGCGTATCCTGACACGATCAGCAAGGCGATGGATGACTGTCTCAATCATTTCTTCAGCATCAGAAGAAAGCTGAATAAGCGAATTTTTTGATTTAGGTTTGTATTGAATAGGAACCAGTGTTGGATTTACCTCAAGACCTTGTTTTGTAAAAAAAATCAAATGATAAAAAAAATGTTTTTTTTATAATTTTAAGATTTATTGAAAATTTATATTTAATTTCAGTTAACACAAATTTTAATACACCTTTAGTAGTAAACACACTGTCAACATCATCACAAAACCTATTGTAATCCACATAGTTAGAATTTCCTTCTGACTTGTAGCTGAAAAGAATTTTTCAATAAAGATAACTCAATAAAGGCAATTTTGTTAAGTTAAATTTATGTTAGATTAGTTTATTCATATTAAATGTAAAAACTTTCATAAATCTTTAACAAAACTTTGTTCAACAAAAAAACCTTTAGAAACTAAAGGTTTTTTTGTTTACATATTTTTTTTAATCTTATAACTGTATATAGAAGGTTGTCCCTAAACAATTAAAAATTTTGTTAAAAAGATGTTTAGAAATAACAACTTTTTTATTGGGTTAACAATATTTCTTTATGCTTTATGCAACAGCAAAATTTATAAATATTGTTATTATAATAATTACAAAAAAAAAAAAATTTACTTTAATATAGTGAGTATTTTTTTTTTTTTAACTTTGGTAATTAATGAAGGAAAATGTGTTTTTTTGTAATGTAAGTAAAAATAAAAAAATATTTTTTATTTGAATTACTCTGCAGCTGTTTTTCATAACGTCTTAGAGAAAAAAAAAAACAATTTTGACTTTTTACAAAATAAGCTAGTTTAGATATCTACAAACGTTATTGAATACATGTTTTTAAAAAATTCTAAAAAAATTCAAAAAAATTATTAGTTTCAAAAAGCGTTTTACAAAGAGTTCCTCCAAATAATTTTTTTTAACTGCGTTTTTCTCGAAATATGTAATAAGCATATTAAGGTGTTTTGAAAAACGGCTGCAGTACTAGCAAGTAACTAAATTCACTTACTAATCCATAACTGTATCAATGTCATATGCCGTTAGTCTTAAAGATGAAATGTTTAATGCTCTAGGAAAATTGATCTTTAGCATTTTCCCAGTTCGCAATTTATCAAAATCTTTCATAAACTCGTGTATTCGTATTGATTCTCGAAAAACCTTTGATCGGATCTTGTTCATCACATTATCTTTTCTTTCATTATTATAGATGTCTTTTCTTTCTTCAACTATCTAAACCATGTTTAAAATATGTTTAAAAATTTAAACCATATTTAAAAATCGAATTAATAGTAAAGAGAGTAACATCATTTTTATAACAATTAACAATAATGAAATAAAAAAATAAAAATACAGAACAAGTGTGAATAAAATACAGTTGATATTTATAGAAGAAATTTCTAGTTATCGTATTTATGGAATAAACATACAATGAACCCCATTATCTGAGTCATGGTAACTTCATCATTCCACATGTTTTTTAGTCTATTTCCACATGTTTTTAAAACTATATTGATTGTAATTAACACATTTCAAGCGGGTATTCTAAATATTATTAAGATTACTTGCTTCGAGTAATGCTATCTAAACCACTAATAAATACCAGTTCGCTCAAAGTCTACCAAAGCATTTAAAAATTTTTTAAATTTATTATGATATAAACTATTTTTTTTATCAAAACTTTAAACAACAATATGTATAGTTTTTCTACCACTTACTAAAAAATATTGAAATAAGGATTAAGTATTGAAATGGTCAGTGTAAAATAGACTTACCAAAACCCGTATTTTATGGTGTTGGACAGCTATTATAAATGATAGTTGCCTTTTTCAATGTCCTAACATATTTTGAACACTTCAAGTTTAAGTTCAGACAACACTTTAAAAATTAATAAATAAAAATTTAAAATTGTCCTTTTTTGACAATTTTTTTGACAAAGACTTTTTGTCTTTTATGTTTTGATGACACCCGACCAAGTTTGAACCCTCAGCATGATATACATTTCAGTATGACATCAATGACATTTCATGCAAGTTTAAGTAAACAAAGATATTTGGTTTAAGTTTTTGCAAGTAAGGTAACTATTAAAGAAAAAAAAATTATTTTTTTAAAAAAAAGGGTAAAACTTTTAATCTTTATACATCGCTATAGTAAAAGTAACTTTTAAAGCACCATGTGTATGTATACCATGTGTATACAGATTTAGTTAACATATTTAAACTATTTAATAGTATAGTTTAATGAAACAAATATAAAGTAAAAAAACATTTAACATTATTTGACAGTATAGCTTAATGAAGCAATTATAAAGTAAAACAACATTTAACATTATTTAACAGTATAGCTTACAATATAAAATAAAGACAAGGATTTATAATACATTCATAAACTGGCTTTAAAAAAGTTAGGTAAATTTTTATTGTTAAATAATTTATTTTATACAAAAAATGTCACATAATTTTAGGAACCTATGAGAACCAAAATTAAGTACTTGAACTAGTAAGTACAATATGTATACAATCTATTTGAACTATATATGTTGCCCCTAATATCCATCTATCCATATTTAGATGCAAGTCTGGATTTGATGGTGCGCAGGACAGTGTTTACAAATAGGCAAGTCAAAGGTGATCAAAATTAAACGAATTAAGAGTGCTTGTTTATTACTTGCATAGTACCATTAGACCTCAGTGGATTTAATTATAATAAAAACGTTTTAATGTTATTCATCTAGAGTTTTCAGGCAATAAATTTTAAAAATAAAAAAATATTTATGATTTTTTATTATATATAGATATGATAATTAATCTAAAAACTTGTTTAAATTATCATGTACCTCTGGTAATTTGATAATAGAGTTCCAGTCTAAGAACAATTTTATTTTTAAAGTTTATTCCACCAGATGAGCATTTATGATGCTGAAGCTATATTACTTGTGTTTACCATGATATTTTTAAAACTGTAAATATGAAAGATTTGTTATTCAATTCCAATTTGAAATTAAAAGAAATTAAAATTTAAATCTGCGTTTTTTAAGTTTTACAAAGTTTGTTAAATATTTTTCAACAAAAAAATTATTCAATTTAAACTTATAAGTAAATATATCTTAATACAAATTGATTGTTTCAACATTTAAAGGGTTTTAGTGAAAAAAATAAATAAATAGAATAACTACTATCCAGTTACAGGTGCTTATGTTAAAAACAAGTAAACAATTAGAAGCGAGTGACTAACTTTTAATCTTGTGGAGAAATAGTAATGATTATTCTGGATTTTACTTAAGAAAAAACCAGAAGTATCATAACCATTTTTTCACAAGATTTGAGTGCATCAGAAACAATATTAAAAATCTTAATTAGGTTTCTTATTCCAGGAACAAATCTATGTTGATTGATTTCAAGCAGGTTCTGGTCAAACATATGCTTGACCATAGAATCACAAATTATGTGTTCTATTATATTGCAAGGAACAAAAGTGAGTAAAATTTGTGATATTTTGCTAGCAATCTTTCTTAAAAATTGGTATGATGTTGGCCTGTTTCCAGCAAGCAGAAACTAGTATTAGTGAAAAGCTTTTTTCAAATCAGCAAGAAAGGCAGAACTAATACTGATTGGCCTTATAATATACATAAAAGAAATGTTTTTTAAGCAAGTTGCAGAGCTTAGTTCCATCACATGTTTGTGTGTACATTTTGTATATTCCTGAAAGTACACCATTGCTATTTCTGAAAGTTCAAATGCAATATTTTTAGTTTTGGCTTTTATAGTAAAGTCGTCAAAAAATTATCTTAACATAATCTTGTGTTTATGTGTGAAAAATAATAAACAAGTTTTTTAACATATTAGGATTTGTTAATTATTAATTCCACAATTATTGGTCTCACAAAAGAGTTACATGAAGACAAGCAAATGCAATTATTAGTCTCACAAAGGTACATAAAGAAAAGCACTTTTTCTAACTTTTCCAGTTAAACTTTTTTTAAAAGTTCTAACTGGAAAAGATTTAACTTTTTTTAAAAGTTCAAACTATTTCAAACTTTAATTCAGCTATGTTAAAAAAACACAAAAGTAATACCAAGTATGTGTAAAAGTATTTATTTGCTTATCATCATTAATAAGGACTAAAGTAAATAATATCAATGAGTATTCTTCTTATAGTTTGCTTTAAAAAAGTTAGTGCATCTAAAGTTTCATTATTTAAAGAACTTCTTATTTTAGTAGCAAAAAGTCCAAGACTAGAAAAAGCTTTCGCTGCTTCTACGGATGTAGGAGGAATTATATTAAGAGCTTTGAAAATTAAATCTAAACACTTGGGCCTTTTTAGTGTCTGATTGTTTAATAAAAAGTTTGAGTTGTTGATCTAACCCTTACAGAAGTATTCCATGGAATTCAATAAGTATTCCATAAAATTCATATGGAATTCTTCGAAAAAACCATGGTTTTCCCATGGAATCGCCATGGATTTTACAAATGCGAGTTTAAAGTACTGTTGTAACTCGTAGAGTTATAATTATTTGTAACTTGAGAAAATAATATTATTTGCATTCTTCTGTTTGTCTCGAGGCTTAAATATTGGTCCCAAGATGTCTCGAGACTCATTTAACTGTCTTGGTCCTAGTTTTGAAGTTTGGAGTCTTGGTCTTATTCTTGGTATTGAATCAAAATGTCTTGGTCTTAGTCTTGGTCTTTACTGTGTTTAGGCCTCTGGATATTATTACATTATGATGCATTATAAAATGCATGTATCTATTTATTATTTATATATTTAACTATACATTATTTATGGATATGCATATTCTAGCTATTGCCAATGGCTTAGCTTACTTTGCATAACTTGCAATAGTATAGCAAGAATGTCAATTGAATTAGTTTGATTTTTATTGTTTATTTGGTTTACTACAAATATTTTAGTTTTAATGTACATTAGATAACTAGTGTATTAGATAAGCTTAGATAAGCAGTGTTTTGGATAAGCTTAGATAAGCAGTGTTTTAGATAAGCTTAGATAAGCAGTGTTTTGGATAAGCTTAGATAAGCAGTGTTTTGGATAAGCTTAGATAAGCAGTGTTTTGGATAAGCTTAGATAAGCAGTGTATTGGATAAGATTAGTTAACTAGTGTATTAGATAAGCTTAGAGAAGCAGTGTATTAGATAAACTTAGATAGTGTATTGGATAAGATTAAATAACTAATGTACAAAAGAAAACTAGTATTATCTTTTTTGATTTTTCTTTTTAATGGCTTTAGTTTGAATAAAAATGTTTAAAGTTATAACATTTTATTGTATGGTAAATATTTATTAAGTACTAAAACACTTTATTTTATAATAAATGCTTTATTCAATTTTAGTTCTGTTAAGTTGTCTTAATTTTGAACGACTATTCAAGTCGAAATTTAGTTAGCAACCAGATCTATTAGGGATATTTATTATGTTTTTCTTTACTAATAAATAGCAGAATTATTAGAATATGTAAATAATGTAATACTTTGTGTATAAATCCTTTCATTTTTACTTTACTATTTTATTTAAATTACTACATTATAAGCTGACAGGTTTGACTAGCGATATAATTAATGTTGTTCATCATTTATATCATTTATAACATTCTCAGTTTTTATATGCATTTAATATTTTTTTAAATAGTTTAAAAGCTGTCTAAATAAAAGGGTGAATTGAGTTTGAATTAATTAGAAAAGATATAAGTGTAATCTTTGGGATTCAACTTGTAATGATGTTTCAACAACAATTTAGTTGGAGAAGGAAAACTATGGTAATGTTTTAAAAATATCAGAAAAGGATGTTAATTAATGCACAAGATTTTACTTCACAGTTAAATATAAGCATATAAAACCAATGTTTATAAATAAACACTATTTATTATACTACAATTATTTTTATTTGTTTATATTTAACTAATGTGTCTTGAGCAAAAATAAATTAGTTTATGCACACACTTTTATATTTATTATGTTTTCACCTTAATATTAAGTATATTAAGGTAAAAACATAATAAATATAAAAGTGTGTGCATAAACTAATTCATTTTTGCCTAAGGCAATTTTCATATTTATTATATTTATTATGTTTTAAATAACAAAAATATAATAAAATTTTGAAAAGTCCTTTTATTTTAACTTTATCATTTTATCATTTTATCATTAACTTTATCATTTTATTTAAATTACTGCATTATAAGCAGGCAATTTGACTGGAAATAATTATATAATAAACATCTTTCAGATTGGACAAAGAAAAAGTAAACTTTTTTTAAACTACAATTTTAAAGTAATATTTACTTGCTGCCTTGATCTATATAAATGTTACCAACATACAGGTAATGTTTATATATGTGCATTATTCTCTTCATTTTAACTTTATCATTTTATTTTAATAACTACATTATCAGCAGGCAGGTTTGACTGGCGGTAGAAATGTTTTACATCTTTCAGATCACCATGCGAATAGCTCAAGTAAAAAAGCGGTAAGAATCTTATAATTATTATTTATAAATAATGATATATTTGATTGCTACTTTTTTCTATATAAATATTACCCTAGATTTGACAACATTTATATAGAACATTCAAAAAGTTAAGTGTTGATGCGTAATTAAGTAAGTTATAATAGATAATAATTATAAGTATAAATAAATTAGTAAATAAAGAAAATTAATTAGTATTTGTATATTAATTGTACAATTTGTTGTCTAGATTGGAGAAATGGACAATAATACTAACTTTGGTGAAAACAACAATGAATATCAAAATGTAAATGGTAATTTGTTTAACGATTACCTGGTTCTACAATTACAGTTGGCAGTGCAATTGCACTTGTAAATGGTCTAGATGTTTTTTTGGATTGAATATGTTGTATTGATAATTCTTTTTAATTTGTTGAAACTTAAAGTTATTAATTATCAAATTTATATATACTATTTTTATCAAATAGTTTACATAAAATAACAAACATATATATTCTGTAAAAATTGTAAAAATTCTTAATCTATTTCAATTGTTTATCACTGTATGTATATCACTTACAGTATGATATTACTTGTAGTTTTTTGTTTTATTTAATTTCAGTATGCTTATACATACGCATGCATTAAATAATCTAGTGAAGTCAAACTTTAATGTTTTAGGTTCATTATATTTCAAAGATCTATTATTTTTCAAAGATTTTTAGGATTCAACAAGATTTAAATTTTATTTTGTTTATTAATTTTATTCTGCAAAAGTGATCCCGTAGATTAAAAGTACTCAATAATATCAGTGAGTTGTGTGATAAAAATTGCTTTTAATGATTTTATATGACAATTGAAATAACATTAAATTTCAAAAAACTTGAAAACAAAAACATGCTATTTTACCCATATAAAAACCATGGAATTTCTATGGGTATTTGGAACACCTTTCCATGGAAAACTCATGGGTTTTCCATGGAAATTTTCTGTACAGAAAATTCCTTTTTGAGTTATAAGTTATATCAATATTTACTTCCTTGTTATCATCAGAGCTATCATTGGATGGCTGAAATAATCCTAATTGGTCATCTTTATTTAAAACATTTGGATTTGACAAGTACTTTATGAGATGAATTAAATGAATGTTTCTTCTTTCAATTATTCTATATTCAAATATCTGTTTAATAAGTTGATGTTCAAGCATATCAATAGTACTGCTCCATCTTGTCCTTGAATCACAAACCAAAGCTTTTTCTTCTCCAAACTTTCTTAATTCTATTTGGTTGAAGTTCATCATCATTGCTCACTGGTGATCTATGATATTTCAACTTTGTTTTTTGTAAAGAGCGCATCAATCACACATACATAAATAGTGTGGTTGTAATACATTTGATGTTCAGGTTTAGTGTCATGACCAATTTTTTTTCATTAAGCTAGCTCCATCAGTAACAGAAGTTACAATGTCTTTGTTCAAATTAAATCAAATGAATTAAGTTTATGACTGATCAATTTAATGGCTTTTATTGCTGGCATTTTACCTTGGATTCTTAACATTTCAAGCATTTAAAATCCTTCATTATGATCTAGATTTAAGCTCTTATTTTTTTACTGAAGTAAAAAAAAGAAGATATATGAACTTAAATCTATCATGTATCTTCTTTTTTTTAATCATCAAATGTAAGACTAAATTGATGTTTATCTTCAAGTTGTATTTTCAAAGAACTTATAACTTGTTTCTTACTAACTCAAAGTGTTTAATGACAAGATCACGAACAGTTTGAGGACTTTGAGGGATTTGGTATCCCTGGGCCCAAAATGCACTTTTAGCAATAGTGTGAAAGCTGATTTCATCAATAGCTGATAGTTGACTTGAAATTTCACGTAGAGTTTTATGGTCAACCATAAAACTCTACGTATAACAATTAAAAATATGTAACGCACGTAACTATTTTAATTTTAAAACTTAAAAGTAATATTTTTAACCATTTGTTTACATATTCCATTACATTTGTTTACATATTCCATTTGTGACTTTATAAGTGTTGCTTTTGAAAAAAAGTATCGTGCAACAAAAATTAGTAGTAACAAAAAACTGTCTAAATAAGTTTAAAATATATATATATATATATATATATATATATATATATATATATATATATATATATATATATATATATATATATATATATATATATATATATGTTTGAGAAAAAAACTTTTACAGAAAAAAAACTCGAACTTGAACCTCTTAAAAAATGGAAAAAGTTCAAACGTTTGAACTTGAACATGTAGTAGATAGGCAACCATAATACCGGTCAACTGATGGTTCTGCAAATTCTAGAACTAGATTAATCACATTAAAGTATTGAACCAGATTACATTGAAGTAGCTGATCATGCTTTTCAAGTAAATATACGTAAGCTGAAATGTTTAAAACTTTTTTCAAAGCTGTACTAATAGTGGTCCTAAAATAAAAAATTCCAGTATAGCATTGCATGCAATATTGCATGCAAGGAACTTTTTTGGTAAACCCAAGAGGGTAATAAACTTTTGCATTGTAGATATATACTGGGTCAAATTCTAACGCCTAATTACTTATTATTTCAAATTGATTTTTACCAAATGTTGGTTGTAGGACATATTAAGTGAGTTCAGCCATTCAAACAGTTTAAAAGAATGTGCCTGCTCAGATGCTACTGTTTAAATGGAACACACCAGATTGATACTTTATTAATATCAACCCAGAGGTTGGTATTAATAAAGTACCCATCTGACCTGTTCCATTTAAATAGTTAAAGTCTCTATATAACTGTGTTGTCAAATGCTCCAAAACATTTTGTAAATCAACCAGTCTACGTGAACGTACGCAATAGTCCATTGTGGAAAACCAAAGAACATTCGGTAAGAAGAAATATTCGGTGTATAAATGCGAGCAAAAAGACTGTGAAGGCAGCAGGAAAAAGACAAGAATACTGTTTGTTATTCAAGAGTTTATTAGAGTTTATATATGTATTGTTTGACTTAGGGTTTATCACATTGGATTCTGTATATGTTTTTTTTTAAAGCTTTTTACATTGGAGTTTGTTATATTAAAGTTCATTTATATATATTTGTATTGAAGTATTATTTTCTTGTTATTGAGGAATCTTTATCATAAACTCCATATTTTTGTAATTTTATTTTTTGAAGAATCAACACTCCAACAATGAAAAATTTTGTGAAGAATCAACACTCCAACAAAAAAAAATTTTGTGAAGAATCAACACTCCAACAATGAAAAATTTGGTGATTTTTTTTTTTGCTTAACTAAAATGGATGTGTGTTTTGTTAATATAAATATTTTTAGTTGCGATTTCTGGGCTTACAGATCTGCATAAGCTCTGCATAAGTATTAGATTTTGTCTTTTTTAAAATTTATTTAGAGAGATGATGTATTCATCTATAACAAAGGAGGAAGAGGGTTATACACAAAGTAAACATTTGAATTTACTAGTAATAAGTAGTTCCCAAAATACAAATTTTAGAGATCAACAATTATGCATTAGCAAAAGATTTTGTGTTGTTTATTAACATGTTTAATATGAAACATTACTACCTCTAAAACCCAATTGCGTTAAACATTGTCTCTAAAACCCAACTATATTAAACATATTTGTTACATAAAAATATTGTATGTTCAACATATTTAGAAAAAACTATTTTACTATTTTGAAAAATAAATAATTGTAAAAAGACATAAATAAACAGAGAGTATTTTAAAAGTAAATAAAGATACAACTAACAAAATTAAAACTTTTAAAATAAAAACCTTGGCTTTGTCTAAAATTTTTAAATCATTAATTCGCTTTAAGTATATGTGTTCATATTTTTCAGCTGGTTGCAGTTCATCTAAGAATTTTATGTAGTTGAATCCTGCTGCATCACTAAACCTTTTGTAAACTATATCTATGTCCTCTTCATTAAAACTTAAATTTAGATATGTCATACATTGACAAAACTGAGATTTTGTTACATAACCACGATGATGCCTGAAAATAGAGAAAATATTATCTATATTATGTTAGTATTATCATGGTCATCATCAATAATTTTTAATTTAATTATTACAAATAAATACAATTTCACTAATAATAATATTATAAACAATAGTATTATGCTATCATCAACAAAATCATTACTACTATCTTATAACTTGTTGGTCATAACAAATTTTTACAATTATAAAATAATATAGCAAAATGTAAATTAATGAGAAAAACGAACTTGTCAAAATCTTGGAAAAAGGGTTTGGTCAAAGTTCTTCTTTGCTCTATCTTTTCTTTCATACTTTGTATTACATTATTAAAAGCATTTTTTGCTTCATCAGATTGAGATTCCCAGTTAGAAGAAGCTTTTGACATCAAAACATCTTCTGAAGATACCAACTTAATTGTGGGGCTTTTTTCAAAGCTTTTTTGATTTAAAACTATATGTAAAATATTAATTAATGTAACTTGTTGCAATAAATAAAAACCTAAAAAATTATTTTTAAAAGGGTGAAGACTTGACTCACTTTTAAGACTCATGAAACATAAACAAAGACCTTTGACTACGATTCTAATTTATTTTTAAGACTTTAAAAGCAAGCATTCTAATATTTAAAAGTATTAAAATTATTTTGCAGACTTCAAAGAGTGGATAGTAAAGAAGTGTGACAGATGTTGTGGGTGTGACAGGTATTGGAAACAAAAGAGGGAAAAAACAAGAGAAACTATTAACAAACCATAATGACTGTGTAATTAACAAGTTGTGATAAAAAATCTGGTTTGTAATGACCAATAAAAAAAATTGCTAATAAGTTTTTGGTTGACAATAAAAGCAAGAGTTGAAGCAAACATGTAAACTCTAACAAGTCATATAAAAAATGTTTTATAGAAGTATGTTTAGAGTATTTATACTGACAAAAAGTTGTTTGGAGTATGTAAGGCAATATTCACAATTTAATACTCTTGCTCCATGTTTTTAGTATTTCATGAGATGTATCATGAAAAGTTTGAATTACTTTTGAAGCACTTTTCCATTATAAGATAAGATAAATTATAGCTTATGCATGAAAAGTAAATGCATAACTTATGCATTTACTTTTAAATGCATTACATGAAAAGTAATGCATTTACTTTTCATTACCCATTTTATATATATATATATATATATATATATATATATATATATATATATATATATATATATATATATATATATATATATATATATATATATATATATATATATATATATATATATATATATATATATATATAATATATATATATATATATATATGTATATATATATATAAATATATATATATATATATATATATACATATATATATAGGGCCTATTCTAGGAAAAAAATTAGGGCAGTGGTACCCCCATTTTACCCTAATTTGCGTTTTCTTTCGCAAAAAAAAAACAGTAGTTGCTGTAAAAACATTAAAAAAAAAAAGGTCCTCAAATTTTAATTTGGGCGACGCCCAAATTGGCGCCAAAATGCTGTCAAAAACAGTCTAGAATAGCCCCTAATATATATCTATATACAGACTTTAATATACAAAAAATTGTTGTATATTAATCATTAAAATAAAACCTTTTTCCACATCATTCACAAAATGTAGCCAAAGAATGTTTTCCTTTATATTTATGTCTTGATATTTTTTTAAAAGAGCATTTATTTCCTGTTCAGTAACCTGTTGACCTGAAGCACTTAAACCCATTCGAAAACGAGATATTGGTATAGATCCATGTCGTAGAGGATCATAATCTTGGAAAAATTCTGCTATCTAAATAGAAATTATCAGAATAAAAATATTGCTTTATGCATAAGAAAGAGATGCAATTTTATTATGCTTGCTATACACATTTCAAGCATATTTTATTGACAACTAAATAGCTTCATGACAATCTATATTAATATATTATGGTGTAGTGGTAAAACGCTCGCTTCATAAGCGAGAGGTTCGGAGTTTGATTTCCACCACAACCCTGGAAGTACCGCGCTCAACTTGTTTTTCCGCACAGCAGCCTTGTTCATCAAGTTTGTTGTTTTGGAGTTATAGAGTTGAGAGAGGGTTATAACCACAAGTAGCCTCCTCATCTGTAGTGGCCTTCTCGGCTTTGGGGCGGTGAATTACAAAAAAAAAAATATATATTACTTTATATATATAAATATAAACCAATTAAATTTACAACAAGTATTTTCAAATAATTCACCAGTCTTCCAACAACAAAATAATATTTGTTAGATATGCAAATGCAACCAGAAAAACATCTTGGGGGCTGTTTGAATTTAGTGTTTCACTTGACAATTATGGTTACTGTGGCAACTGTAATTACAACAGTAAGATTATTATGAGTGCAAACTATATAAAATTGACTATTAACATTTTTTATTCTTTCTTTACCTTGCCTAATATTTTAATCTGTACATTTTACAAAGTTTACAAGCCATAATTACTTTTAAGGTTTTGGTTAAGCATAAATGAAAATTTATGCTTAGCCAAAACCAAAAGCAATTATTATTTAATTTTTTAAATCAATTAATTGGTTGAAATTTTCTTAAGTAAATTGAATTGGTATAGTGCTTGAAAAACATAAAGTAGAAAAAAAAAATTATTTTGATCATTTCAAATGCCTATTTTAAAGTGTTATATGTCTGACCAAAAGTAGATTTTTTCATGATTTTTGTAATTTTAATAATAAGTTAAGACAAAAAACTCTAATTCCTTGATTTTTTTTCCTCAAACATTAGTTCTTTAATATTCGCTCCTTTCTTCTTGTTTTCCTGATTCATATAATTTGCAACCTTTTAAGTTGTCTGTTAATTGTTATCTTGCTTTCTTTTCTCTTCAAGTAATGGTTACTTAATAATGGTTACTTGCAGCCTTGTTAAAAGTGATGTAAAAAAAAAAAAGCTCTTCAATTAGATATTTAATATGGTAATAATGAGCTCAGCTAAGGGATGTTGCAGCCAATAGAATATTTTCGATGAGTAATGGAAATTATATCCAAACTCTTGCATTACACTATTTTTGTTTTATTTAAATATAAATCAATATATTTAATGTTCTTAAATTTTATTTTAAATGAACTTTTTTGTTTTTAAGTTAAAAATATTTTTAGTTTGTCAATATGTGAATGTTTTAATATTTTTATAACTAATAAGTCTTAAAAATCGGTGATAGAATTGACTGTTTCTAAGATTTTGAGACTGTTTCTAGGTATTTTGAAAATTTTTCTTAGTATCTTGCCTCATTAAGAATAACTGTTATAAATCTAAAATATCTAAAGAAACCCTCAAAAAGAAAAAATATTATTTGCTTCATGTCTTTAAAACAAAACTAAGAACTTTTTTATTTAAGTTTTTAAAACTACATTTATCTCTTAACAAAAAAAAAAAATCAATGTTAACTCAAAAATAACATTGATTTTTTATTAGTTTTATATATTATAGTTACTAATTAATCTAACATTGATAAATATAATATAAAAATTATTTTTTCCAAAATAAGTGAAACAAATAGGAAAAAAAAAAAATTGCAACTAACCCACTAGAGCAAACTGCAACAGTTAATGGGGTTAGTTGAACACAATACTTTGAAAGTAAAGGCCTTAGAGTTCACATAAAAATGACTATTTAATCTGTTATTAAATCTGTAATTTAATCTATTTGGCAACAAAAGTTTTATAATTACAATAAAGGGAAGTAGTATTTTCAGCTTTTTGATTATTTGAGCTGCAAATACGTTATTATATGAGACTTCACCTATACCTGACTTGTTTAGTTAATTGATAGCTACATTCAAAGACTTTATAGACTGAAGAAAGTAGATAAGAAGAATTATTATTTAAATAAATAAAAAGTATCCTCTTAGCCAACAAACAATAAATTAGTTTAGAAAAAAACATGCAGCAAAAATTTTTATGATATTTAATTTATGTTTTATGATATAAAAGTTTAAAAAAATAAAATAAAGGTTCGATTTCACAGCAATAAACTTACAATAAAAAACAAACTTCGATTTCACAGCAATAAACTTACAATAAAAAACAAACAAGTATTAAAGAAACTTAAGAAATTTCAATTCAAAATTAGATTTCTTAAATATTTTTTGTTTGTTTGTTTGTTGTTGATGTAAAAGTATTAGCGTTTTTTAGAACTAATTTCTTCATTAAAAAAACATCCATTACTTTAGAAATAACTAAAAGAGTGATCTGCAATTATTTTCTGTTTCAACTTGGTTGTGATCACTCTAATCAATGTATATAGTTTTAAACTTTAAGTAAATGTAATTTTTTTTTTTTTTTTTTTTTTTTTTGCTTTTTGCGTTTGAAAAAGATTTTTTTAACTTAACATTATTTTATTATGGTCATTTACCTCTAAGTTTACAGTAAAACCCAAAAAAACTTTGAAATTGAAAAAATAAAATTATCGCTTTTGAAATTTTTAATTTATAACTAGCAGTTTTTTATAGCTGATGCTATTTATAATGCTATATGTTAGTCTAATAATTATAACAATTTTTCAGAATTTCGACAACATGTTTCGATTATACAATAATCATTTTCAAGTATAAAACTGATAAATATAGAAATTTAAGGTGAAAGAATATTTAGGTGTAGGATTTAGAACATAGGTGTTTTATGTTTTCTTTTGTTTGACTTTACAATTACAATTAATTTTTGTTTTCACTATATATTAAATAGTTTTTGTGTTTAACAGTTTTGTACTTGAAAATGATTATTGCATAATCAAAACATGTTGTTGAAACTTTTTATATTTATTAGACTTTATTACAACTATTTGATGTGTTATAATTATAGTTATATAATGTAAAAAAAATTTTGGAACAATATATAAAAACCATACTTTAAAATGCATTGTTGCAACTTAATCCGCAATTTTTCTGAGTTTTAACAACATGTTTTGATTATACAATTAATAATAACTATTTAATATATAAAGAAAACTAACATTAATTGGACTAGTCAAACAAAAGAAAATACAAAAGTACTAATTAGTTATAAACTAGTTATAAAAATCATTCTTGCAGCTTATGTAGTTTTAAAAATGCATTGTTGCAACTTAACCCAGGTAAAACTAGCCACAGTCTCCTCTAATTTATCAATAAATCTGCTCATTAACTCATATCTGGACTTCTGTTAGCTGAGATAAGATTGCTTTTTAACAAATGCTGAAAAGCAGTGACACTTAAACAGTAAAAACTGAAAGTTTCTGACAGATATGAAATTAAAAATTCAACCCATATTTTTTTTTGAAATCACAGGAGAACAATATTAGGAATAAATAGGAAGATTATTGAATAAATAAAATTAGCAACGAGGTAGATTTGCTTAGCCAAGCTAAATATTTCTTCTTATAATAAATAAATTTATTTTTATCTTGTAAAAATTGTTAAAAAATGTAATTCTTTCATAATGTCATATTTAAATATGTGTCCGAGGTTACACTCCGATTTTGAAACATGCCTTTTTTCTAACATTTTTCCTTTTATGTTTTGTATATTAATAAGCTACACAATAATTCTAATTCGATAGATTCAATGTCTTTTGACATTTTGTTTTCTGTTAGTACATAAGTACAATCTATATTTTCCTTAAATGTGCTACCCTACTTTCCTAAAAGGGCTACCCTACTTTCCCCTAATATAAAACCTTAAACTAATAACCAAGTTCATAATTACTAATAACCAGTTCAGCAGGATAAACCTGACCTGACACAGGTCAGGTCAGGTTTATCCTGCTACTGGTAACATGTAACCCAGTACAATCTGCTTCATGTCCTGCTGCCTTGTAGGATATGCTTTTTAAGGCAAAGGCTAGGAGATGCAAACTCCGACATAAAAAAACCCCCTGCCTTGGGGCTCTTGGTTGAGTAAAGGCTAGAGATAATGTCTCAATAAAAATACTCATCTTGGGCAGATAAATGCATCCAGCTGCTGTCTTGTAGAAGGCCTTCTAGGCAAAGACTTAAGGGGTAAACAGATTCTATCTGTTGACCAGCCTCGCACCCCTTCTTCATCTATTAGGCTAGCACAGATGTATTTTTAATACATTGTTTCCAGTTTAGGATGTTGAACGCTGGATCTTCTTGACTCGATGCATGGGTTTTGCTTGTGTCTCTGTTTTTATGACTAGGCAACTCATTCTATTATCTCCAAATGAGGGTACATCTCTAAAACTCAGTTTTATGGTTCTGAGGCCGGCTGGTAGTCAGGTTTCCCGAACTCTGTGGTAGCTCTCAGAGAGGCTGATTCCATCAACAGCTGAAAAATATCAGAGTACTAACAGTGCCATGTTGCGCATGGATGGTGTTCCTGTTTTTACTTTTGGTGTGCATTGCCATGATCACATTGGAGGCCTTTGTTACGGCTTAGGGTTTATTAGTGGAAATGAGGCAATTGCTTGAGCTATAAAGCAGTGTACTGAGTACTATCTATGTTTCGAGTCAAGTTCTTTAACAAATTTAAAAATGAATAAAGTAACAAAACTATAAAACACAAAAAACCACAGCCATCACCAAGTTTGCTAAACCTATCATTCATCAATATTCGTGGTCTTCGAAGTAACTTTTTTTCTGTTGAGTCTTATCTCTTGCAAAGTTCACCAGACCTACTTGCTCTTTGTAAGACTAATTTGAGTTCAGCTGTTTCATCTTGTGATCTTAGTGTTGATGGTTATCTTCCTTTAATTCGTAAAAGCTCCAATAGTCACATGCTTGGCCTAGGCATTTACATTTATAAGAATTCACCCATTTGTCGGGAAACTAGGTTTGAATCCACAGACTACTCTGTTATGTGATTTCGTTTAGCACCACTTCACTCTATCACCTTTCTCTTTGTTCTATATCGCTCTCCTTCATCTCAAGACTGCACTCTTCTTGATGTTATTTCTGATTATATTGACCAAGCCCCCATTCTTTATCCATCAGCCAATATTGTTGTTGTTGGTGACTTTTATGTTCATCACACTGAATGGCTTGGCTCTAGTGTCAGTGACTCCGCAGGCATTAAGGCCCACAACTTTTGCTATTCTCAATCTCTAACTCAAATAGTCAACTTTCCAACTCGTTTTCCAGACAACCAGAATCATTTACCTTCTCTACTCAACTCATGTATTGTTTCTAATTCTAGTCAGTGCTCGGTTTCTCCACACTCACCCTTAGGTGCTTCTGATCATGGTTTGGTCTCTCTAAAACTATTATCTCATTCTTCTTTACCATCAGAATCCCCCTATCATTGTACATCTTACAACTACCTTAAAGCTGACTGGGACTCTTTCCGTGATTTTCTTCGTGATGGCCCCTGGGTAGAAATCTTTCGATTTCCTGTTGACAAATGTGCTTCTTACATAACTTCGTGGATTCAGGCTGGCATGGAATCCTTTATTCTCTCTCAACGACTCCAGGTCAAGCCTCATTCTTCTCCATGGTTTTCCTCACATTGTGCTGCTGCAATTGCTAATCGAAACCATTACTTCCATATCTATCAGCAAAACAATTCTCCAGAAAACAGACGTCTGTTTATTACTGCTAGGAACCATTGTAAAAAGGTTTTGTCTAACGCCAAAGCCCGCTATTCTCAGACCATGAAATCTCGTATTTCATCACAAAAATTAGGCTCTCGTGACTTCTGGAGAATCTTTAATAGTATCAATAATAAGGGCAAGTCTGTAATTTCACCCCTTTTGTACGGTTCAGACTTTGTCACCTCACCTAAAGACAAAGCTGAATTGTTTGCCAAGAACTTTTCATCAATATCATCTCTGGATTCCACTAATTTCGTTCTACCTGATAGCCGTCAAACAGGTTGATCCACTGCTCAACATCCGTATTACTCCAGCTTCTGTATCTAAAGTAATTTCCTGCTTAGACTCTTCTACAGCTTGCAGCCCGGACAACATACCTGTTATAGTCTTGCAGAAGTGTTCTCCGGAGCTGTCGTCTATCCTTTCAAAACTACTTAACAAGTGCTTATCAGAGTCTTGTTTTTCAGCCTGCTGGAAAGCAGCATCTGTTATCCCTATTTTTAAAAATTCTGGAGAGCGATCTGATTCGTCTAACTACCGTCCCATTAGTCTTCTTCCTATCATAAGCAAGGTTTTTGAATCTTTAACTAACAAACACTTAATCTTTTATCTCGAATCTCATAACCTACTTTCTGATCATCAATATGGATTTCGATCTTCTCGTTCTAAGGCTGATTTGCTAACAGTAATAACCGATAGGTTTTATCGTGCATTAGATAAAGGTGGAGAGGTTAAGGCCATCGCTCTTGACATTTCTAAGGCGTTTGATAAAGTTTGGCATGCTGGTCTTCTCCATAAGCTTTCTTCTTACGGTGTATCTGGAAACATCTTTAAGATTATCGAATCTTTTCCAATCATAGTATAAAAGTTGTCCTCGATAGACAGCACTCTTCTTCTTATTGTGTAACCTCAGGGGTTCCTCAAGGTTCGATCCTTGGCCCTATACTCTTTTTAATTTAAATTAACGATCTTCCAGATTTTCTCACATCTAAGGTGGCATTGTTTGCTGATGATACTACCATTTATTCTTGTCACGATAAGAAGCCAACTCCCTCTGATTGCTTGCAGGGGGCATCTGAGCTTGAAAAGGATCTCACTTCTGCCACAGCATGGGGCTCACAGTGGCTGGTGAACTTTAATTCAGATAAAACTCAATTTTTTTCAGCCAATCGTTATTGCAATAATAAAGACCTTCCTATATTTATGAACGGTAATGTACTTGATGAGTCTCCTACCCTTCATCTTCTAGGATTAACTCTTACTTCTGATCTTTCTTGGAAACCTTATATCAAATCCGTTGCAAATTAGCATCTGCTAAAGTCGCTTCTCTTTATCGAGCTCGTCACTTTCTTACTCTGGATTCTATTCTCTATCTCTATAAATCTCAAATCCGGCCTTGTATGGAATACTGTTGCCATATCTGGGGTGGATCTTCTAATGATGCCCTTTCTCTTTTAGACTAGGTACAAAAACGCATTGTAAACATAGTTGGACCTACTCTTGCAGCCAACCTTCAACCTCTGTCACATGGTAGTAATGTTGCTTCTCTTTCTCTTTTATACAAATACTATAATGGGCACTGCTCTAAAGAGCCAGCGTCTCTTGTGCCATCTACAAAAATTCATTCTTATGTTACTCGTTATTCAATTAAGTCTCATCCTTTTTCTGTTACTGTTCCTAAGTGTTCCAAAAACTCTTATTCGTCTAGTTTTTTTCCTCGAACATCAGTTCTTCGGAATTTGCTTCCTTCATCTTGCTTTCTTGATTCATATAATTTGCAATCTTTTAAGTCGTCTGTCAATCGTTATCTTACTCTACAATCTTTATCTTTTCTCTTCCAGTAACTTCCAACACTAATTAGTGGTTGCTTGCAGCCTTGTTGGAAGCGAAGATGTTAAAAAAAAAAAAAAAATTAAATATATAAAGAACTGTTAGTAATAGAAGCTCCTTTTATATCTAAATATAAAAGAAACAGAATCACTAAACAAATCCAAATCATATGTAATTTTCATTGCATGAAAATAACAGCAAAAATTGTGACAAATGACATTCTAAATATAAATAGTAATTTTCCTAAAAACATTGAAAAAAAAAACTGAAGCCATTTCTTTATTTTAAATAAATAAATCTATTTATGGCATAAATAGACTAAAAAAAGTGTATAAATGTTTTCTTTGTTATCAATACACTCACTCTAATCCTGTACACAAAAATATGATGACTGATTCGTTTGATTACTTCATTTACATCTATCACTGATTCACTGCATATTTCTTTCTCAGAGCTTGATGGAAAACTAAAAGTAAAAAGCAAAAAAAAAAAAAAAAAAAAAATATTTACAAGTTATTATTTATAAACAAAAAAGAAAAAAAATATTATTGTTCTTTATTAAGATATATAATAATACTATTATTTGTTTTTATAAATTTCATACTACATATTTTTACATATTGCTACTCATAGCTTATCGTATCCTAACCCCCTGCCCTCACCCCTACATCATCATTTAAATATTACTACTTATAACTATATATATTATAACTATTTATATTATAACCTATTAAATCCAAAAACTCAAAATATTATTATTCAATCATACATACATTACAACATTTGTTGTATTGATTGTTTTGGTTTGTGCATAGATTATAACATGATTCATATATATACTACAACATATTTTATTTGTAAATGCATTATGACATGTTTTCAAAAATAGCTTTAATAAATTAAAATTATTAAATTATCAATTAAATGTTGAAATTTTTTTTTCATTGGCTCCATTTAGTGAGCCAAATCAATTTTAAATCCAAATCATTAATTCCTAAAAACTGATCAGTAAAAACTTAAATAATAAAATACTTTTATAAAACCTTTTTACTCATTTCTTAACAAAGTTCTTTAACTTTACTGCTTATATTTGTTTTAGAAGTTTATATATTTTTTCAATTTTGATTATATTAATTTACCTGTTTATATTTGCATTAAATGATTTTCGAACAAACAGCACAATAATATATTATTAATACTAATAATAATAAGACAATTGAAATTATGTTATAAAAGTAGAAAGAATTAAATATTTGAATAAGCTTTTTCATACTCTAAATGTTTCATATATTTTACTACAGTTAACATTTAATAACTTCCTCTAACTCAATTCAAAATATAATTTTGAATATTAGCAATAATACAAGGTAGCATACACAGTTTTTGTTGTGTCTTGATCATCACTAACTGGAGGTTTTGCATAATATTCTAAAAAAAATTAAAATTATTTTAAACAAATGTAACTTTTTTATAACATTGTAAGCATTATCATAAATATTTTTTTTTTACTTTTGATTACATTCTCCTATATCTTTGAATATTTAAATATTTAAACATAACTGTACTTAACTACTGTGTAACTGCACTTAACATAACTTAACTACTGTGTAACTGCACTTAACATAACTTAACTACTGTGTAGCTGCACTTAACATAACTTAACTACTGTGTAACTGTACTTAACATAACTTAACTAATGTGTAAAAATACATCTTGTCACAACTAGATTAGGTCCCAACTTCATTTTATGTAAAAAAACATCAGGTTACAACTACTACAATTCACAACTACATTAGGTTACAAATATATTTTGTGTAAGACATCAACTCTACATCAATTTTACCCTGAGTAAAATTATAACTTGGAGAAATTTCAGCTCAAAATTACAAAAATAAAATTTAGAAAATAGGATTCTAAACATGTATTTCAAATGTACACTATCAATATCAACTATGAACTTTAAGTAACAAAATAAATATCCAAAATACCTTGATCAATACATTTTATAAATGCAGGGTAATTTATATCTCCACTAACTGGGTATTCAAACTTTCTATATACTACCTGAGTTTAAAGTAAAAGCAGTTACTTTAATACTAAGCTAACAAGAGAAGAACACAAGAAATCTCAAGCAAAGAATTAAAATTACTTCCAAATCTGATGGTTGAATATCCAACCCAACCATGTGCAGCATTCGGCTAAAACGAGTTTTACTCATACCTTGCGTATAACATTTACCCTAAAATAAAAAGTATGAGTGTTAAACAAGCTAAAGCAATAAACTTTTTGAGATGTAGTGATTTTGTACGTATGTTGAAATGTAAGTATCTTCCTCTTTCTGAGGCTAGTAAAGAATCAGAAAAATACATAATTTATCATTTTCTATTATTTTGTAAAAACCAACTAAATTAAAAATATTGACATAAGTGCATGTTACTTCTTTATTTTATCTTGTTAATTAATTACAATTTTAACTAGTTTATTTTGATTAGTGCTTAAACTTCACAATGTTTAATAACAATAACAAAGAAATTACCAGAAACTTGTTTTATTACATTACACTTGTACAATCTATTACTAATTCTGATGGAAGTAAAAATAAGTAATGAAATAGTGTAGTATAAGTGTCATTACTTGGTAACCTTCCATGGAAACCTTTAAAATAACTATTTTCATGTTTTCACTGATTCTTATGCATTTTTTTTAATACTCTTCAATAGAATACTATCATAATTTTTATCATTTACCATTTACAGACTTCCAAAATATTAGAAAAACTTGATAAGTTATTGCACCAGTTTTACTAAATGGTAAGTGTATTTATCCAAGACTAGAACTTCATGAGATTTTATTTCATTAATAAAAAGTATAGCAAATTGTTTACAAGACCTAAAATAATCTATTTTATTATGGAATTATTAAATGTTTAAAATTTATAAACAATTTTTATAGTCTCAGTGTTGTTAAACTAGGTAAGATTAAAAATCCAGACCGCTACTCATGGTCTACCTTTATAAATTATGCTATTTGTGGTCTACCTTTAAATACCAGCTGTGTATATTTAAATACCAAAATATAAAAAAGAAGCATTGATATAAATTTCAAATATGAATAAAGCATAACCAAGTGATGAGCACAGGATTATTTTTTTTAAACACAATCCTTCAAGATTAACTCTCTGCCTATTCTTTACAGGATTATTTGACTTTATAGAAATAGAAAAAATGTTTTAGTATATTTCTCCCTTCATGAAACAGCACATCCTCATATAAGGCAATTAGCACCTGATATTAAAAGGATATGCTTAATTTAACAAACTTTATTATAACAAGAAGAGTATATTCACTATGAAATTTTTATGTTTATTTTATTTACTCTGCATCTTAGGAAGAATGAAAATGAGTACTTTCTCAAAAATAGCACATACAAAGCACTATTGCTTATTTCCAAACTACTTAATCTTTCTCAAAAAATAGCACATACAAAGCACTATTGCTTATTTCCAAACTACTTAATCTTTCTCAAAAAATAGCACATACAAAGCACTATTGCTTATTTCCAAACTACTTAATCTTGTGACTATGGATCACAAAACTTTTAACTTTAATTCTTTAACTAAAACATAATACACTAATTCTAAAACTGTGTAAACCAGATATTTAAAATAAAATATAGCAAAATAAGGTAAACCAACTAAAAAAAAACACCATGTAATCAAGTTTCTCAGAGTCATTGAAACAGTTAAATTTAATTAATCAAGTTTCTCAGAATAAAACATAAAATAATAATGTAAACCATCTAAAAAACAACAGAATCAGTTAATATACATTAAACAGAACATAATAAGGTAAAATAAACAGATTAAAAAATACATAAAGTTTGATACACAGGTTAAAACATAGCATAATAAGGTAAAACACACAGGTTAAAACATAACGCAATAAGCTAATCATACAGGCTAAAACATAACACATTTAGATAAGACACATAGGCTAAAGCATTACACAATGAGGTAAAACACACAGGTTAAAAAATAAAATATACTGATTAAAACACAAATTAAATCAAAAAGTTAAATTAAATAGTTTAAAATACCTGATCAAAGTCTTTAAAGTATGTTAACATTAATCTTTTCTTTTTTACTACTTCTCGAAGTTGAAATAAAATTTTGCAAACTCTTTCCTCTTCTTCGTCTCGTAACAAATTTGGCTTCTTAAAAATCAAAGCAAAAAAAGTATATTTTTTAAACAGTATTAAAAATAATTAAAATACAGTAAAATGATGATAATCCATGCTTTACCTTGATTAATAAAACTCAATATGAAAAAAATGCAACTCAAATAAAGAGCAAATGCTAAGGTAAAACAACATTGTTTTAGATACAAAAAAAGATAACTTCTAGTTAACTGTTAGTTAAGTTGGAAGAAGAAATTGACAGAAGAAGTTGATAGAAGAGGTTAATAGAAGAGGTTGACAGAAGAAGTTGATAGTACAAATTAAAAGTAAGTAAAAGAGAAAGAAAACAATTAACTTAAGACTGAAAAAAAAAAGCTGCAAAGTATGAGCTAGTAGATATGGTAACAGTAATTTTAACAAGAAAATCAAATAAAAAAAAATTAGAAAAAAATACAAAGTCATTAACATGACAAAATGAAAATTAGCAAATTGAGCTAATGTCAATAGATTTATTATATGACTTCCAGAAAAGGTCGGTAATAAATAGCAATTGAAGAAAATATAAATAATATGACTCAACTAATATTGGTCATTCAGAATCATTCAGAAATACAGGAGCATCAAGATTATTGTAAAAATAATCAGCCAAAAATTGTTTTTCAATTTAAGTTAAAATTTAAATTTCAAACTAAATATGATACACAATAAAACCTAGTACAAACATTTATACTTAACACGCTCAAAATTAAAAATATTTATACTTTAAAAACTATTTTGTAGAACCATTTAAAAAGTTATTAAAACTATTCATTTAATCGCACACAATTCTAATCTTTTAGTGAATTATTTAAAGGTTAATCAAATTATATTTGATAACTATCCTTATAATTAAATAAAAAATACAAAATTTATTTTGTGAATACTTTAATTAAAATAAAAAGTATAAATAAAAACAAAAATACTTTAACCAAGGTTGTCTAAGAATAAAAACATTATTTTTAACTAACAAAACAAACGAAAAAACTTACTTGTGCTAATGCCCCAACAGGAGGTCGATAAACATTAAGAGATGGGTTTTTCTCTAGTTCAGGAATATTAAATGCTGCATGTAAGAAATGATTTAAATAAATTATTTTAAAAGAATATTGTAAAAACAGAATGAACTTTAATTAAAATATTACAATGCTATTGCCTAATAATATCTTTTATTTTTTTTAAAAAAAGTGGGCATGTCAGATTTACTCAAAAGAATTATGTATTATTTAAAAGGCAGAACAAAAAAACCCTAACTGAAAAAAAAAAATTCTAATTTATTATGCACTTGACAATTATCCTAATAATTCATGTCATATTAATAAGATCTTAACAAGAATGTTTGCTAAATTTTAATAGAAATACTTGTTACATTAAGTTGGTTGCATCTATAGATAGCAAAAAAAATAACTTGCTCAATTTTAGAAAGAAGATGTTTACAACATTATATTTGGTTAAAACCTTACCATTTTCTATCACATGGCAAAACTCTCTGTATCGCACACGACCATCATCTGATGTATAATGTTCTATTAACAAGTCAATTTCTTTACTTGATAAATTAGCCTGTTCTCCACAGCATAATTGGATACCGCATATAAACTAAATTTGTATTATATAAGTGCTATTGTCTGGTGAAGTTATATCTTAAAAATCCATATATATAACATAAAACTTATGTTGTATATATTAAGATAAAATTTATGTGGTACAATTTATTAATAAGGCGTACTTTTTTTGTTTTATTTTAGTTTATAAGTTATACTTTTTGTTACATTTGTAGTTTATTTATAGGTTTTCAAACATTTACCTGGTTTTTTGTAACCAAACCACTTCTTAACTTATCATGGTCTATGAAAAATTCAGTTGAGCGTATTCCATTCTTGAAAGTAGCAACTTTAATTTTTTCTAACACATCATTAAAATTAGCATCATTGAAAACCTGAAAATAATTTTTTGCAATATAGGGGAAATAGATAGTGATTGATTGAAAAAGAGCTAAACAAAAGTGATTGAGGAAAGAAGAGCTAAACAAGTTGATAATATTTCAGTTGTGGAACAATATAAACATGCCCTCAGAGTTTCAAAAATTAGAAAACCATTTACAAAAATGTTTGATACAATGTTTTTATCATGTTTTATACTTGTAAAGTTACTTTCCAGCTACTATTGCTAAGTAAGGTCGCATCAAGTTGTTAAAATAAACACCCAAAAGTAACCAGATCAAATATCAATTTGTCTTTCAGAAAAGTTTTATTTAGAATATCATGAATTCAATAAATTTAACAAGTTCATAGAAAGCAATACAAATATTATTATTTCTTTATAGCGATATTTCTCTTCGGCGTTAATGTTTTGCGTGTTTTTGATTCCCTTTTATAATTTTTACACCTTCAAACATTTTAAATATAATAATATCATTGAAATATGTGACTTGGTCGAATAGATATAAACAAAGTAAAAAGGTACATCTTCAAGCGCAATCATTGTATTTTCGGTATTCTGGGGCTAAAATCAAAAAAAAAAAAAAATGCAAATTGATCTTCAAGAAGTTAACGGAATTGAAATAGGTTGTATTCCCTATTTTTACAAATGCATAATAATAAAAATTCAATATGATATGAGAACTATTAAAAATCAAGTGATAAACGGTTAAACAAAATTAATTGAGTGTTAAACAAAAGTGATTGAGTGAAGCTAAACAAAAGCTTATAAAGAATAGCCTATTGCAAAGTTCGCCAGACCTACTTGCTCTTTGTGAGTCTTAGTGTTGATGGTTATTTTTGTTTAATTTATAAAGACTCCAATCTTGGTCTGGGTATTTAGATTCGTAAGAATACACCCATTTGTGGAGAAACTAAGTTTGAATTCACATATTATTCTTTTAGGACCTTTCATTTAGCATCACTTCACTCAATCACCTTTCTATTTGTTCTATATCACTCTCCTTCATTTCAAGACTGCATTATTTTTTATGCTATTTCTGATTAAATTGGCCAAGCCCTTTCTCTTTATCCTTCAGCCAATATTGTTGTTGTTCATGAACTTAATGCTCATCGAACTAAATGACTTGACAAATAGTCAACTTTCCAATTCACTTTCCAGACAATGTGAACCATTTTTTTTTTTTTTTTAATATTTGCATTCACTTCCAACAAGGCTGCAAGCAACCACTATTAAGTTGGGAGTTACTAGGAAAAAAAGAACAGAATTATAGAGCAAGGAAACGGTTGACAGAAGACTTGAAAAGTTGAAGGTTGTATGAGTCAGGAAAACATGAAGATGGGAGAGATTCCAAAGGATTGAAGTGCAGGAAAAAAAATTAGATGAATAAAAGTTTTTAGAGTATGCAGGGACAGATACAGTAAACAAATGAGACTTAGCTGAATGACGAGTAAAACGAGAACAAATTTTAGTTGATAGAACTAGAGATGATAACTCCTTTGAGCAGTGACCATAATAGTATTTGTAGAAAAGAGAAAGAGATGCAACTTTACAACAATGGGAAAGAGGTTCAAGCTTAGCAGATCCAGATCCCAAGCTTAGTCCAGGTCCAACAACATTTACAATGCGTTTATGGACCTTGTCAAGAAGAGAAAGTGAATCGTTAGAAGAACCAGCCCAAATATGACAACAGTATTCCATACAGGGACAAATAAGAGATTTGTAGAGGTAGAGAATGGAATCAGAAGTAAGAAAATGGCGAGCACGATAAAGAGAAGCAACCTTAGCAGAAGCTAATTTAGCAATCGATTGTATATATGGTTTCCATGAAAGGTCAGTAGTAAGCGATAATCCAAGAAGACGTAAAGAGGAGGACTCAGTAAGAGGATTGCCATTCATTAATATAGGAATGTTGACCATATTACGGTAGTTGTTTGCAGTAAACAACTGGGTTTTGTTAGAGTTGACATTCACAAGCCACTGTGAACCCCAATCTATTACTGAAGTGTGATTGGATTCAAGATCAGCTGCTTGTTCTAGGCGATCGAAAAGAGAAGACTTTTTGTCAAGACAGGAGTATAAAGTTGAGTAATCAGCAAAAAGAGCTACTTTAGATGAAAGGTTGACAGGAAGATCGTTTATGTAGATAAGAAACAAAACAGGGCCCAGGATGGAACCTTGAGGAACCCCAGAAGTTACTGGAAATAAAGAAGAGTGTTGGCCTTCAAGGATGACTTTAATAAACCGGTTAGAAAGAAATGATTTGATAATCTCAAAAACTTTCCCAGAAACACCATATGAAGCAAGCTTATGGAGAAGACCAGCATGCCAAACTTTGTCAAAAGCTTTAGATATGTTGAGAGCAATAGCCCTAGCCTCACCGTCTCCATCACGATAAAATCTTTCAGTTACAGCAGTTAGCAAGTCGGCCGTAGAGCGAGAGGATCGAAAACCGTATTGATTGTCTGACAGTAGTTTATTTGACTCAAGATAAGATGTGAGGAATTTGTTGATCAAAGACTCAAAGACCTTGCTAATAACAGAAAGAAGACTGATCGGACGATAATTGGAGGGGTCAGAATTTTCTCCAGAGTTTTTGAAAATTGGAACCACAGATGCCATTTTCCAACAAGCAGGAAAACAAGACTCAGTCAAACACTTGTTAAATAGTTTAGAGAGAATTGAAGAAAGTTCTGGAGAACAATTCTGCAAGACTGTGACAGGAATGTTGTCTGGACCACAAGCTGTAGACAAGTTTAATTGAGATATGACTTTAGCAAAAGAAGCCGGAGTGATTTGAATGTCTAACAATGGGTCAACCTGTTTGACTGGAATGGAAGGCAGAAAATGTCCATAAGATTTAAGAGTGGAATTAGAAGAAAAGTTTTTTGCAAATAGTTTTGCCTTATCCTTTGGGAAAGGTAATAAGATCAGTCCCATGAATGAGAGATGGAATGTTAGATCTACTCTTGTTAATAGTGCTGTTGAAGATTTTCCAAAATTCTTAAGAGCCTAACTTCTGCGATAAGATGCGAGATTTAGTGAACTGAGAATAATGGAGTTTAGCATCAGAAAGCACCAATTTCATTTTTACATTGATTTCTTGCAATAATAAATAGCCCCTTGTTCTCAAGAGAGTTGTTCTTTTGAAAAAGATGAAAAAAATGATTACAATTGGATATAGCAGCCGCACAAGAGGAGAGCAAGTCTGGTGAATTTTGCAGGAGGTAAGACTCAACTGATGGAAAGTTGCTTCGTAGACCGCGAATATTTGTAAAAGATATATTAAAATATTTAAGTGGTGGGGATGGTTTTTTAGGTTTTAAATTTTTGGTTACTTTGGTTATGACTTGGGTTTAATGAGAACTTGACTCATTCATAGATTGAGCACAGTCTCCTAATCAATGAGCTATGCAGTTGTCTCAATCCTGTTAATTAATTCTTTACTTGACTTATTTCTTGTTTCTGTTCTGTTCAATTGTTTCCAAACTCTTTTCTTTGTGATAGTCCTTGGGTTAAAATCTTTCATCTTCCTGCTGACAAATGTGCTTCTTATGTGACTTTTTGGATTCATGTTGGCATGGAATCTTTTATTCCCTTTTGACAATTTCAAATCAATTCTCATTCTTCTCCTAGGTTTTGTCTAATTGTGCTGCTGCAATTTCTAATTGTAACCGTTACTTTCATATCTATCACCAAAACAATTATCCAGAAAACAGACATCTGTTTACTATTGCTAGAAACCATTGTAAAAAGATTTTGTCTAACGCCAAAGCCCACTATTCTCAGGTCACAAAATCTTGTATTTTATCTCAAACCCTCTAGAGAATCTTTAACAGTGTCTATTTTAAAGACAAAACTGTTATTCCATCTCTCTTGCGTGGTTCAGAGTTACCTCACCTAAAGACAAAGCTGAGCTGTTTGATAAGAACTTTTCATCAATCTTATCTCTTGATTCCACTAATTACATCCTACCTGGTATAGCTGAAAATAGGTTGATCCATTGCTTGACAATCGTATCACTTCAGATTCTGTATTTTCTGCTTAGAAAACCTCTTCTACAGCTTGTGGTCCAGACAATGTACCTGTTATAGTTTTGCAGAAGTGTTCTCCGGAGTTGTCATCTATACTTTCAAAACTATTTAACAAATGTTTATTAGAGTCTTATTTTCCTACTGGAAAGCAGCATCTGTTATACTTATTATCAAAAATTTTGGAGTCTTCTTATTATCATAAGCAAGGTTTTAGAGTCCTTAATTAACAAACACTTAATCTCTCATCTTGAATCTAGTTATTGCAACTATCTAGATCTTCCTATATTTATGAATGGTGATGCACTCAAAGAGTCATCTACACTTCATATTCTAGAACTCTTTCTTTGGATCTTTCTCGGAGACCATATACTAAATCCATTGCAAAATTAGCATCAGCTAAGGTTGCATCTCTTTATTGTGCTTCCCATTTTCTTACTCCAGACTCTCTCCATTTAAATCTCTAATCTACTCTTGTATGGAATACTGTTGCCATATCTGGAGCAGATCTCTTAATGATGCCCTTTCTCTTTTAGACAAGATGCAAAAATGTATAGTAAACATAATTGGACCTGCTCTTGCAGCCAACCTTCAACCAGTGTCACATTCCCATAATGTTGCTTCTCTTTCTCTTTTCTAGAAATACTATAATGGGCGCTGCTTTAAAGAGCTAGCATCTTTAAAAATTCATTCTCATGTTATTCATCATTCAATTAAATCTCATCCTTTTACTGCGACTGTTCTTAAGTGCTCCAAAAAAATTTTTTTGTCTAGTTTTTTTCCTTGAACATCAGTTATTTGGAATTTGCTCCCTTTATCTTGTTTTACTGATTAATATAATTACCATTTTTTTAAGTCGTTTGTTAATCATTATCTTGCTTTACAATCTTCATCTTTTCTCTTTGTAACTTCCAACACTAATAGTGGTTGCTTGCAGCCTTGTTGGAAGTGAAGATATTTAAAAAAAAGAAAACAAGAACACAAAAACAAAATACACATGCATCTAATTAAATCAGTATTACATAATTTGTATATTTATATTTTAAATTTCACCTTTCTTTTTGTAATATGCTGTATTTCAGAGGAATGTAATATTTTTTTTGACTCATTTGATGCATTGATAATGTTTACAATATCTTTATGAAAGTCTAAGTAATCACACATGCCTTTATTATTTGGGCAAAAATAATGATGAGCAAGAAGTTTTAATTCGTCAGCATTTACATCAGATGGCCCAGGAAAACATCGGTAAAACTAAAAAGTAGAACCATTAAATCAGACTTTCAAATATACTTTAAGCACATTTATACGTATATAAATGTGCTTAAACAAATTTAAAAAAAAAGGGTAAAATTTTTAACACAAAAAACACCTGGCTTTCAGTCACCAACCCAATATTATGCAAATCGAAATCTTTGTAACAGGTTTTAATACTTATTCCATGATACTGATAATATGGTGCAATACGCTCCAACAATGCCATGAATTCTTTATGTGATGATTCTTGATGATCAAATGAATCACTCTTTTGATGAGCTGACTGTTTTGATTTTGTCTTTGGCTGTGCTATTACAAAAAGATCTAATTATAATGTTCTAAACAACTTTAACAATGAAACTAACAAGAAAAAAAGTTTTGTGAATCAGTTGTTTTTTTTTAATTCTGATTCACTCCCAACAAGGCCACAAACAACCACTATTAAGTTGGGAGTTACTAGATAAACAAGAATAGAATTATAGAGCAAGGAAACTGTTGACAGCTGACTTGAAGAGTTTAAGATTGTGTGAGTCAAGAAAACATGAAGATGGGAGAGAGTTCCAAAGAGTTAAAGTGCAGGGAAAAAAGTTTGATGAATAAAAGTTTTTGGAGCATGCAGGGACAGATACAGCAGAGATGAAATTTCACTAGAGATGAAAGCGCCTTTGAGCAGCGACCACGATAATATTTGTAGAAGAGAGAAAGAGATGCAACTTTGGGACAATGGGAAACAGGCTCAAGCTTAGCAGATAGACCGGGTACAACTAAGTTTACAATGCATTTTTGGACCTTGTCTAAAAGAGAATGAGCATCATTAGAAGAACCAACCTAAATATGACAATAGTATTCCATACAGGGATAAATAAGAGATTAGTAGAGGTAGAGAATGGAACCAGAAGAGAGAAAATGGCAAGCACAATAAAGAGAAGCAACTTTAGCAGAATCTAATTTAGCAATTGATTGTATATATGGCTTTTGTGAAAGGTCATTACTAAATGGTAAGCCAAGAAGACATAAAGTAGAGGACTCAGTGAGAGGTTTGCCATTCATAAATGTAGGAATGTTGACAGTACTGCAATAGTTGTTTATAGTAAATAACTGCGTTTTGTTGGAGTTATAATTTAAAAGCCACTGCAAGCCCTAATCTGCCACAGAAGTGAGATCAGAGTCAAGATTGGCTGCCAGTTCTAAGCGATAAAAAAGAGAAGACTTTTTGTCAAGACAGAAGTATAAAGTTGAGTCATTAGCAAAAAGAGCTACTTTAGATGAAAGGTTGTTGGGAAGATCAATATAGATAAGAAACAAAATAGGACCAAGGATAGAACCTTGAGGTACCCCAGAAGTTACTGGAAATAAAAAAGAGTGTTGGTCTTCAAGGATGACTTTAATAAAACAGTTAGAAAGAAACAATTTGATAATCTCAAAAACTTTCCCAGATACACCATATGAAAGAAGCTTATGGAGAAGACTAACATGCCAAACTTTGTCAAAAGCCTTAGATATGTCAAGAGCAATAGCCCCAGCCTCTGCGGGGCTATTGCTCTTGACAAACTCAGTCAAGCGCTTATTGAATAGTTAGGAAAAAATTGAAGAGAGTTCTGGAGAACAATTTTGTAAGACTGTGACAGGAATGTTGTCTGGACCACAAGCCGTAGAAGAGTTTAATCGAGATATGACTTTAGCAAAGGAGTGGAGTGATTTGAATGTCTAACAATGGGTTAACCTGTTTAATTGGAATGGAAGGAGGAGAATGATCATAAGATTCGAGAGTCGAATTAGAAGAGAAGTTCTTTGCAAATAGTTCAGCCTAATCCTTGGGAGAGGTATTAATGGAGAATAATGGAGAATAATGGAGCTTAGCATCTGACAGCACCTTCTTACATCAATTTATTGCAATAATAAATAGCCGTTTGTTCTGAAGAGAGTTGTTTTTTTGAAAAAATGAAAAAAATAATTACAATTAGATATACCAGCTGCACAGAGAGTGAAAACTATGGAGTAGAATGAGACTTGACTTGACCGACAAGAAGAAATAAAAGCTTCCATTCCTGCCTGAACCCAGTAGGTTATGTAGAAGGCACATTTTTTAGGTGAGAGGGAAAGGATATTAATCCAAGGACTGCCACGATGAAATCACGAAAAGAATCTCAGTCAACTTTAGAGTAGTAGTAAGTTGCATGATATAAGGGTGAGTCCAAAAAGGAATTATGAGATGAAAGATTTAAAGAAATCATTGCATGGTCAGAACCACTTAAAGGAGTAAAAGGAGGAACTGAAAATAAGCTAGGATCAGAGGCCAGACATAAATCAAGCAGTAAAGGTAAATGATTAGGGTTGTTAGGAAAATGAGTCACAAAGTTAACTATCTGAGTAAGAGATTGAGAAATGCAGAAGTTATAGACTTTAGTTTCCAGCAGGGTTAGTATCATTTAAGCCAAGCATTTTAGTGTGATGAGTAGGGGTGTTCAAATTTTACAAATTTTTTTTTGGAACATGATTGCAAGCTAAAAAGATGTGTAATCATGAGTGATTTTAAGATAATATTTTGATTTTTCAAAAAAAAAAAAAAATTACACCTTGCTCCACCCAACCAAAGTTTTTCAAAATTTGTAACTTTTTACAAGATTACAATTTTCTTGAGATTTATGATACATACAAACATGTATACGACTTATTTGTTAGCTTACTATGTCTAGAGCATGCTTGAAAAAAATTGGCACCCTAGCTTTATGGGATCACCTTGCTACAACTTGATTTCGGAAACCGTGAGAGTATGGACAGGCAGGGGTGGGGTTGGTGTGAAACATTTTTTTTTTATAAAAAATAATAAAACCTCCGCCATAATACGGCAGCTCAAGATTCAGTCAAGATTTTATAGAAAAGTGTTGCAGCAGGTGTTGCAAGGTAAGGTGTTGCAGCAGTTATATAGATCTAAATAGTTTTGTAAAACCTCCTTATGGATAGCAAAATAAAACATATTATAAAAAACATATTGATGTCTCTTTACCCAAACAGGGAGAGACATGTATAGATAATTTTTTCCTGTACCTTTTCCTCCCCCCTCCCCCTTCTTTTGTGCTTCAGAAAAATAAATGATAGCGTTGAAAAAAATATTAACTTAAAGTATAGATTTAGGTTTCTGCATTATTGAAGACCTTGTTTTCAGCCTCTATAGTCTCAACCACATCATCTTCATCAACAATATCCGAGCTACTGTCAAAATCACTAGTACTAGATAGTGATAACTTGTCCTCCGTCTCCTTAAGACATTCATATTCGTACGCAAGGCTTAGCTTTTCAGCAGGTGTTAGCTGTTCGGCTTTTGTGGAATAAAATCGGAATTGCTCTTTCTTTCAAAATCATACTTGTTTGCTTGAGGATACTGTACTAGCTTTATAGCCATTTCTTCTTTTGTAATGTCAGACACAGACTGATCTGAATTGGCTAGGGCAAAAATAACAGTAGTGGGATCTAAGTACGAGCTGTGTTTTCCCCACCTTTTGAAGACTGAAGCTGCAGCTACATCAAACTTCTCCAAGTGGGCCATGTGCCAGAAAAAGAGCTGGTCTTGCAATGTTAAAATTTCAATACAATTTGGGTACACTATTTTATCAAATAATAATGCTAAAATTTAATTATGATTATTTGTATCAAAGGCTAAAAAACTAACTTGGATTGCGGCTGTATCTGATTTTTCAGCTCTCAGAAATTGAAGAGCATAGAAAATTGAAATAAAAATTGCCATCTTTTTCACCTCATTAATCTTCTCCTGGCTCAATTTTAGGATTTGCTTGGTCGAATTAAGAAGCATTATCTTTAGATAGTAGATACTCTTTGCCATAAAACGAGCATGATGTACTGCTCCAGGCTTGTGTATGTTGAGAGGCTTGAATATCGGTTCCAAGAACATGAGAGCTAGCTCAGCAGTTCCTAGTAGTCTGCTCTCTTCTCGTGTCTCTAAAAAAGTTTAATGCGGATATTTAATTTCATTCATTATTTTTTTGTATTCAAACTTGAAGATTTAAATGTTTAGAAAAGTTTACCTGAGAGTTTTTGAAGACTCCTTCATTCGCAATCGTCATTAAACATTTTCTTGCTTTTTCTGCTTATTCATTAAACCAAGAATCATAAATAGATTGCCATTTGAAGTGAGTGATGACACAGTTTTTCAAATCAATATCATTCCACTTACTTTTCAAGCTTTTAAAGAGTGCATTGTCAGGTCCTGTGGTTTTGTCTATGGTAACTGCGAACCAATAATGTTTTAATATGACTTCTAAAACATGATGTCTACAAGCAAGCATCAACAATGGTTTACCAACATTGTTTCGTAGTCTGAAAAATTAAGATTATAACTAAATTGTTTATAGTAATTAGCTTTTAGAGTCCTTTTTCTAAATTATATTGAAAAACAGTTCACCTGTATATAACACCACGAATCATTCCAGTATTGATAGCAGTAGTATCGAAGCAGACCATCCTTACGATCAGTAACTTCAAACTCTTTCAAAATTTCTTTGATAGCCTTGAACTGATTTAGCCCTGTACCAGAATGAACTCTTGGAGCGCCAAGTAGATGATCAGTACCTCCAGCTCTCACAAGAACACAAATCCTATCAATTGCTACATCACCGTGATTTGATATCAAGTCCTAGAACTAGGATTAGATTAACAATGTAAGAAAAACAGTTGTTTTCAATTAAAACACCAGTTAAAATTAAATATATGCAAACCTTGATCAACTTTCCGTCAAAGTGTAGCTGAATTTTCACCTTACCCTGTTCGATCTCTTTTTTTATCAAGATCTTAATATTTTCAGCATCTTTGTTAATAATATTGTTTTTCATTTGAAAAGCTGAAGTATAAGAAAGGGGCAACTTATTTGGATCACCTCCAGCTGCAGTGACAACCTTTATCAGAGTTGCTGTAATTTTATGAGCTGTTATATCCATGCCTATAGCTTTTCTCATAGTTTCTTTAATAACTTCTCGGTTGATAACAATGGTTTGTTCTTGATTTTTAAAACTCCTTATTAAACAGTCCATGTAATTATTTTCTGATTCAGACTCTGAACTTGGTTCTAAAGAAATTGTTTTAGGTAGATGTACACTATCAGTAGAGCACACTTTAAAACCTCTAGACTGAACAAATAATTTTTCGCAAAAACCTGTTGATGCTATAACTTTACTCTGAATCCTGCTATTTCTCTTCTGTTCATCTTTGTCTGCTTTGATTGCTTTAATAAAAATTTTCTTTGTGTTATTGAGCCAAAACAGTCCTTGAAAATATTTATATTAAATAAAAAATTAACAATTCAAATAAATATTTTGAGGTTTATTTAATTTAAATTGGAGGAGTGAATTTCAAAGGAGATCATGAATAACTTTTTGAATAAAAAGTAGTTAGTACCTCTTACAGTTTTTAAAAAGTCAGTGCAAGATTGCACACATCTTGCCTTACTGTTATGTTGGTTTTTCTTGAGCTTCAGATATCTGTTAATATATTTTGTTATATTTCTTTGCAGGATGACAGGTCCAATCATAGGGAAACCAGATCTTAGCCATGAAAACCAAAGTGCTCCTAGTACACATTCCTTTTTGCAAGTAGTATCCAAAGAAATACACTGGAAACTGAATAAAAAAATTTGAAGAATTTGTGAAAAAAAAAACTCACTTATCAGACATTTTTTTTCAACAAATATAATTTTTGTGAAACTACATATAACATTATATTTTTTCCTCAATGCTATTGAAGTGTTATTTACTTATAAATAGATATGTTTTTCTGTAGGTTTTTTGTTCATTTTAAACCAATTAAAGTATAAATTATAAATTGAACCTGAAGTTGTTGCTCAGAGGACAGCATATAAGACGTTTATTTTGATAACTTGGCCCATTCTTTTTTTTAAGATAAAGAAATTGCTTAATCACATCAGTCCTAGTTGGTAGCTTCATGGAACACATCTTAGCTGGTTTACCCACCAAAGCTCCTTGGTGCGAGCACTTACTCTTCTTCTCTTAATAGAATTCTTTTTCGTTATATAATTTCGGAATCTAAAAATACCTGTCCTAGGTCCTCATAGTTTAAAAATTGCATTAAATACATTCAAAGAATATTAGTTTAAGATTATTATTAAAAATAACTAAACATAAACAACTTTACCAATGTACTTTTAATAAAAAAACAGCATTAGACTAACTTTAAACCAAAAGCAATGAAAACTTCAGATACTGATTTTTGATAAATAAAAAAAGTGTAGATAAAATATAAATATTCAATAATTGTTAAAAATTGTCTAACTGCATATTTATATGTACCAAACGCAGTCTTTTTAAATTGTCAGTATAAACAAATTCTATCATGAGGTTTTGTAAAACAAATAATATTTTCAAAATACAAAATTTATCATAAGTAAATCGGTTTTTTGAACCAAAAAACATGTGGCCTTTTGCATGTTTTTCTCTTATCCTAATAATAATGATACTTTGCAGTTTTATTATTTGTATACTTTAAAATTTGTGGTTTATATTATACTTTATATAGATTGTAAACAATTCTTATTTTTTATTACTTTATCTAAATGTAATTTTATTATTCATAATTTACTTTTCTATTTCATTCTATATCATAATATTTTTACAATAAAATTAAATAAAAATTATTACGCGGTTTTATAACCATATTGTAACAAAGTGATTTGCTAAACGAAAACTTTTTTTTTTTTTGCTCTTACAAATAAGTTGTATACATGTTTGTATTATCTTAGATCTCAATAAAATTTCAATCTTGTAAAAGGTTACAAATTTTGAAAAACTTTGGTCGGAAGTAGCAAGGTGAAATTTTTTTTTTTTTGAAAAATCAAAATATTATCTTAAAATCACTCACGATTACACATCTTTCTAGCTTGCATACATGTTCCAAAATAAAGTTTTGTAAAATTTGAACACCCCTAGTAATGAGCATTAAAGTCACTAATAACAACAATATTGGCAGAGGGGTAAGGAGAGAGAACAGGGTCAATTTGATTAGAAATTACATCTAAAAGAGTAATCTTGAAAAGAAGGAAAATGATAAAGAACAAAGAGAAAAGTGATAGAGTGAAGAGGTACTAAGCAAAAGCACATAAAAGAATGGTCAAAGGATTTGAACTTGATTTCACAACAAATATGTGAATTAATGTGTAAAAAAACACTCTACAAGGCAGCAGAGTATGGGCCAGGTGGTACTGGATTATATAATACCAGTAGCAGGGTGATTGTGATGATCCTGAACCTGACCTGACTTGGGTTTTATGATTGTGGAAAATTTCTTAAAACCAGAAGAAGACCTTTGTATGAAATTAAAAAATAATATAAAGCTTGATAATTAATCTATGAAAAATTTCGAATGTTTATTATGAACTAGAGCTACTTTGTTTTCTAGAGCCACACATGAAAAAACCTATTCACTATATATATTCTGGCAGCATCTTGTTTTTCCCCCTGGTGACCAAATACTAGCATCACATTTTGTTTTACTATTTTGTTTTTTACACATGAAAAGCTATTCACTATGTATATATATATATTTTGGCAGCATCTTATTTATTATTTTTATATAATATTGTTAAATGCTAGCCTCTTAAACCAAGTCTCATTTTTGCACCAAAATTAGTTATTGCTAAATCCTAATTCCAAGTTCATTTTATTTGAGATTTTTTAATTATTTTTCCAAAATATTTATAGTATATTTATTTTCCAAAATATTTATAGTATATAATATATGTGAGCACATGGTCATTTTTAGTAGAAATAAAGCAGTGGAATCTAATATTTATTTGTTATCTATCTACTATAAAGTATATATAGAAATAAAATGTTTTTGTTTTTTATACAATTATAACATACAGCATTTTTTTAAAATTAAAAAAAAAACAAAGAATTATAGAAGAAAAGATTGCTGCCTTATGCCAAACCCTCAGTTGATGTAGCAACATTCCCTTGAGGCAGCAGGCTTCAGATAGCCAATGTATGTACTGAAGCCTTCAGCAGCAGATTATTTCAGTATGATGCCAGAGTGATTATCAAAACATCCATTCATAGTTTTTTATAATTTTTATTATGCTATGCAATTAAAATATTTTACTTTACTTTGTGTAATAAGTAGTTACATTACAAGTACAAGTAAGTTAAAAGCAAAATATTTTCAACTTCTTTTTATTTTCATAAATTTAGCTTAAATGATTAAAAACAATGCATTTTCATTAATCCTTTTTTTGACCTTTTTTTTTGACTTTTTAAAAAAAAAAAAAAAAAACATTCAAGAAAATGCAGTACATTTACAAAATACCCCACAAATAACTAAATTTAAATAGTTATATTACATTAAAGTTAAAAAAAATATTTTTCTAATACTAATATTATGTATTCAAAACATGTAGTATATTATTAAATAATATATAAATATTATTATATCCTCTAAATATTGAAAGATGCCAAATGTGTATTTTAATTCAAATTCAAATCCATAGAAAACTAAATAGTTACTAAAAAATACTAAAATTTGTTAACTTAGGGTAAAACTAAATAAACTAATTTTACTAAATAATAAAAATTCCATTATAGTGACTTGTGTAAAATAGTTATATAGTAAATACTTGAATCAATAGTTTGACAAAGACTTCTGTAGTTCAACATTCGAGGAAGAGGATAGTTATGACCATACTTTTCCATAAGGACATTATCTTCATCGTGTTTCAATACTATATTTAAATGTTGATTTAAACATCGATCAAACTGCTCTTCTAAACAAAGTACCAAGAACAAGTTAAAAATTTCTATAGATTATTTATGCAATGTAGTTTTAATGTAGTTTCCAGGGCTGTGGAGTCGAAGTCAGAGTCATTGAGTCAGAGTTGAGTCAAACATTAATCTGAAATACTCTACAGAAGCATGTTTTTCATACACCTAATTTAAATATCAGAAACAGTGTTTTTCCTTCGATCAGCTTTCTTAGCTTTTTTTACTTACTTTATTTCTAACTTTGATAAAAATATTTTCAGATAAATTTTACTTGAATGTTATAATAAATAACTGAATATTTTACTTGTAACAAAGCCTGTTCGCAAATGATCAAAATCTTTTAAAAACTCATCCAGTGATGTTTGACATGTTAAAGATGCATTTCTGATTTTATCTTCGATTTCACAAAGTAATTTTTCAGTTGCTTGGCAACTAATCTAATAAGAAATTAAAAAAAAACATTTATATTTTCATATAATCAATCATAATTTATAATTTATACTACATGTAATCATTTATTAAGAAATTGAATGTGAGGCCATCCACACCGGGACTTGTTATGAGATTTTGTTGCATAATGGAAAAGTACAAAAGTATTTTTATAAATGAATATAAAAATATTTATACTCATTCAATATTCAATATTTTTATTTATATCATTTAATATTTAATATTTAGATCGTTAAAAGTTTAATTATGTCAGTTGCGTATTTTAAAGTACTGTATTGTAACTAAATTTAATTTGAAACCACATTAAAAATTATTGTAAGTCTTTTTCTTTATAAAATATTTATAAAATATTTTTAATTTAAACAATATTGTTATAAAAAAAATTATAAATAAAATTTAAATATGTTGTTTGGAAAAAAAAAATTCTTATTTTAAAAAACTTAATTTTATTAAAACTTATGCTATTTTTTTCTTAAAAAATTTATGGGGGCAATTGATTAAGGTTGAGTTTCTTTCTGAACAGTCAAAAAATCAATAAAAACTATCAACATTTTTTTTTTAATTTTGCCTTTAATCTTTTTTTTTTAACATTTTGGCAAAATCTTCACATACTACGCATAAACTAGTTAACCATTTCTAACCAATGTTCATTCTAAGATCAATTTAAAAAATTAATGATAAAGAAAAAACTTTTGTTAAAAAGCAATTTCAAAATCAAAAAAAATTATATTTTCATAAATTTAAAATTAAAAATTTACTTATAAAATTCTCTAAAATATTTTTAATAAAAAACATTTTTAATAACTTCGCCTACAGGCTTGATTATGTTTATCCAGCAATGCATTTATATACAGTTATAAATGCAATAAGCACTTTTGTAAATCAGCACTTTAGTAATGAGATGAAAAAAATTATTGCTTTGAAACTAATAATAAATAAACATAATAGTTTAATGCAATCTGAACATTTTAAAGTAACTTGAATTAAATCTATTAAAATTTTCTTTTCTGTAAGATAGTTGAGAAATTTTAGAAGTAAAAAAAAATTGTAAAATGAAGCATTTTATATTTTCTAAAAAAATTTAAATTAAATTTAATAAAATAAGTTTATATTTATTAATATTTAATAATAAATTTAATTTAAATATAGTAAAATACATTAAAATTTATTTAACTTTTGTTTTTTTTATATAATAAAAAAAATATTTCACAAATGTTTTTTAAAATTAATTGATGCTTGATGTTTTCCAAATAAACTATTTTAAAAACTGTTTAAATCTAAAAATCTAAGTAGAAGTAAAATATGATGATATTTGTAGCTTTTGTGGCTACCAAATGCTTTTAATGTATTTTCTGCATAGTTTACCATAGTAGTTTTGCAAGTTTTAAAATATTATGTTGCAATGAACAATTTTATGTTGTGATGAACAATTGTATGTTGTAATAAATAATTTTATGTTTTGATAAACAAATTTATATTGTGATAAAGAATGAGTAGCAATTAGATAAGATGGCTATTCCAAAAGATTTTGCGTATTATTAGAAAACATATTTCAAGCAGCTTTATTAAAGCTTTGAATATTTTTAAAAAGCTGTTTTCCAAGAGTTTCTAGGAGTAATGTTAGATGCAATAGTTCTAGCACAATACAACATAATTAAACTTCTCTGGCTTCTTGTTGTTGCATTTATAATTATTAAAATTTGAATTATTAACTTTTTTAGAAGATAAACAATAATTATCTATAAGAAAATACTATTGACTTATGTTTATTTTAGCTAAATGAAATATAAAATCAAAGAACACAATTATTTTTTACACTAAGGTATGATAAAGTATTTTTAATCTAATCTAATGTAAAATTTCTAATAAATAATCTAAAAATTAGGTATTAGTGAATATTATCAAAAAAAGTAACAAAATCAATATTTTGAAATAGCTGAAAAAAAAACAAATGTCAGATCTGTTTTATGCTAAAATCTGTTTTCTGTTCAGAGCTGAACAGAAAACAGATTTTAGCCAGGAATGTGAAGAAAATTGACTTCAAATTTAAAAGTCACAAAATCATAAAATAAACTCTGGAATTCCATGTGAATTATAGATTCTAATAAATATTGGTCCATAAGCTCTGTAATTAGTGTAAATAATATAAACTATTAACGTGTTGCGTCAGAAGGAATGTTGTGGGCCGGTCGTATATATTATATTGTACATAACGTTTATACTGTTTATTATACTCTCGGGGGTATTTTGCAAATGTATAAATATTAATTTGAGATATTCAGAAGACAGTAAGAAAAGACAAATATATTTTATTATTACAAGCTATTTCAGCAATGAGTATCGTTATAAAGTTTGCGGATCTGGTTTCACAATACGATGGTTCGGGTGATTTTTCAGAATGGATACAGAAATTGGAACTGGTAGCAAAACTTCAAAAAGTTGACGAGCTGCATGTGGTGCTCCGCTTATTTCTTTCTGGTGGGGCGTTTGCCATTTATCAAGGCCTAAGTGATGAGATAAAAGAAGACTACAATGAAGTGAAAACTGCACTGACTACTGCCTTCTCTGCTTCTCCGCTAACAGCATACGAAGAGTTTGTAAATCGCCGTTTTAAAGAGAATGAGTCCATTGACGTATATCTCGCAGAATTAACAAGACTGAGCAAGCTAATATCATCTCACGTAAGTGAAGAGTGGATAAGGTGCGCATTTATTCTTGGATTACCTGACGAAGCAAGAAAACAGCTGCAAACTGCATGCTCAATATCAACAATGTCGCTGTGCCAGATTGCTGAAAAATCCAGAAGTTTAATAATTATACGTCGCAAAGAATTGTGTTTTGTCAGTTGTGTTAATCCGGTTGCCATTAGTTCAAAACAGGTTCCTAAAGGACGCGGAAAAAAGATCATAACGTGCTACTGTTGTGGTGAGGATAGGTATATCAGTCAAAATTGCAGCAAAGAGATTGAGAAGAAGAGGTGCTTTGTGTGTGGAATGGACAATCACCTGGCCCAGTACTGCTATAAAAGGTGTACGAACTCAAAAAACGTGGAAGGGAAGCCACCCATTTTTTTGTGAGCGACTTCCCACAAAATTTAAAACCGCCAACTCTCCACGTATATGTCAATGGAAGAAAAATAAAAGCATTGTTAGATACTGGATGCTCCAAATCAATTTCAAGTAGGGATATTGTAAACCCAAAAAATGTCAAACATGCAAGCGAAAAGGTTGTTATGATGAATGGAAAGTCAATTGAAGTACAAAACCAGACTGTTGTTAATCTTTCTATAAATGATACCACCATTGATTTGGAATGCCTGGTTGCCAACATTGTTCCCGAATATCAAATGTTACTTGGTATGGACGCAATACGACTGCTCGGAGGTGTCCAAGTTGGGAGAGACAGTGAAACCATAAACTTTAATGTGGAGCAACTAACTATCGGCGCTACTGCAGTCTCTCAAGGAAAAACGAATGAAGTATCCACGCCTACTGATCAAAAGCTGATTGATAAAGACTTCGTAGCAGAATTCAAAAATGGCAGCTGGAGCGTGTCTTGGAAATGGATGATGGAACCACCAACTTTAACAAACAAAATTCCAAACTATCACATCTCTGAAGACGTTAAAAGTGAGTACGCAACGGAAATAAGTGAATGGATAGCACAGAGATGGCTGAAACCGTTTGAAGGGAAATGTAATAGCATCATTCCGTTGATGGCAGTAATTCAACGAAACAAATTAAATTATTACGTCCGGTGATGGACTACCGGGAGCTGAATCAATTTGTATCCAGTCATACTGCAGATGGCGATGTTTGCAGTTCCAAACTTCGCAACTGGAGAAAGTTGGGAGAAAATCTTGAGATAATTGATTTAAAAAAAGCGTACCTGCAGATTCGTGTCGACGAAGCATTATGGAAATATCAAGTTGTGGAATATAAAGGGCAGCGATATTGTCTAACAAGATTGGGTTTTGGTTTAAATTTGGCGCCCAGATTAATGACAAAAATCTTTAAAAAGGTATTATCCTTAGACAAAGTTGTCGAGTCTGGGACGGATTTACTTATTGATGACATCATTGTCAATAATAACATAGTGTCAAGTTGTAGAGTTCAAGAACTCTTGAAAAAATATCGCTTGGATTCTAAGCTGCCAGAAAAACTTGTCGGTGGGCATGTGCTTGGATTGCGAGTGTACAAACAAAACAACCAAGTGCGTTGGAATCGTGACAACATACCTAAAGTTCCTGAAGGAAAAATGATGTGTCAGCAAATCTTTATCTTGGTGTGGACAGCTGACTGGACATTTTCCAATAGCAAATTGGTTGGGCCCTTCGTGCAGCTATCTAAAAAGAGTTTCGAGTAGTTGTGGATGGGACACTTTGGTGAACGATCGTGTTGTCAAATTAGTAAGCAGTTTAAATGAAAGACTTACAAAGGAAGATCCCGTTCATGGGTCATGGAACGTAAAAAACACTTCTGAAGCAACAGTGTGGTGCGATGCAAGCAGTTTAGCTGTTGGCATAGTTCTGGAAGTGGCTGGGGAAATAGTAGAAGGCTGCTCGTGGCTGAGAAAACAAGATGATGCGGCTCACATTAATCTCGCAGAGTTAGAAGCTGTGATAAAAGGAATCAATCTAGCAACAAAATGGGGATTCGAATGTATTACCATAAAGTGCGACTCAGCTACTGTTGTTGGCTGGTTGAAATTCTTAATCATCGGAGACAAACTCATTTGAGTGCACAGTCTTGGAGAACCACTTGTCCGTTGCCGGTTGTTGTTAATTGAAGACCTTGTGAAGGAGTGTGGTATACAGTTAAAACTTTTCCTGGTTAAGTCAGCAGAAAATAAAGCCGATGCTCTTACGAGGGTACCACAGAATTGGCTGCATTCAAACCATTCTGCAATGACAGCAAACCTTGTATCGCCTGATGTGAAGTCGTTTCATAATCTTCATCACTTTGGAGTAAATTGAACCCTTTATTTGATGAAACAGACATATCCGAAGGAGAAAGTTTGTAGAAAAGACATTGAATCAGTCGTAAAAAGTTGCAAAAGATGTTTATCGGTAGATACTGCTCCAATCAGATAGGAAGAAGGAAATCTTGAAGTTGGAAAGAGCTGGTACCGTTTAGCTATTGACGTTACCCACTATAAATCAGAGATTTATTTGTCTATCATCGACTGTGGCAAAAGGAGCAAGTTTGCAATTTGGAGGAAGCTACAAAACGAGAAAGAAGCAACAGTGTGTTTCCATCTAGAAGAAATATTTTGAGAAAGAGGACTTCCGTGGCAAGTTCTTCTTGACAACAGCAAGACCTTTCGCTCAAAACTCGTTGGTGAATTATGCGCAGAATGGGGAGTGTCCATTCTGTTTCGTTGCGCTTACAGACCATCTGGAAATGGATTGTTGAACGTCACCATCGCACAATCAAGCGCATGGCAGCAAGAAGTGGCAAAAATCCGTTAAAAATGGCATATTGGTATAACGTGGCTCCCAGAAAAAATGGCGAGAAAACATCGCTCCCCTACAAAGCTAGATGAGTCTCAGATGAAGGACGAGGAGTTTCGGTAGAAATCAATGGATTACCGAGACACATGTCAGACGTCTGTCCAGCTCCCATTGTAGCTGATTTGTCTACGAGAGAACCGGAAGAACCCACCGCGAACAACCTGAATCTCAGAAGATCGACGCAAGTGCGGAAGTTTCCGAATAAGTATGCAGACTTTGTGATCTAGAGATCAAAGGGTGTTGTAATTAGTGTAAATAATTGTATTGTATATAAACTATTTACGTGTTGTGTCAGAAGGAAAGTTGTGGGCGCGTCGTATATATTATATTTTACACAACGTTTATACTGTTTATTATACTCTCGGGGGTATTTTGCAAATGTATAAATATTGAGTAGAGATATTCAGAAGACAGTTAGAAAAAACAAATATATTTTATTATTACAAGCTCAAAAGCTTAAAGATTTATAAAAAATTTTGAGTAAAAAATCAGCACATTTAATGCATGGAAACTTATCAACTTAAAACCAGGAGTTCTTATTTAAATAACCAGCTAGAGATTCCAGGTTCCATGATTCTAAGCTAAAAAATATTATTTACCAAGTCTTTAGTAATTTTTTCCATAAAAAAATTTTTTTTAACATTTTTGAACACTGAAAAATAAAAATAAAAATCTTTTTTTAACTTTTGAAACTTTTGAAACTTTTGGTTAAATGAATGAGTAATTAGGCTACTAAAGCAGTATTGAAAAACAAGAGTGCAATATATGTAGCACTCAAGAATAAAAAAGATTATTTGTAGCACTGAAAAACAATGCTTGTAGTAAAATAAAAAAAGAACAAAAGAAAAAGAAAATACTTGTTTAAGGTGGCTCTATGGTTAAAAAACAATAAAAAATCAAAAATATATATATTATGTTTTCTTATTTGAAATTTAATATAGATTCAGAAAATATATATCTTTATATACATTCAAATCCAATATTATGAGTAATTTTTATTTTTTTAAGGTACAGTCTTTTCAGCTTCTATAGCAACACAACAGTTATTTCTTGTTTTCCACTGTCAACGTCATTTAAAAAGAAAATCTTTTGAAGCTTTTAAAAAAGACAGAAAAATTCTAAGAGGTTTCAAAAAGGGACATATTAATAAAGAGAAAGATATTGAAGGTGGAAAATCTTACTCTCCAGGAAAATATTAAAAAATATTATTATATGTGTTTTTTATAGAATTGCTTTTTTCAATATTGCACAAAACCTAAAATGGGTTTATTTAAAAAGTATTAAAGCAATCAGCTTGAAATTTTTAGGAAGTGCTCCTTAACAGTTACTTGAGGGACTGTAGCAGAATTACACGAAACTGATGATATTATTTCAAGTTTGGAATAATTATCTTATGTTAAAAATTGACTTTTATTTTGCTTCCATTGCTTTTATCCGCCATTTTTGAAATACAAATTTTTATTAAAAAATTCTGCTACAGTACCTTTGTGTTGAAATCATATTCTGAAATTTTTAATTTCATTAGATTTATATTTTAGGAATGATAAAGTTTTTAAAGTGTGTTTATATTTTACTTATTTTTTGCTGACTCAGCAAAACAAAAAATCTTTTATAATTTTTTAAAGTGTATTTGTTGTTAAAAAAAAATTTTCTTTTCTTTTAAAGTTATTTGGAAACATTTATCATTAAAATCCAGAACTTATTTTTTTAACCATAGAGCCACCTTAAAGTAAAATAGGAATCGATGAATCTTTTTTTTTTTTTTTTTTTTATTTGTAACTGTAAAATAACAAAACTTTCAATTAAAAAAAATATTAAAAGAATATCACAATTTTACAAAATTATTAAAATTTATACAAAAATGATACAAATTTATACAAAAAAAAGAAAGAAATACATGCATAAAAAAGCTTTAATGCATAGATGTATATAAACAAATTACAAACAAAATAAATTAATTTATACACTTTTGTATACATTATTGTATCTATTTAATAAAAAATATAATTTGTCAATGGGTGTGCATTTGTTTACGCCTGTGCCTAAATTTTTTTTTTTTTTAAATAATTCAGTCAATGAATGTTCCTTTAATATTATTTAATAAATAATATAATAACATACAAATAATAATATAGTAAGACAAGGCATCATTTTTAAGGACTTATTTTTTACTTATGTAAGACTTATTTTTTACTTAGAAAGAGAAGTTTTTACAATTCATTTTTATTTTCACTTATTTTAGTAACTAATTTTAGTTTTGGTCACAAGACTAATTTTTAAATGTGTATACTTAATAAGATATATATTTCAATAGATAGCAGTTTTTTGTTTTTTGTTTTTTTTTTAAACATCTTTGCTTCCAACAAGGCTGCAAGCAACCACTAATTAGAGTTGAAAGTTATTGGAAGAGAAAAGATGAAGATTGTAGAGCAAGATAACGATTTACAGACAACTTAAAAGATTGCAAACTATATGAAACAGAAAAGCAAGATGAAGGAAACAAATTTCAAAGAACTGATGTTCGAGGAAAAAACTGGAGGAATAAGAGTTTTTAGAGCACTTAGGCACAGTCCAGAATAAATTTTAGTAGATGGCACAAGAGATGCTAGCTCTTTAGAGTAATACCCATTATAGTATTTGTAGAAAAGAGAAAGAGTAGCAACATTACAACAATGTGATAATGGTTGAAAGTTGGCTGCAAGAGCAGGTTCAACTATGTTTACAATGTGTATTTGCACCTTATCTAAAAGAGAAAAGGCATCATTAGAAGATCTGCCCCAGATATGGCAATAGTATTCCATACAAGGCCGGATTTGATATTATAGAGATAGAGAATAGAATCCGGAGTAAGAAAGTTTCAACCTCGATAAAGAGATACAACGTTAGCAGATGCTAATTTTGCAACGGATTTGATATATAGTTTTCAAGAAAGATCGGGAGTAAGAGTTAATCCTAGAAGATGAAGAGTAGATGACTAATCGAGTACATTACCGTTCATAAATATAGGAAGGTCAAAATTATTGCAATAATAGTTAGCTGAAAAAAATTGTGTTTTATTTGAATAAAAGTTCACCAGCCACTGTGAGCCCCATGCTGTAGCAGAAGTGAGATCCTTTTCAAGCTCAAATTCCCCCTCCAAGCAATCAGAGAGTGTTGGCTTCTTATCACGACAAGATCAAATGGTAGTATCATCAATAGGTATTCTTATCATGACAAGATAAGTATTCTTACCATGACATCGATATTCATCTTATTATGACAAGAATAAATGGTAGTATAATCAATATAATCAGTTACTCAGCTATCACTATTCTGGTTATAATTTTTGTATATTTTTGATATTTTTGAACTTACATTTATAGAAAAAGGTGAGAAAAAAATAACATAAAAAAAAATAAAAGGAAATTTCTGTTATTTTCAGGCAACACAAAGTTGTCAGACTAATGTCAAAAGTAATTAAAAATGACATAATTTATTGTCAAAAGAATCATTTTTTATCTTCTGCACACTCAAAGCCAACAATTTATAGAACTATATATATATATATATTATATATATATATATATATATATATATATATATATATATATATATATATATATATATATATATATATATATATATATATATATATATATATATATATATATATATATATATTTGAGTTATGATTTAAATCATTGAGACTAATGACTAAAAAAATATAAAGTATATTAAAGAAATTTATAAAATTTTCTCACAACATTATTAGAAGATACTTCATCAGCAAATGTTACTTTTGTTTTCATTCTTAATATGACTAAAGGAGAGAAATTCTTAACAAGTGGAATCTATCTGGTGCACACAGATAAAGAGACCAGAGTACAAGTATTTAGATTTGTTTTTGCAGCTTGAAACTAACCTAAAATAAATATTTTTAATAAATCTTTAATATAAAAAAGCGACCTGAACACATTATAGAAGCTCACCATTGAATATTGTACAATATTGTTTATATCTTTCATACAATACCATTTTTTAAGTTATAAGGCAACTATCACATATATAATATATTATCAATGCCAAATATTTTTACTGTTCCAGTAATATTTATGAACTTTATAGACTATTACTATAACTACAACAGCAACAATATCAACAATATTATTGTCAATAACAACAACAACAACAGCTACTACTACTACTACTACTACTACTACTACTACTACTACTACTACTACTACTACTACTACTACTACTACTAATACTACTACTACTACTATATACATATATTACATATGTATATAGTAGACGTGTATGTATATATAATATGTGTGTTTATATATTTTATATACTTATGTGTTTGTGTGTGTGGAGGGGGGGGGTGGAGGTGTTTCTGTGTCTGTGTTTTGAAAGTAAACTAGTTAAACATAAACAAACAAAACTCAAGAAAATGTTAAGTTGTAATATTTTCTTTTCACAATTTGATCACATTTTATATTCTATTTAAGTTAAAACTCAAAATTATTTAGAATTTAAAAAAAAGCAAATTAAATGCTTTTAGTAAATGACTATTTTATTTTTATTATTTTTGTTACCATAGCGTAAAAAAGCATGGTAGATAAACAGCGCAATCCATTTTGCGTATCTTTAACCAAGGAGGTATACAGTGGAGTAAATAGAATTAGCCTCCACCATGAACTGATCCAATATCTTGTAAATCTAAGAGCAAGTTTGTGCGATGCATCTTTTGCATCCACACACATATAATTATTGTTACAAACAATAACTTTTTAGATTATAATAAAGCATAATTAAATTGCGGTATATTTGAAAAAACCATAATATGTATAACTCTTGATATTTAGGGTAACAAATAGAATTAGCCTCATCAACAATTATTTTCAGTTTACTTGTATATTTTGATCTGGTGATACGCATTTGTGACAGTTTTTTATAATTATTTGTAAGTTAGACAAAGACTGTGAAATCAGTGGTCATAAAGTTTTTAACATTTGGTTTTTGATTCCTAAATATGAAATGGGACGTGGTAAATGTTTAACGAATGAAGAATTAGCCGTAATTAAAGCATACAGGCTTATCTAATAAGAAAATTGAAAAGAAAATTAAAAGATTTCCAAAAGTATTTAATAATTACTTCAAGATTGGCGTTAATTATGGAGCTTATAAGGGAAGTGGTGGCAAACGCAAAACTGATAATCGTACTAAACGAGTTATTGCGCGGGAAGAGTGGGATCAAGTTCTCTTTAGTGATGAAAAAAAGTTCAATCTAGATGGTCCTGATGGCTATCAATATTACTGGCACGATCTTCGAAAAGGGAAAGAAACTCGGATGAGTCGTAACTTTGGTGGTGGAACTGTTATGGTTTGGGGGAAGGAGCTTTTTCCTTTGCTGGAAAACTTCCACTGACATGGATTTTAACAAAAATGAATTCACAGAACTACATTGACTTATTAGAAATAAATTTGCTTGAACATGGTGAGGAACTGATGGGTGAAATTTTTACTTTTCAACAAGATAATGCTTCTATCTGTAATTCAAAGCTTACAAAAGTTTGGTTTAGAGAAAAAAATATTCATGCAATGGAATGGCCCGCATGTAGTCCAGATCTTGACCCAATTGAAAATTTATGGAGAATACTTTCTAGAAAGGTTTATGAAAATGGTAAGCAATTTAAATCCACCTTGGAGCTAAAAACACGTATCAGAGAAGCTTGGAATGAAATATCTATAGAAACTACCCAAAATCTTGTGACTAGTATGTCAAGTTGCATACTTGAAGTTATTAAAAATTTAGGAAGCAATACTAAATATTAAATGAGCGTAAAAACAAATTATTTCTTGTATATAACGTAAATGAGGCTAATTCTACTTTCTCCACAAATTGAATACTTTTAAGCTTTTTTTCCATTTGTAATTAATTAAACATATTAATTTATAAACCTTTTAGTTGTAACAGATGATTATAAGAAATAAAGTAGATTTAATAATTGTCTCACTGCCATTTTAAATTAAATTAAAGCGAAAAATAAAGGTGAAGCTAATTCTATTTTCTCCGCTGTAACAGCTACGCTATTATAGTTCCTTTTATAATGACTCCGCTATTATAACACAAATATTTCAAAAAAAAAGTTTTGAAAACTGGAAACGCTTTACCTCTTTCTAAAAAATCTTCATTTGTAACTTGTACTTATTATTTGTGTGTGTATATTTACCATGAAAAACTCTAATGTTTTTAAAAAAAAAGAGCAACGAGTTAATAAAGTATTTTAAGTGCGGTTAAAAAATTAAAAATTATTAAAATTATTTAAAATAAAATGAGGAATGAGGATATTGCTTATGTTGTGGTTGATGCAGTCCTTGTTTTTTGGAATATGGCACGCATCAAAGCTAAATGCAGACAGAATTGCATGTTTGATGTTATAAAACTTTGGAATGAATGGCAGAGTTTGATGAAAAATAAAAGAAGAACAACTGACCCTGGTAGCAAGAGAGCAAGTTTTATTAAACAATTGAACTCTCTTTTTAACCTTGGTGCACCTGACGCCATAGATGAAATAAAGAAATCGAGATTTTTGTCAAAAAGAGAAAAACAAGATGATATCAACTTTTATTCGGACCAACAACAGGAAAGAAGAGCATGTATGGGTAGACATGATAAAAATTTTTGAAACCAAACTGTTTGCAAAATTTAAAAATGCATGGACAAACCTGAATAAAGTTCAACCAATACAAGTACTGGAAACTGAAAACGAATGGTTGTTAAACATAAAACATAAAGTTGTTAAAGAACTTACAGACATGCTATCTTGCAACAATTCAACAACTTTTCGAAGAGATGATTATTGTGAATCTGCTGAAAACACTCTAACCATCTTGGGTGAAACTCCCCCACGTGGCGCCCACTTTCTTAAACCAGGGAGGATGCATCAAGCACGTTGGATGGTCAACAACATATATGCTGGAAAGATGTATATGTTTTCAGATGCAGTATGATGATAACATGGTTGCTAAACTCATGCGTATGAATAGATTTTTGGCTTATTTCTACACTCCTGCATGTATGAAAACATCATGGGGAGCGGATGCACCTATGAACGACCTCCAGTTTATTCATGACATGATTGATTTTAGAAGTGTTGACAAAGATATTGCTGACATTGTAATTAACAAACTCTGTAATCATCAATGCTATTTGTCAAAAAAAGTTGTGCCATTTGCTTTATTTAGTAAACATCCTTTGATGACACATGCACTAAAGAAAGAAATGGGGGATCAATTGCTTTTGACTCCAATACCAGAAAACTTCCGCCTTAGTAAACCAGTATTCAAAAAAATTGGAATTCAGACCAGGCTTTTAGAGTTGCAGAACAATTTGTTTGTACAGTTAAAGTTGTCAGCAATGCAGCGGAGCGTGGTGTCAAGTTAATCTCGGATTTTGCTACAATCATTACAACTGATATTGAGCATGGTTGTTGCAGGGTGTCGAGCAGCATAGAAAGTTATATTCTAGTTTTGATAAAAAGACACTCAATTTGTGAAACTGTAGTGTAGTACTAAGTACTATGTAAGTGTGTTTTTTTTTTTTTTTAAGTAGAAATGTTAAATGTAACATTAACTTATTTTTATTATTATTATAATTTTTTTTTTTTGTAGATCTGATTACCTTTATATTAAACATGATTTTGTTTAAATTATGTTTTATATTTATAGAATTACATTTTATAATGTAAAAGATTTAAATTTTTGCTCGAAAAATAGGGTTCAAATTCGGAGGCCTTGAGGGACCTCAGGATCACTTGTCAAAAATCTGTAAAAATGACTTTTAAAAATGTTATTAGTATAATGGGAAAAACTTCACTTCATGACATTTTAACACTTCACACTAATCCTGGACAACCCTAAAGTAACATATTTACGAAACGGAGAAAACGCGGTTTAAAAGTCATGCAAAAAGATGATGTCATGTCATGATGCTTCGCATTGCCAAGACATAGACTTTCAAACCGTATTTTCTCATTTTCGTAAAAATGTCAATTACAACCTTTTTGCTTTGAGCCTTCCGTTAGTTTTCTTTGTTTTATATTTATGTGTAATATTAACTAAACAATCAAAAGATTTTTATAATTTCAACAAAATTAGGCACAAAAACAAATACGATTTAATGAATAATAACCTTATTATAAAACTTGTTTTGGGCTTTTATATTCTGTCTAGGCGCTTTTCTTTGGAATCAAACAGTTTTTAATAATTTTTTTTTTAAAAAAAAAAGGGAATTATCTAACTTTAATAAGCAAACTTTAATAAACTTTTTTCTCTACGAAAAACATTTTAAATTATGGTTATTTTTTTGTTTGTTTGTTTGTTTGTTTTTGTTATCAACATTTATAAAGTTTTGTAGTTTTTATGCATCTGTTTTATATTTTCTTATTAATTGACATAATCATCATTTTTTTAAAAATGATTCTTGGTGACAGAACCTATTCATTCATAATAATGTGAGTTTTTATATTGTTTATATTTGATGAGTTTGTTTTTAAACATATTATCATAAATAAAACAAAAAAAATTAAAAACAATTATTTTTCTGTGGGCCTCAATATATGTGTGTTTTAATCAATACATAAACTCCAATCCTACAGATGTTATTTCTAAATAGGATTGTCTTCTAGATGGTCCATCCAACGTTTGAAGTACAATTTGTATATTGTCTGCAATTGTATTACTCAGGTAGACATCTTGTCACAACATCTTAAACATCTTTTTATTTACAAAGTATTTTTAATAAAGAAATGCCCAAAGGCTGAGTTAGCCAGTAATAAATTCTCAAGCGGAATGTTATATTTTAAACAAAAATTTTTGTTGCAAGAAATGTTACTAATATTCACAACACTATTTAAAGTATGTAGTGAACATTAGTAACTTAATTACATAAAATTATTGACATTAAAATGGTTTCATCATTGTTATTACTTAAAAAATTACATTGTTTTAAATTTTTCCGAAACACTGAAAAACAGAAACTACAAATAAATTAAAAATTTATAAAACTTTTTGTTTTGTTACTTCCGCCTATGACTAACACATGGTTTAATCGGATCACTGAAGAAAATTCAATAAAATCAAAAACGCAAACAAACCTTTAAACAACTTCTAAACATATAGCTTTAAAGTAGTCATATACTTGAGTATGGTTTTAAGATATTGAATTTAAAGTAGAGCGGGAAAACTTTGGTTACTTTGGTTGCGGTAAATATATGGACCAAAAACTATGCTGTAGTCAACAGCTTGGTTTTGGTACGGGTTCTTTTGGGTATTCAACTTTTACTGGATTTCTTTACAGAATTCCGTTTAAGACCATTCATTATTCGAATAGTCTTTTTATAGAGTTTTAAAAACACTATGAATTAAAAACAGATATTAAAAATTTACCTTTTTTAAAAATAAATGCTTAGAATATAATCATCATATTTTACTATTGAAAATAATAAAGGTTTTTATTATAAGCTTTTATATACTTTTTACTATAAAGAAAAATAAATTAAATAAAATCTTTGTAAAAGAGACTGGTTCAGAATTTGCCGCATTCTTTTTTTGTTTTGTTAAATATGCATCACGTGGTTGTTTTTGTTGTCGTCGAAAGCCTGAGAACAATCATGGCGAACGGCAATAGGAAAGTATTTCCCGATGTCGACACTGAAACAAACACCATTTTGGAGCATGCATCATGCATAGTGCCTTCAATGGCTGAAACTTCAATTTCAAAACATTCTTCTCACGACGATCAAGACTCAGATAGGGAAAATGAACCGATCTTTGCCGTACTTAAGGAAGCTGTCGAAAGTACTCATGAGCAAGATGATATACATACCGATGATGTTGATGGCGACGAAGACGTTAATCGTACTCCAGCTAGTAAACATCGAACAAGTATGATTAATCCCGCTCGAGTACCAAAATGGACGTTGGAAACTATGTCTGCCGCAATGGACTCTGTCCTTGCTGGAGAGTTAACTACTTCAATGGCTGCAAGACGATACAATATTCCTCGAACGACTTTACTAGATCGACTATCAATGAAAGTAAAGGCTCAATATCTTGAGGTCCCCGGCTCATTTCCCTTATCTCCTGAAAATGACGCTGTTATTGTTAATTTTGTCAAACAAAACATGAATCTAGACAAACAAACTTTAATAAAGGGTATTTTATCTCATGCAGAAGAGTTAGCATCTCAACAAGGTAAACCTTTCACCAACCCTTTAATGACAAGAAAATGGTTAAAGCTTTTTGTTCATAAGCATCCAAATCTTGATATTCTTAGAACAGCATCCAAATCACGCTGTTCAATACAAATTAATGAGCAACGTGATTTGGAACATCGTCTTCGTCTTACACCTCAACAAATTTCTACTATAGACTTATCTAATCCAGAATCATCACAAGAATTTTCACCAGCACCTGATTCAGATGAATGTGAAGTTAAATACTCGCAAACTGCAATGATTCAACGTAAACAACATCAAGAACTAGAAGATTCATTTGAAAACAACTTAGCAAAACAAGGACTTGATGCAGTTGAAAAAAAACTTTCACCAGAGCAGAAGCTATATTTCAGTTATCGGTTTTTTAATAGTGCACTTGAAAAAGGTTATGAGTTGTGGAGGTTGTGTAAAACCAAAGTGAATGATTCTGAAAGTTTTGAATCAGTTTTATCTGCTCAAGCATTAAATGGGATAGAAAACGCTCTTGATAGTGATCATTTAAAGTACTTTATTTTTCGATATGAAAATAGCAACCTTGAAGAAGGATACAAATTATGGTTGTTGTTAAAGGAAAAAAGTAGTTAAATTTCCTACGCGAATGTTGAATTTAGCATTAAACTATAAATTGGTTTATTAAAACCTAAGTGCATTTATTATGCATATTTCTTCAATATATATATATATATATATATATATATATATATATATATATATATATATATATATATATATATATATATATATATTCATGTATATACAAAAGTATTGTTTTTATTATTTCCATTATTTAGAAGAAGCAGTATATGAATACATTTAAATATTTTTCTGTTTTAGATAAGTTTTACTTGATAGGTAAGTAACATGTAAAAACTTACACACTACATCTGCTCATTTTTTTTTTTTAACAAAATATGCATTTAAATTAATAATTATAAAAATGTTTTTCAATCACTAATGGGATCATTAAAAAATAAATAAATCATCCGATTAAGAACAATTCTCTCTTCCTTCCCCTACTGTAAGAGACTGTGAAGATTGTTTTAATTTACCTGACATTAATGTGTATATAATGTTGGGTTAAAACCCTTTAAAAGAATCCTAAAGAATGCTCTAACTCCATTTTTTGTTAAATAAAAACTTTGAAAATTGATTTTTATTACATCTTTTTGTGAAATTTAACTTTTGTAAGAATTTAATTTTTGTCAATTTTTTATATTTTTAAAGTACTTTTAAGAAAAGTACTTTAAAAATATAAAAAGTTGACAAAAATTAAAATCTTAATAAAAATCTGACACAGACTTTTAAATAGATTTTATAGAGATCAGTTAATATATATATATATATATATTGGTATAAGTCTGATACAGACTTATATATATATATATATATATATATATATATATATATATATATATATATATATATATATATATATATATATTATATATATATATATATATATATATATATATAAGTCTGATACAGACTTATATATATATATATATATATATATATATATATATATATATATATATATATATATATATATCAGTTGATGTAATTTTTATTGGGTAAGAAAGTTATGTGTGTATATATATATATATATATATATATATATATATATATATATATATATATATATATATATATATATATATATATATATATATATATATATATAATTTTTTTTTACCCAATAAAAAATTATATCAACTATTTAGGTTTAAATATTACTAGTAGTTGCTCATTAAATTTTTTTAAATATATTGTATATACAAATAAGTTGAGTGTGTGTGTATATATATATATATATATATATATATATATATATATATATATATATATATATATATATATATATATATATATATATATATATATTGTTAAGTTTTCATTATTATTAAATTGATGGTACTTTTATTTTTAAAGTTAATGATGTGATTAATCTAAAATCAAGTTATTTAAAATGAGTTGACACTATTACAGGGTTTGTACTGTACCTGGAGCACCTGGAAAATTAGTTAATTTTGTATAAAGTCATGGAAAACCTGGAAAAGTCAGGGAATTTATTTTTATTTTTTTTAAATAGTCATGGAAAAGTCAGGGAATTCTGATTGAGAAGTTACTTATTTTACAATTAATCTAATATGTTTTTGTTGTCATTAATTTTTTTCTGAAGCTTATGTTTTTCTTAGTGTTTATTCTAAGTCATCCTTAATGTTAAGATCTATATTAACATGTATAATAAGATCCATATTAACTAATATCTAACTTAACTAATCCATATTAACTAATATCCTGTATTTTATATAACTATAGTCCATGTTAACTAATATTAACTAGATCCATATTATCTATTATCCAACTTAACTAATAGCTAAGTTTTACAAGTTTTGTCATTCAAAGCATGTACAATTTTAGCATTTCTGTTACAGTAGATAGTAATTTTAAACATTTTGTAAAAACTATTGTTGAAAATGGTCAGAGAAATTCATCTGATTTTTCAAAAAAGTCAGAGAATTTTATATAAATATTTGGCTACAAACCCTGTATTAGTAAAGCTCTAAACTTGAAAATATTTTAATCGATGAAAATGTGTATGATTTAGTTTGGCATTTTAAACATCTACTTAATACATAGCATCTTTTTTTATGTTAGATTGTTGTTGACTTTTTTAGTTCTATAAAAAATTCTTTTTATATTAGTTCTTAACCTTTGATTTATACTTCAACCTCCATTATTATATATTCTTAACAATTCCAAAAGTTATGTTATATTTTAAAATCTTGTTTTACACGATACTATTGTTTAATTATTAAGCTTGATGAATGGGTTAGTTTGTTTTATATTTGATTATATTATATATATTTAATTTATATTTGAATTTTTTTTTTTCTTTATTAATTATCTTTGAATTTTTTAAATTACTTTAATTTTTTCTTTTTTATAATTAGTTATTTATATTATTATATTATTATAAGTCATAAATCACTTTAAATAATTATGTTTTGAAAACAACATTTAATGTTTTGAAAAAACCTTTAATATTGTATAAACTGTAGTCTAGTTCTCATTTTAATGATATAATAATTTACATCCTTATTTTCTTACAAAAGAAATGCACTATTGAAGAAAATACAAAAAAATATCAAATGAAAGACTTGTCATATCTTAACTTGTAAGGAGAAATCTATTTTTCCAATAATATATTAATAATATATTTATATATATATATATTAATAATATATTTTCAAATAATATATTATTTGATTTTTAATATAAATCTGAAATGATGTTTTAAATAACATATGTTAAATATAGCTTTTTTTGTGTGTGTTTGGTATTTAATATTTAATTTTTCTTTTAAGTTATAATAAATGTTTTTATATTTTAGATAAAAAAAAATTATTTATGGCGAATGTTTTTCAATTGTACCAGTTTAAATAGAACAGTTAATATGCCAATTTAAATGCTCGAAAATACAATAAATAAGTCATGCAGTTTGGAGTTAAATAAGTAAGTTGAAATTTAAAAGATTTTTAATTTATTTATAAAGAAAATATTTTTATTTAACATTTTTTGTCTTGAAGTTTAGAACGTTAACAAACTGTAACATTGCTAGGAAGTTAATTGAAAAAAAAAATCGTAACTCAATCTACTTGTTATGATGTAGTAAAGGTCAGCCTTAAAAAAATCCATTTGAGGAAATTGTCTTTAAAATCCCCAAAAGCCTAACATCAGAGTTTTTAAAAATTTTCCAGATTTTCTTTCAATTTATTTTTAGGATTAGATTTTTAAACCACTTTCATTTTTAAATCATTTCTGGCAAATGTTGTTCGATATGTTTTTTCTAATCTCTGTCTAAGATTATGGCTCTATGTCTTGTTTTGTTAGAGACATACACATCCATCTGATCATCATCTCTTTTAGGTGATGATACTAAACCATATAAATAGGTATGCCAGCTTCTAAATAAATAACAAACCTATATGTTTATATCCATATATATCCATATTTTTTATGTATAAAGGTGCCTTTTACCTAACTTTCTGGATCTAAACAGGTATGGAAGTTTTTTTCCTTCTTGTTGGTTTAAATTCGAGCCTTAAACTATTCCATGTTTTTCACCTTCTTGTGCATTTGCTATACTTAACTGTAACCTTTTTTTTTTCATCTTTTCTACAGGAACATCTCTCTTAACAATAAATATCTTTTTATTATTGCAATGTGAAAAAGGTCCTGCTTTTTACTTCTCCCTAGAATATGGCAGAGTTAAATCTAATGGTTATACTCTTCCTGTCAATCAGTTAAACATGTTTAACCATTGTTAGACATCCTAATTACTCCGGCTTCTGATGCTATAGTTAATTTTTGATTAAACTCTTCTACGACTTGTGGTTCAGACAACATTTCTATCAAAGCCTACAAAAGCGTTCTTTAGAATTGTCTTTAATTCTTGCTAAACTATTAATAAGTGGTTTCAATTTTGAAAAACTCTATAAAATACACTGCCTGTCTAACTATCCTTCAATTAGTCTCCTCTATATTATTAGTTTTTTTACGTAAAGTTTTTGAAATTAAAAAATCATTTTAATAACTTTTTTATTTCTGGTTTATTACAGGTACCGTAAGATTCTACCCAAGGAGGTTTAATAAACAGGAGACGCCGTAGTATATACTTTATATAAAATGCGCTGAAGCTAGTTTTGTAAATCAGCTGCTATCTTGGTTAACCCAAAACATTGTTATGTTTTGAACGGAACTTTATATCTTTTGTAGAAAATTTTGCTGAAATTAAGTCAAAACTGATATAAATGATTGAATAATTTGCTAGTTGTTTCCTAGTCTATCTTATACCACAAAGAATTGTTTGCTAACTAATTATCGGTTTCAGCTTATTCCAAAATATTGGAATACTGAAGTAGACATTCAGATAGTAAACACGCTATTAGCATATGCCATATTTTATACAGTGTGATCATCTTGGAACAAAATCATCTATGAAACAAAAAAAACTTAGTGAGTTTTCTATTAAATTTTACAAAATTATATGTAAACATAAATAAAAACAAATATATTAAATATGCTTACCTATCTTTCAATCTCTCACTTGTTATGTTATATATACATAACAAGAGAGAGATTGAAAGATAAAAATGTATATTTAATATATTTGTTTTTATTTATGTTTACATTTGATAAATAAATGGATAATATATACAAATTTTTTATATTTTTTTAATGGATAATAATATATATCAACCCTCAGAATTAGGGTCGGTATTTGGCAATGCCCACCATAAAGTGCCAACCATAAAGTGTTTGAGGTCAGCAATTAATTGCCGACGTCGTTTTTATGTTTTATGGTGAGACCTTTGTATCAATTTTTTTTGCTGACCTCAAAAAGATTGAGATCAGCAAATTATTGCCGATCTCGTTTTTCCTAATTCAGAGAGTTTATATATATATATATATATATATATATATATATATATATATATATATATATATATATATATATATATATTCATATATATATATGATATTATTTGATATAGTTATTGTAATATTGTAATATATATAATAATATTGAAACAAGATCCATATAGTTATTCGGAAATGCACATAATCAGGCCTTGTTTTAAATAAAAAAGTGCTTAATGCATTAGCTTAACGCGATTTTGACGTCATAAAATTATCCTTATTTTTTTTTTATAGACGTTAAGTGTTTTAATTACCGCAATAAATAAATAACCGCAAACTAGTTCAATTTAACAATTAACTCAAATATAAACTATAAACGTTTTAAATATAAATTTATTATGAAAATTTTGTAATGTTTTCAATTGTTATTTTATTATTAATTTTAGTTCAATATTATTTAGTAAAATATATATATATATATATATATATATATATATATATATATATATATATATATATATATTAATTATTTCTGAAATTTGTTTTTGAATAATTGTTTTTAATTGTTATTGAATAAAAAATAATAATGATTTTTTTTATTTTTAAAAATTTCTAGAGTAAACAAAAAACATTGATAAACACAAACCCATGTTAATAGTTTAAACAACGATTTTGTTTTGACTAGCAAAGAAAAATTTAGGTTTTTAAATATTTTTTAAATTTTTAAAAGTGTTTCAACTTGCGTTTTATAAAAATATAAAAAAGTTTTGCCTGCTTTGAGCATATTTTTGATATGTAGTTTAGAACGCGTTCGCCAGAAATTTAATTCATAAATTTTTTATGTTATTGTAAAAATATTTAACTTTTTAAACAAATCACAAAAAAACAAAGCTATAGAGAAAAATCGTTTTCAACGATTAAATCTTTTTTTTTTTAATTTTAGGAAATTAAAAAAAAAAATTAAATTAAACATAAAAGACTTAATTATGCAAACTCTTTTGTTAATTATTCTTAAAACAAAAAAACAAATACTATTACACCAAACTTTAATCGTGCAAACTTAAAAAAATACTCAACTGAAATAATTTAAGTATATTTAATAATTTGAATCGTATCTGTTTATAATAAACTTTCGTAAAAAATTTTGTTTATTAAAAATTAAGTTCCTTAACTTATAAACAAACTCAAAAGTATTTTCATTCTACATATAATTACAAAACTCTTTTTTTTTTTCGTTTATAAGCAATTTAACTAAATAAAATAAAAAAAGAATAAATATGAGGTAATCTTTGTTAAGAACAAATTTAATTTATTTATTGAACTATATTGTTATTTTTAATTATATATCAACTTAATTAAAATATAGTAACATGTCAAAATATTTTAACATGACTTGTGTTATTTATAAACCGTTGGGCAGTTGCCCTTACGGCACCATTGTATTTGGATATTATTTTATTTTGATGAAAATCACATAACTTACATTTGATTTTAATAACGTAAGTCTTCTCTTTTTCTGTGATCATCGCATCGGCAAAGCATCAGCAAAGTCCCAAGATTTAAAAGTTTTGTAAAGTAAATCTTTTGTCCTTCAAAATACAATCCATATTCGAACTTTAAACAATTTAGAGATAATAGAAATATACAAGGTTTTTAAATACTAGTTTGTTTTGTTTTATAAAGAAAAATACATATTCATTAGTAAAAAATGGAGACTGTCATTAAACTAAAACGTGCCTTAGTATTTATTTAACGGAACCTGTAATGTGCGCGTGCATAATAAAACCTCCGTTATATAAATATATTCAACGTAATATTAGTGTCATCAGCGGATGTTGTAGTCTACTCATGATTTCTTTACCTTATAATATAACTTGATTTATGAAAAAAAAAATTATTGAATCGCACGCAGAAGAATTTTAACAAATTGTCTTCATTTAAATATTGTGAGTAACAGGTAATTTTTTTTTCTGTGCCTCCCCCCTCCCCCCGCATAACTTAAACTATATACCTTTAACTAATAAGAAAAGCAAAGACATTTTTTTTAATATCTTAAAGAAATGTCTTGATATTTTTGTTATCTTGATAACAAAAATATTATGATATTTTTTGAGATATTCAAAAAAATGTCAATTCTTAATTACAAATTTTTTTGCAAATGTTTTTTATTATAAATTCAGTAAAAAATTCATAAAAAATCTATATTACAAAAAACTTTTATATTCTGTATTAATAAATATGGAATATAGATTTTTTTAAAGTTTTTTACTAAAAACTTTAAAAAATTACTACTTTTTATTAAAAACATTGCAAAAAATTTGTAGTTAAGGATTGACAAACAATTTTTCATGTTGCTAAATCTTTGGATAAAAAGTTTAGCGTCAAATTAATTGCTATAAAAAGGAAAGATATATCGCGATGAAAAGTTGCAACAATTATTTTAAAAGTAAATTCTTTTTTTTAATAAATATCTTTACATATCGTTATTTAAAAGTTTAGTGGTTTTTTTGAAAATTAATTACTTCTTTTATGTTACCACTAATTTAAAAGTTAAAAAATGATAAAAAGTAGCTTAACCAAAACAGCTCTACGCGTACGTAAAAAGCGCTTAAGGCGTACGTAAATCGCTCTAGGCGTAACGCTTTAAAACAAGGCCTGATAATTAAGCTGAAATTAATTTCTTATGTGATCTTTCTGACCTGTTAAAATGACAATCTTTTTGTGCAACTGTCAACACAGTATAAAAAAACAGCATTATATGATCTTGGCTAAATTATAGTAAGATAGAAATAACAAATGTTAGTAATAAAACTGAAAGTAACTAAGTAAGCTATTACTCTGGTGCTTCAAAAATGCTTGTTATGCCACCATACTAAATTCTCACACAGTTTAGTTCTAAAAAAACCAGCATCTGTACACAGAGCAAATTTACTTCTTATTTTTCTTTGAACACAACCGCTGTATTATGAGGGTTAATAAAGTTTTCTCTAAGATAAGCAGTTATTGAAATTTGTCAAATTGTGATATTTGATTTTTAATGGAATTCCATAAAAATATTGACTAATAAAACAAAAAAAATTACTAGAGTAATATCATATATGAGTTATTTTTTTTTGAAAGTGGCATAATCACCTTTCCAAAAAAATCAAGTTATTGACAACAATGACTACAAAATAACGGTATCTTTTCATTTGTAAAATAATTTAAACCAATTCTGTTGAAAATTATTGGAAAGAAGTTTTGCTAGTTAATTGTATAACAAAACATGTTAGAACACGAGCCTTTAAAAATCTCTTTTTAAAACAGTGACTTTTGCCACTTTCAAAATAATACTCTAGCGATTTTTTTTGTTTTATTAGTCAATATTTTGAAAAAAAAATCACCAGAGTAATAGCATATATGCTACTAATCTAGTGATTTCTATACTTAGTCAATATTTTATAGAATTTATTTTAATGATATATAGGGTCATTCCATGCCAAGTGGAGCAAAGGTCCCTCGTGGACCATCTCAGATTTTATTGAAACTATTCGATTTTGTACATATATATGAGAAAAGCATGTTTTGAAAATTTCAGATCAATATCTAATATGGTTATTGAGAAAACACTATTTAAGTAGTGAGCTATTTTACATGAAATTTCACTCTACAAGAATAAAGGGTTTTTTCATCATTTTTAACACCTAATAACTTTTGAATAAATTGGTTTTATATTTCAGTTATTTTAAAATAGCAAGTATGCTATGGATACTTTTAAAAGTACAAAAAATTTAAATTTGATGAAATAAAGATGCTATCTAAATTTTTTCCATAACAGCATGCCAAAGTTGATATTTTTGATTTAAGATTTAAAACTAGTTCAAAAATTAAAACAAATCAAATTGCCTGATGATCTACATGTGGTAGATAAATATTGAAAAAAAATCATTTGATTAAAGACCTGCATTCAAAAGTTATAGGTCATCAAAGTGAGTTGAATCAAGATTTTTTTTTAATTGATCTGTGATGCAAAGCATCACAGATCAATTTTAAAAAAATCTTGATTCGATTTTTACTAAGATGGAACTTTTTTTTTTCTTCATAAAATTTCTAATACACATCAATCAGAGTCTTAATTAATAAAAACCAAAAAAGTTAATAGACACTTATTTATAATTCCAAAAGATAATCTCTAAAAGTCAGGTAAATTTTCTATAAAAAAAATCTGAAGTTAACAAAATAAATAAATGCATTGAATTGAATAATATTATTTGTAAAATAATAATTATAAAAAATCAATGCTTATAGCCTTATGATCCCAATAGATAAAAAATTATATCCCCCCCCCCTCCTGTATAAAATTTTTTTTAATGAAAAACAAATAAAATGTTTTGCAGTTTGTAAATTTTAGTTTTATTTTCTTGGAGTTCAATTTCTTTTGTATTATGATATTTGCAATGCAGAGTTTTTCTGTAACTAGTTCAAATTTTTCGACAAGCTATTAAACCAAAATCTTTGGCATATGAAACACTGATGATTCTAAGAGAATCTACAAAGTAAAGATAATAATTATTAAATATTGTTTCACATTTATTTATTATTATTATTATAGTATTTATTAAATTATAGTATTAGTTTAAATATTGAAACTTATTTTTCACTTTTTTTGTGTGGTTGTTAAAAGGATTACAACAATACCTTTGATGTTTATTCTCATACCTCAACAAGTAAACTTTCTTGTGATAGTTACAAATAAAATCTATGGGATTTGCTTTGCTTCTCAAAGAAAGAAGCTCTTGGTTTAGTCCAGACAGTTCTTGGTAACATTTACTTTTTTTAGACTTTTTAAACTTGATAAGATAGCACTGTTCATTTAATGCTTTACCAATACAGCAAGGAGAAAGCTCAGGCATACTACTCATTACTAATTAGTTCTAAAATACAACAATTTATTTGGTTTTATTAGTACTTTTTAATTTAACAGAATAGTATTATAATATTTAATGAAATAATAACTTAACTTTTAAAATGTTAAGTAATAATTTTATGGTAAATTTACCTGACCTTTAAAGACTATCTTCTGGGATTATAAATAAGTGCCCATTAATTTTTTTGGTTTTTAATAGTTAACACTCTTTATAGGAGAAAAAAAAAAGTGATATCTTAGGTGCTTTATTTTTATCAATGCTTTGCATCGCAGATCAATTTTAAAAAAATCTTGATCAAACTCATTTTGATGACCTATAACTTTTGAATGCAGCTCTTTAATCAAATGATTTTTTATTTATCCACCACGTGTAGATCAACAATTAAAAAAGATCAAAGATCTTTTTTAATTTGTTTTTGATCTAGTTTTTAAGATAAAGCTCTTTAAAATCATTAAAAATTTCAATCTTAAAGGTATCCCGAAGTGCCCAGACAATTTGTGTTCATATCATAGATAAACATTAGAAAACAAGTTTAAAGGTAATAAAACTTTCCAAAACAAATTATTGAATGAGATATTAAGAAAAAACTTTTTAATTTTTAATGCTATTTTCTTTCTGGCAAAGAAAAGTTCCGGTTCTTTGACTATTTTTATTTTTTAAATCAGGTCTAATTAATGTGCATATATTTGATGTCAATACAAAAAGTTTCTTTAAAAATACTTAAATTTCACGAGTTTCACCTTAAAAATTTTCAAGTTTTTAATATAACTTTTATATATATCTGAAAAATATATATTAGATATATATAAAAGAAAAATATTTTAAAAACAATATCTTGAATTAGAAATATAAATTATTATAAGCTAAGTTAAAATTCTATAAAACATCATTTTTTAAATGGTTTCCTCAATTTATTAAAAAAAATAAAGATTTTTTTAACTTTCAAAATTTAACCATGTTGGATTATATTGTACTTGGTGGTGTATATAAAAAAATTAATTATTTTCTGAGAAAAATGTTCATCTTGTGTATTTTAAAGTTCGCTTCACCTAAATTACTATTTTTATTATGCTAGTTTATTTAACTCAAATACTTAACAAAATGTTAAACAAAAAACAAAAACATGCTACAACGAGAGTTTTTTATAACCACCGCGGACCAAATATAAAGGGACAACCCCAATCTGATTGTGTAAAACTGAACTGAGTTTAAAACACTCTGCGTTGAGCGAAAACATTTGTTATTGAAACCAGATGTTTTTTTTACTGGAAAAAAACTATGCAGATTTGTAAGGTTAATATTAACCTTATAACCGGAAGTATAATGGAAAAACAACAAATGCTTTTGTTAACATCTCATTCAATAATTTGTTTTGGAAAGTTTAATTAGTTTTAAACTTATTTTCTTATCTTCATCTATGATATGAACTTGTCTTGGCACTTAAGGATACCTTTAAATCAAAATATCAACTTTTATGTTATGTTAAAAAGTTATGGAAAAAGTTAAGATGCCAGAACTTAAATTTTTTGTTTTTTTAAAAGTATCCATAGCATACTTGCTATCTTAAAATAACTGAAGTATAAAACCAACTTGTTCAAAAGTTATTAGATGTTAAAAATGATGAAAAAATCCTTTTTTCTTGTAGAGTGAAATTTCATGCAAAATAGCCCACTACTTGAATAGTGTTTTCTCAAGAACCATATTAGATATTGATCTGAATTTTTCAAAACATGCCTCTCTCATATATATGTACAAAATCAAAAGTTTCATTAAAATCTATATGGTCCACAAGGAACCTAATAAAAATTTGCTCCACTTGGCATGGAATGACCCTATATCATGGCTTTGTGGAATTTCTTGCTTAATGTAGCTTAATGTACCTATGAAAAGTAATGTTGTCAGCACCTCCATAAGCAAAACAAGACATGTCAATTTATATGAAGACCACACGGGTAAAACCACAGATGTCCGCTTTTTGAAAATTTCAAGTTTTATATATTTTTATGATACTTTAGTACTAAGCTATTTTAATTTAAAAATTCACAACAAAAAAACTGTTTAAAAGGTTTTATCGTCATTTAAAAAAAAGGGCAACCTTGAAACAACCACTGTTGTCTTATGTGTACCGCGTAAAAAACACAGTTGTCCAAGTTATTTATAAATGAACCAATGATAATGAAAGCGTAAGTCACATGACTAATTTTTTGGATAAAGTAAACAACATTACGTTCACAGAAACACATCAAAAAAAAAGCCTAAACGTTTGAAACCAATATTTATACTATTCCAGGCAATACCTGTTTTATTTTTTTAACACTGTTATACTCTCAATTCAAAAATTATATTTTATTGCTATGATTAAACTGTTGGAAACAGATGGTCTGATGTTGTATGTTCTATGCTGCATGATTTTAAATTATTAATTGTTCCAAGTGTAAAGGATATCAAATTGATTTGCAATTTATGAGCTCGGAAAAAATACAAAATGAAAAGTTTTGATTTTATTATCTTGTTTATAAAACTGAAAAACTTGACAGCATTACTTTTTCATTACCAATTAGAACTCTGTCACATAATGTATAGGCATTACACCTCTCAAAAATGTGACAGAAACATTGGCCATTGCAAATCAAAAATTTGTTGCAGAAACACTGGACGATCTCACAAAAAACCATAACAATTCAACATTGAATATAAACATGATACAAGAAAAATTTCTGAAATTTGAAGAGTTTCAATGCCAAACTTCTTGGTTGTTTGTTCGTTTAAGACATGCTTAGTTAGAGAAATTGAAATATTAAAGGTTACAAAATATAAAAAATAAAGTTTAATTATATGGAAAAATGGAAATATCTAATTTTATGTGTGTTACATCCCGTATATTTAAATCAATGATCTAAGTGCCTGATAAACTGAAACAAGCATACATAGCTCTGTTGCCTTTTTTTGTTAAAAATTTAAAGACTTACTAAATCTAGACATTTTCTGAATGTACAAAATAAGACATTATTTAACTTATTTTATTTTTCTTTGAAATTAAAAACAAAACATTTTTATTAATGTTGTGTTCACAATTGGTTTTTTTATGGTTTATACAAACTTGATATAAAGTGATGGAACACAGACATCATGAAATCATCTGTGGTAAATAGATGAGATTGTGGAAGAGATAAGGTTGCAATGCCTTTTTTTTATAAAGTTAAAAAAACTTATATAATGTTTTGTTTGAGTTTTTTCTTTATTAAAATAGGGGGGGGGGGGGATGGCTTTATTATTCTATCACACACTTAGTACGTTGTAGTTGTGTATTACAATGTGTTACCATCTACCATTAAAAAAATAAGTGCTCTAAAAGGTTACAAGCTAACAAAGTTTATGAGTTGATGAGTTTACAACAGAAAAACCACAGATGTCCAAAATGAGTGTCTTGTTTTCAAAAGAACACTGTGAATAAATAATACTTTTATTTTGCACAAAAACTACATTTTTATATTGTATAAGGACTAAAATGTCAGAGAAATATACTTTCAGTTAAATAAATCATTAATAAACAGATATCTAATGTCACTAAACACTAAACTTCATTTTTCTTAAAAAGAGAAAAATGTGACATCTGTGGTTTTACCCGTGCGGTCTACATATCGTTTCATAAACTTTACAGCCTAGACTCAATATAAAGCTAAAAAAAAAAAAATTAAATATGTATTTAGTTGCACTGTTTATTAAGAACACTCTATTTTGTAAAATACATTTAATATTACTCAAATATATATATATATATATATATATATATATATATACATGAATAAAAAATGATTTTTTTTATTTTTAAAAATTTCTAGAGTAAACAAAAAATATTAACATTGATAAACACAAACCCATGTTAATTATTTAAACAACGATTTTGTTTTGACTAGCAAAGAAAAATTTAGGTTTTTAAATATTTTTTAAATTTATCTTGCTTAGCGTTTCAACTTGCGTTTTATAAAAATATAAAAAAGTTTTGTCTGCTTTGAGCATATTTTTGATACATAGTTTAGAACGCGTTCGCCAGGAATTTAATTCATAAATTTTTTATGTTATTGTAAAAATATTTTACTTTTTAAACAAATCTCAAAGAAACAAAGCTATAGAGAAAAATCGCTTTTAACGATTAAATCTTTTTTTTTTAAATTTTAGGAAATTAAAAAAAAAATTAAGTTAAATATAAAAGTCTTAATTATGCAAACTCTTTTGTTAATTATTCTTAAAACAAAAAAACAAATACTATTACACCAAACTTTAATCGTGCAAACTTAAAAAAATACTCAACTGAAATAATTTAAGTATATTTAATAATTTGAATCGTATCTGTTTATAATAAACTTTCGTAAAAAATTTTGTTTATTAAAAATTAAGTTCCTTAACTTATAAACAAACTCAAAAGTATTTTCATTCTACATATAATTACAAAACTCTTTTTTTTTTTCGTTTATAAGCAATTTAACTAAATAAAATAAAAAAAGAATAAATATGAGGTAATCTTTGTTAAGAACAAATTTAATTTATTTATTGAACTATATTGTTATTTTTAATTATATATCAACTTAATTAAAATATAGTAACATGTCAAAATATTTTAACATGAC